TTCACAACTTAAGTGCATCTTTTCTCACGTCGCATTTGCTTTTTTTGCGATGAATAAATTTTTTTGAACCATGTTCTTGACTTATTCTGTGTGGTTTCAGTCAGTTTAACTACAAAACACGTTTAAATCATCATCAAATGGTAGTTAATCTAGTTCTATTTCATAATAAAATGTTTTTAAACTTTTGCTTAGACGCGATGCAGATAATTATAATACTCAAACCTTGATCAAACGAACATTTTTACCACGAAAAGATACATAATTCGGTTAATCTTGTTATTGCAAACAGCGGAAAAGGTTTTCTGGTATTATTGAAACAAAACACTCCTACTTTGAAGTTTGAAGAGTACTTTCGTCATTGTTAAAAACAGGCCTTTGATTTTACGATTATGAAATTGATCTAACTCTGTTATGATAATGTTCTTCATTCACTAATGCTTAAGTTGTAATACTTATACATTCTTCAGTCACATGCAATATTGTCATAGCAAGCAGCTTCAAAACGTGATTTATGAGGGAAATCCTAAGTTAGGTCATGGCTATTTTTTCGCCTTATTAGATACCTGCATTAGGTACACACTTCAAACAACTTCCACGAAATACTGGCTAGAATACTCACAAAACTTCTTCGGGGTTAAAAGCCGGAAAAGTTGACTACGTTTTGCAATTTTGTAAAGCATTTTTGCTCAACCAAATTAGGCTAAAACATCCACCATGTTTAGCAACCTAGAAAAAGGCTGTTAGTGATTATCATGCGGGCTGCTTCTTGCTGAGTGGACAGGAATTCCAGGCGTTATTTCCCTCCACGATCGTCTGACCTGTGGGTCATCCAATTCCATACCGTTCCATGACGTTAGGGCGCCTTTTTTAAGCGAAAGCCGTAACACTAAGACGCAACAGAGTATATACAAACGTGGACAGCCCCACACTCCAATCACCGTGGATTGATCAGCGTAAAGTGCGTTGTTCATGTTCACGCGTGCGCAAAGCTCCCCGAATCTGGTTTTTAGCATGACCACCACTATAAAAAAGTCCTCATCCATTAATGAACATGGCGTGGGTTCTGTAAACATCATTATTTACCCTGAAACCATACAGACATTTAGATGCGTGAAGCGTGCAGCTCTAATCGCTAATGTTTAACGCTATTTATGCTAATTAGTTGGTCTGGATTTTTAGTAATGATTTCAGCATAAACTAAGAGGGAGAAAGTCCGTAACTGCATGATGGAGACGCGCACAGAGTTCCAACTACATCATTGTTTGTAGGGAAGTCGATAAGGCTGCCGTCTTTGATCATAACTCAAATCACACGTAACATACACGGCATATTTATGCATATATGGGTTAAATAATAAGCACATATTGAGAAAGAATGGAAAAAAGCCTGTCAGTAACGATATTCTCAAAAATACAATGTCAGTAATTGATGGTCTAAAGCAAAGTTAACATAGGTCAAACCAAATCGACTAGACGTCTATAAAAAATGCAACCAAACATTAGCTAAATAATTCTGTTTTTTACGTCTGTCTGCCAGTAATTTTCTTAGCTTAATCCGCTTTGTTGGCATGGTAGAAATGTAGAAAATGTGATTTTGAAATGCACCCATAAATTATCATGCATCTGTTTCCATCATGTCTCTCGTATCTTTTAAGAACATGAAGAATGTGTTTTTTTTTAAATGAAAGTGTGGAAACTATGATATCTATATATAAATATACAGCAATCAAATGGCAATGTAAGTCTGACCCGTTTGTCATCGATGTAGCAAGAACGATGTAATTACAGCGTCCATCGTGGGAAAACTCAGCGGAGAAAATATTTTTGGTTGCTTTCTCTCTACGCCTCGCAGTTAGAACAAGTGTATATGGCAGTGTTTAAAAATAGGATCTTAAATCAGATCAATCTGGATTCATGGTTTGCACGCTTGCTGTTACGAGGTGGCTTTCTTTCTGGTATATCCTCGCTCCCACATTGCGCAGCGGTTTTTAATGACGCCGTACCCTAGTGCTGTAATGCTATAATAGAGATTCAAAATTATCTTTCAAAGAGGAGCAGATGTGGAGAGACGATGTAGGCAAAGTTTTTGAAAGTTTTATTTGAGGGGCAATTGCTGTATTGTCCATCTAACTTCAGTGTGTATCTCCAGTGGGATCTCCAGTGCGTATTTCAAGTTTCGGCTTCTTAAAAGTCTACTATAGGGGGCGTTCGGTTATAAAGAAGGCATTTTCTGACATGTTTTCCCCGATGAAATTTGATCGTTTTACTCGTACAAGCAATTCGACAACCGGAGAGACTATAGTTCGCCGCATTCGTGCAGCAAGATCATTTTTACTTCAATATTTGACATTCTTATAGAATCTCAAATTCTATTTGCGATAATGATCTGGTTTGTTTTGTTATTTTACAAACGAAAACAGGCGTTGCCCATCCTTCTTCGCAGTCGGGGTGTGACAATCTCCAATTAGTATCTCCCTGTAGAAAACCATTCACACACTCTGCCATCAATGCATCGCCGTCTCTTTCACTCAAAACACCACATGATGCACGCAATGATTTTGCCTACTTTGGTATTGAACAGTAAGCGATATGACAATCAGTTTCCTGTGATTAGTATATGTGTTAAGATCTAAGTGGCTTGTATCAGTGTATAGATTATATTAGGAAACAAATGTCTTTTAGAATTTATTTTTAATTGTAAACCTGTGATATCGATTTCGAGAAGAGACTTTGAGAGATATGATTTCAGTGCGCGCATATATGGTCAACGGATGAATTTGGACCACCAACTATAGTAAATTGATGAGGTTTCATAGGAGAGCCCAGTGGCCGTGAATCAGAAAGACTGTATCCAAGCAAATCAATGGATTTAGTGGGAGTGGGGGGGGGAAGAGGTGCACACCCCGGGGGATAAAAAAATAAAATTTCTACTGCTAAATTTCGTCCTCAAATCGTAACTTATTGTATTGGCTTAGGACAGTCTAGATTGCTCTTGTTTAATACACGTGGTGCTCCCCCTCCCTTTCACCCACCTAAAAATCCTTGCGACAGGATCCTATCAATGTCTTTATTTATTCGTTCAAATTTTAACCAGTATTGCATGTTGGATTGCGAACATTCTAATTATGAAGAGAAATTAAATGAGCGATATTTAATTGAAATCATTAAGACACACGCGCGTTCTTAATCGAAAATCCAGATTTTTCACCGAGACCAATTTCGCTCAATTTACTCTCCTAGTCAAAGGTCGTGATTGCTTTAATTGTATTTTAATCAATGTCATGTTTTCAAGCTTTTTTTAAGATAAAATAGATAGGACTTCATAAAATAGACAGGTCTTCATAAAATAGACAGGTCTTTATGTATCTTATTGTGAAATAAGTTCAGCAATTGCTCGAAATGCAGAAGAGGCCTGGAGTAGAGTGTCAGTGTTAACAATGATTTCAGTCAGACTGAATTTTGATATACGAAGATCAAGGAAGTTTGAAATTCAACACCACGACTAGACAGAGCATTTTAGGCAACATTTTAGGATGAGTGAAACTGCAAGTTTCGTTGCGAAATGTTTTTTTTGTAAACATATCATGTAGATATTGCATAGTGCAGTTGCTATGTTCAATCGCAAGTTGGCTAGTTTATGCTTCTCCCCAGCGAGCTACCGATAATAATAATAATATTAGTTATCCTGTCCCGCCACTGCATGATATATACTGCATGTAGCTGGATAACGCATCCTGTCCTGCTGTAAATCGTGAAACAGTTTACCAGTGTTCCGAATATTACTCAGAGATAAGTCGGCCATTTTGTACACGTGACTGGGTATGTCCGGTGTATAGTAATTTTTTCTACAATCATAAATTTTCGGCTTTCGCCCATGCTGGTTTTACTTTTAAGTATACCATTTGGTGATATTCACTTTGTTTATTCGTGGGTAGATACGCCTAAGTATAAATAAATCAATCAGTCCAACGGGTCACGATAGACATTCAAAATGCCCGCACGTTTTGGTGAAAAAGAAATATAAAATTATGTTGGTTTAGATACCTTTTTTAAAGTCATTTTCTCACTTTTACAAATTTGCTACACGCTAATGCTCATATTTAAAAAACCATCTGTATGGTTCCCATGCTACTTGTGTTGTTGAAAACTTGAACAGAATCACCGTTGGTGTTCCATCAATTACCCATGCACTCACGTCCAGATAGGGGTTTAGGTCAACACACAGACACTGCATTATAAATTCTTCGAGGAAAGATACATATCAAGTCATAGGTTTTGAGTAATACCGTCACACATTCACATAATCTAAAACTAAGTTTCTTTCAAAAAGAGTAGATTTCTTCCTGTAAAGTACCGGTTTATTCCGACCAAAATGAATGGTCATTCCATGGTTCTAATATTGGTTAAGCGAATATTTGACCTTTTCAAAGTATACCCTGAGGGCATTTTTGCATCGCCAGAGTTTAAACCAACATAATCATTTTCCTAATGTATATTTGATTTGATTTGCAAACAAATTATTATCCGATCAAAATTCAGCAGTTTTTTAACGATGCCGCCCTAATGGCGTTCAACTCAAAATGAACCGCAGGCATTTTTATACTTAAATGGTATTGAAAATACGAAAATAATTTGTCTGATTCAAAACAGTGCTTGCTTGCGTGAGGTTTCAAGTATCTTGTGTGGTAGGTTTTACGTCTAGGCATGTAGTTTTCATTCAAACATCGCCAGGAATGCTCATTTAAAAAAGAGATATTTGACTTCATGCAGTTCCTGGTAATTAGTAAATATAATCACAGTTTTTTCGACGACTAAAAGGTCCTTGGCCATCCTGGCAGTATATAGAAAAGCCTCACTATTTTTTGAGTTTTGATTCGTTTATAGTCGATTTCTGATGCATGTGAAATACCTTTATAAAAGCACTTGAAAATCGTCGTCCGTTTCTACCCGAACTCTCTACGCATTGCTTTAATCAAACACCTCAAATCTCTATTTTTTCAGGAGCTTTGGAAGATGAAACTGTGATTGATTTAACAAGTGCCATAACAATCCCCTTACCCCGAGGGATCTCATGGGTCGACGGTCCAAATGGCCGTTCTGGGGAGCCGGCATTCCAATTCAGCAGTGATTCTGATGTCAAACGACCCGCGAAAACCATCCTTCCATTATCATTCCCGAGTGACTTCGCGATCACAGTGACCGTGCGCCCTAGCAACAACAAAGGTGGCGTAATCTTCGCCGTAACCAACGAAGATAATTCCAAAGTCTTCCTCGGATTGGAGTTGCTTCCCGTCCGCGGTGATGGACAGATAGATTCTTACACGACGATCAGGTTTTTATATTTGAATCCGTATTTTGAAAGCAACGAAACTGTCAGTTTTGTCGTCAACGAGTTCACCAACCAGTGGATGAGATTTGCTTTGAGCAAAAAGGGTGACGTCATAAGCCTGTATCACGACTGTGGCAAGAAAGTGGAAGAAAAAGTCGCCCAGCAAACGTGGGGAGCCTTCATTATTCCTGGAACTAGCTTGTTTTACCTCGGAAAGGCGGGAAATAATGCCAGGCATAACGCTCTCGTGGTAAGAATCGCGTCGAAACCTTTCATCCAGTTTTGTTAGTAAAGTCAACGGCTGGGACCGGTTGTATTAAAGCTGGACGGCGATGTATTGACTGGATAGTCCGTATTTTGATATAGCCCACATTGATACGTAGATATTTTAAAAGCAAAGTTTTACTTTTTTATTCGTTGTTCCAAATCGATCTTTTCTGTTGTTGCTTTCCAAACCTTTTCAACGGTAGACCAGGGACGCTTTCCTTTAGGTGACCAAAGTGGTCAGACCGGGCATATTTTGAATTGAAATAGAGTATTTCGTTAAGAATATAGCGGTGAAACTGCATTTCCCGTGCTAGAAAGATGTAAATAACGATATACTTGAATGCACAGTTCTTCAAACACTCTAAAATACCAGTAATCTGTCTGTACTGGAATACTACAGGACCGGTCTGGCCGTTTTTACCCTGTAATGGAAAGCGCTTCAGGTTGGCTAAGGCTACCCAGGCTTTGTTTAGCCCCTGGTTATAAATCTCGGCAATTTCGATTTTAAAATGCATTTGACTTTCTTTAGGGTGAAATCTCAGAGCTCAGACTTCATCAAGATCCCGAACAAGCAAAGGAACAATGCAACAGTTCAGGCGAAATATACGTAAGTTTCATCTCAATTTCAAAGATGATTGACATTGCATAAGGAAGAATCGTTTTGTTCGTCAGAATTTCCAACTTTGGAGATATCCATGCAGGGTTCGGGTTAAAAAATAGACCAGAATAGAATATAACGGAATATGGTATATTTTGCCATGGTCGAGTATACCGGAATATGGTATATTCAGCCATGGTCGAGTATATCGGAAAATGGTATATTCGATCTTGGTAAGGACTCCCCTAGCAGTGCGGTAATATACAAATACATCTGGGCTACCTTTTGGCCAGACTTTCTAATTACTTAATATTTTTACTGCAGAATGGAGAAGTTAGCGGCGATGGTGAGGACTCTACGGACGGGGGATCAGCACCCATGTCGAGCAAGTACACAACCAGGACTGTGTTGAGCACAGGCAAGATTACTGTCAACCGTGGTGGTGACCTGGAAATAACAGTTCCGAGTACAAGTAAAATCGAAGAGAAATTCGCCACACCGGCAACACAATTCGTCCAGCCAACCGATCCTCCTACCAGTAGTTCCCCCATCCAGATTTCGACTAAGAGTGCATCCCCACCTACAACAGAGGCATCTACAGAACAAATTACTGAACCCCAAACCACCCCCGAACCCCAAACTACGCCTGAACCTAAGACAACACCCGAACCCCAAACCACCCCTGAACCCCAAACCACCCCTGAACCCCAAACTACGCCTGAACCTAAGACAACACCCGAACCACAAACTACAGCCGAACCCAAAACCACCCCCGAACTTCAAACCACCCCTGAACCCCAAACTACTCCCGAACCCCAGACAACACCTGAACCCCAAACGACACCCGAACCTCAAACCACCCCTAAACCTCAAACTACTCCTGAACCACAGACAACTCCCCTCCCTAAAACCACTCCCAAGTCTACACCTGAGACCAAAACTACTCAAGAGCCGACACCCCAAGCTACAGACCAAATCCGACCCACTCAACCAGCTGGTGTATCGGTGACAGGCTCCAATTTGATCGACCAAAGCTCAGGGGTTTTTCCTACATCATCATCTGTTACTGAAGTTCTTGAACCATCGGAAAGTGCTGCAGAAACAACCACCGAACCAGAAGTTGCAACTGTTAAAACAACCAAGATTTCTCCCACACTAAATATTAAGGTATATTCTCTATATTTCTTCTGTTTTGCAATAAAGTGCATTCACCAGTTCGCAATTAATACGCGTTCATCGTGACTCTCACATTAGTAAAAATATTCCCGTACAAATATTTGGAGACCGTTTCGTGTTTAGGGATCTTTTCCCTAGGGATCTTTTGTATCTCGTTTAACAATTCAACTTGTACCGTGGTGACGAACAGTATTGTCGAGGAGGGTAGCGGGGTAATTCCCCGGGGGCCGGACTAACCTATTGCGTCCAACGCGTAAATGAAAGACTTTGAAGCTATGAACTGACAGCAACCTGGTAAATAGCTTCTTTTGCGTTATAGAAGCTTCAATTTCATATTTTTCCCGAGGACCAACCATAAGGGCACCTCGTGAGTACCCCCGCCCCATTTTGGTCAAGCCTCAGGCAACATCTCTACCCGAAACGAAACTGTCCTGGGGATCGCTTAGCCTTTCTTGGCCCTGAATAGTGACCATATATTCTAATAATCATATAATTTTATTTTTTTCCACCCTGATATGTATAATCGGGCAGACGGTCGACGCGCATCTTACTGACAATATGATACCCTGTTCTATTGAAAGCAATTGTAATAATATCAGGGGCATAACCCAGGTAGGATTAAGATTTACAACACGCATGAAATCAACCAATCAAATCAATCAGTGAATTATACGCAATGAATTAATTGATTCAAGTAAATTAACGGTAGGTGATTGTCACGAATGAACATCGTTTAATAATGGTGATGCATATTAGATGATGCATGAGGATTGTGTATGTACGTCATATCTATTGATTATGTTTTGATTATTATATTGACTATGTCATGATTACCTATTGATTTTGCTGCTATCGAATAGTATCGAATAATATCGAATAGTGTCGAACTATCTATTGATTGTATTTTGATTATTGATTGATTATTTTATGATTACGTATTGTTCGAAATATAAATTGTTATTTATTGATTATGCAATCTGGTATTATCCAGGGAGGGATAGAACCTACAGTATTAAAAGGCGATAAGGGGACTTCTGAATTACCAGTAAGTTAAAGGATTGCACTTTCACTTCCTATAAAATATTCTTGACAGTTTTCTGAGACAATTTTTTTTCATTACAGAGACAAGGCGAAAAAGGACAAAAGGTATCTTTAACCCCTAATCTAATAACATTCGTACGTGATACTTGTGGTAGTATGAACTATGAAAGCATATATCTTTATCGTTTATCGTTCTTGCAAAATGAATAACATTACGTCCACCTTTATTCTTCATGCTAAACCTCTAGGATCCACCTTGTGATATTCTTACAAAATGTTGATCCATTTCACATTTAGGGTGAAAGAGGTGACAGGGGTCCCGTGGAAATTTTGAAGGTAAATTAATAATTGATAACAGTAATACCCATGCAGTCAGCTCTTGCGAGAGTTCCCGTTTAACAAAGGCATGAAAGTGTAAAAGACCCTGGGTACGAGGTTGAAAAGTTTGCTGAAATTCGTATTTCCCATTTTTAAAACTGACCAGCTGTCTTTCGTACGTGACGCCATATCCACACATTATATGACGGTACATTGTCGTCTGACTACATATTAATACTGCGATATCTTTCCACAGCCCGAGAGAGGCGAGAAGGGTAATAAGGGTGAACAGGGAGTCAAAGGTGACGCAGGGGTGAATGGTGTTTCGGTAAGTAATTTTCCAATAATGACCATTTCCTAATACAAAGATTTTGAACTTGTTTCTTCGTGCTATTGTAGGTGAAAGGTCAAAAAGGCGATCTCGGTGAAAAGGTAGGATTATTTTTTTCAAAAGTTTCTCATTTTTTACCATATCCAAGCATATTTGTGAGTGTCGTGTATATATCAACAATTTCTCCTTAAACATTTCCAGGGAGAGAGAGGAAATCCAGGAGAGCTGATTAGCCTCAAGGTCAGCTTGCAAAAACATTTGAGTAAAATTCCACCCTCTCTTGTCAACTGTACTAACAACGAAAACGTTCCTTTTTTTCTCTAAATTAGGGTTTGAAAGGTGACATCGGTTTCCCGGTACGTATTAAGGATCAACTTGCATTTTTGCACATTCGCACATCGGTACGAAAACGGCAAATGAAATGACCACATTTCTCGTTTCATTTTATTGCAGGGTACAAAAGGCGAACCAGGAATAAAGGTGCGATTTATAGTTTCTATCGTGCAAAACCTTTACCCGGAGTCCTTAAACCGTTGATTTAAGAATTAAGATATGTGATATTCACATCTTTAATACTTGTCACTCATATCGGCGTGCCTCCCTCCTTTAGGGTGCTCCAGGTGTTGGTAAACCTGGCCCTCCTGGGCCCCCCGGCCCCACAGGCCTGAAGGGTGTTCCAGGCGAACCTGGATCCGTAGTCTCAATGCTCAACACAAGCAGTCAACAGGGTCCACAAGGACCACCAGGTCCTCCAGGAAAACCTGGACGCGATGGTGTTGGACTGAAGGGTAGAATAGGATTTCCTGGATTGAAAGGAAACAAAGGGGATACCGGAGCCCAGGGAGAGAAAGGGAAAACAGGGGATATTACGGTATGTATGGATATGAGTAAAAGGTTTTCATTCCGTAATAATGACTAAGTAAACTTGCTTCCCTCATCTTCTCTGCAATGTCTTCCACATCACATCTTATCTTATCTCTTCATTTCAATATATATCTAACCATCTCTCCATTTCTTCTTATATTACCCATTTTTCTGATCTTAACATCACTATATTTCAGGCTGTCATCGGTCCCAGGGGAGCGCAGGGTCCTCAAGGTTTAAAAGGAGAAAAGGTTTGAAAGACTGATTTTTATTTCAGAAATATATCGATCTTTAGGGATCAATAACGTGTGCAAAGTAGCCTTTTTCGATCCCACAGTTCAATTCAAAATAATCCAGAAAACTCGTTTATTAACGCGGTATATTTTCTTAGGGTGAAGATGGAGTTCCTGGTGAAATAGGCTTTAAGGGCGACCCAGGCGTGCAGGTGTGTATTAGACAATAAAACAAAGCAATTATCCTAATCTTTGATTCTTTGATATCCTAATTTGCAAGATGTGATTCATCGTGATGTTATCGTGATTAACGAAATGATTACAGCTTTAGTTAAGGCAATAAAACTGAAATCTGACACCACATCTAGAAAGTACATTTTAGTGTACGAGTTTTATTCTTTTCCAATCAAAATCATGTTTGTATCTGGACTCGCTCACTATTCCGACATTGTTTCCAGGGAGACACTGGTAAAAAAGGTGTCAAGGGCGATGAAGGATCCATTGGAAAAAAGGGGGAACCCGGAAGCAGTATTAAGGTAAGGTCATCGAAGGAACTCAAGCGAGAGAAAGTGAACCGTTAAACTAATTTGATCTTCACATTTCGTACAAACAAAATTCCGTTCCATCAGCAAAAAAGTGCAAATGAACTAGTCATTAAAATGTAGCTATGTTTTTTTTCACGAATATTGTCAGGGCAAAGACAAACTATCCAGTATATATATAACTTGCCTTTACGTGACAATTCTAAAAGTATTCAGTATAGCTTCTGCAGACAGTAGACCGTATGAATTCTTATATAACCAACGTGTTTTCATTTACAGGGCGACAGCGGTGTCAAAGGTGAAAAGGTACGTGCAGTCTCACTTCATACACTAAATGAGTTTGTTACTAAAACACGACAAAAGTATCTGAAAAAGGGACTCAATGGCATTCTCTCTTCTTTTCATAGGGTGAGCAAGGAAAAGCTGGTGCCGAGGTTTGTTTTTATTTATTTTAAATCTGCTTTGCCTCTGCCTGGAAATCCTGAGAGTTATCACAGTAATTGATTCAAACCCCTCCCCAGCTATGCTGCGCTTTACTAGAACCCACAGAAAAACTCCCTACTGGCGAAATTAGTGAGTAAAATACATTCGGGTTAGTGGGAGGAAAAAAGAGTAGAATTATTTATCCGTCTTCATAAAGGCCTGCCCTTATACTAAATCTCGTTGCATTTTTTCTCAGGGGAAAAGTGTGGCTGGCCCTCCAGGACCACCAGGTCCTCCTGGCCCACCAGGACCCGTTCAGGTACGTCTTCATGACTTCATCAAGTAGGATGCATCCTTGATTCTCCTCTTCGAATGCTTTTTAGCGAAATGGCTGCTTTGCTTTGCTTTACCCGTGTCATATTTAAGGCAGAGTTTGATGTAGTATTGTTCATTATTTATCCATTTTGCAAACAATGTATAGTTACAGGGTTTTTCCATTTGTATAGTTTTAACGCTCATTCATTTCTTAAAGGGAGTCTTTGGAAACGACAATGATAATATTAACAATATTGGTGGGGCGAATGCAGCTGGCCAAGGCTTCAATGATCAGAATAAAGCCAAAGGCGATACGGTTAGAGAATCATCGTAGACATCAATACACACGAAATGGCATTCGGAACAGGCACCATTTACAAAAAAGCCCTTAGATTTCCTTTTTAGTCCTAGCGCCTTTCTTGACATTAAAAATTATCGTAGGAATAGGATTAAGGTAGTAATAAAAATATCTAGATCTGATTCTATTTATTTAATATCCTACTTAGACTGAACATTTGGCCTTCCATCGTCTCTCATTCTTAGCTGTTCCTAGTTCACCGGTGTTTCCACAAGTTCTGTATTATATTCTCTGTTTTTTTTAGGGCGAGCCAGGGGTAAAAGGTGATAGTGGTGAACCCGGTCCTTCGGGACCAAAGGGTGAAAAAGGGGATGATGGGGTGGAAGGTCCACAGGTGAGTCTGATAGCGAACGTGGAGAGTGGGTCAGGTCAGGTCTTTTTAATATCATTTGAGTTGGTTTATAAAGTTGGTTAAAAAGGTTGGTTTTTAAAGTTGGGTTTAGAATCGGGGAATACACAGTGCGGCAGGGTTTTATTTAAATGTGGTAGATTATTTTTAATGTTGAGATTTTTTTGAATATGGTTGAATGATAGTTACAATTATGACACTTTAATGTCTTTCCCAGGGTGATGCTGGTGCACCTGGTTCCAAAGGTGATAAGGTAAGTAAATAGTACATTTTATGAATACCAAATGCGTGTTAGGAGGCTATGTGCAAACAGTAACGTTCGCACAATCAGTGGTCAACCAGACCGTTGTATCATGACACTTTAAGTTGCTGTATGAGGGAGATTTATAAAGTTAACTTCTTTTATTAAATTCACTCATAGGGAGAGATTGGTTCTAAAGGTGATCGCGGTGCCGATGGGATACAAGGTGCAAAAGGTGAACAGGGACCACCAGGGGATTCGAGCAAGACCAAACCAGGTCCGCCTGGACCCAAAGGGGATGCCGGAGCGGTTGGACCACAGGGGAAACCTGGGGGTAAAGGTGATGAGGTGAGGGGTAAACCTGGTATCTTTAATGTGATAACCCATTAACTGTAGGAGTAGAAGTGTTTGGCGTCAGACAGTATAGAATACTGATGCGGATACTTCTGCAAATTGCGAGCTCGTAAAGTTCCCGTTTTTGCAATGTTTTATATGTAATGGTTGTTCTATATTTTTTTGTCTTAGGGAGAAAGAGGATTTCCAGGGGATGATGGTCCTAAGGTTGATAAAATACCTATTTAATGTGTTATACAGGGTGTATAAAAAAGGCGACCACTTAATATTCAAAAGAATCTCATTGTGAGCTATACCATTATAAGTTTTATTGTACCATTGTGCTCGGTAGCAATACGAGTATCAGGTGTTGCCTATTTTTTTATACAACCTGTATTTAATAAGTTTCTTGGCTTTTGTATGGTGTAAACTAACGCTGAATTACTGTTCTCACCAGGGGGAGAAAGGTGACACCGGGATTATTGGGCAACCTGTAAGTGTCTTTGATGTTTTACTATTGATAAGACAGGATAGACTTGGTGAAGATGTGTCCTCAATGGCTTACTGTTGCATTTTAGGGTGAAACTGGGGAGAAAGGAGAACCTGGATCGCAGGTAGATGATAAGCTATGATACTGTTGATTCGTATTTGAAACACTGTCCTTGAATTAATTGAGTTACGATCACTGTTTGATCCCCCCAGCCTATTCGTACAATTTCCTGACTTCCAATACAGCTCTATAGTTTCGCTCCGGGTGTGTTTATTTTATTCCTTCTTGAATGATAATTTTTAAATTCTCATTGTTATAATATTCCACAATTTCCAGGGTCCGCGAGGTGCACTGGGGCCTAGAGGTGATAAAGGTGTTCCTGGACTCTCGGTTCGTGGTAAACCCGGACCTCCGGGTCCTCCAGGACCTCCTGGGCCAACAAGAATAGATACGAACTCGTTATCAGGTCCCTCCGACCGAGGCGACAATGACGAACGAAGATCCTACGCGGACAAAACTAATATGCTTGGGGTAAGGTCATAGTCGATGTCATGTATAATTTTGCGTCTTTTTAATAGACGATTCCAGCTATAACTGAATATTTGTCTAAGCAAATATAGAAAGCTAACATCACGACTAGAAAGAGCATGCATTCTAAATTGAGTAATATTGGAAAGTTGAGTAAAAGTAGGTAAAATTGAAAAATATTAGTAGTTGGATAGTTTTGTTTGCTGTAAACTATAAGTTGACATTATTTTTTAGATCGTCACATTCTATGATGAAGATGATTTATCTCAGGGCGGAGTTTTGACGCCTGAAGGGACAATAGCTTTTGTTCTTAGTTCTCAAAGCCTGTTTGTTCGTCATGGTCTAGGATGGAGATCGATACAAGTATGAATTCTTTTTAGTCATTTCTACTGGACCACTGGGTTTGTGATACTGGGTAGTTCAGACACAAACCACGACAGCTTATTGTAGAATACTACCTACACTTGACCACCGCGTTTAAGATATCTTCTTCAGGTAGTTCAGACACGATTCACAATAGCTTATCGTAGAATTAATTTACACAAGGCCAATATGTTTTAGAACGAGAGGCGCAGACTCCAGTATTTTATTCTAAAACGTTCAATATATTCTTCTTTTACTTCAGTATGGCAGCGACATCGTGAGTGTGAATCCACCAACCGCTCAGGTAATTTAATGAATTTGTCGCAATATTATTGTGCAATAATACAAAACAAAAAATGTTGTGATAAGAAGCAGAAGTATTAGAATTACCAGCGACATAACATACTCACATGTTCAGGTATCTGCAATTGCAGCCCATTCCCCACACGTTGACTTTATGTCATCTTCACGGAGGCCTTTGTAGGTATCTTCAGTCATCAAAGTCGTAATAGATCGAGTCTTTTGTTTAGCCAACACCAAGTATAGATATTCAGCTACCCCAAGCAGGCGTTGTTGCTCAATCACCTTATGTAAGTATAGTCGATTTTTCGTGGATTCATGAATACATTGCTTCATCGTAAAATTTCCTCCAATTTATCAAACTGAGTTCTTTTTGTTTGTCCATCTTCTGGAAACATGCCCAGGAAACATTAGTAAAGATGCCTTAGTAAAGTTGTTCCAAAATAGTTTGTCATTCCCTGTGGAACGTGGCTAGGAAGTGATATTTTCTAGTTTACTTACGTCTGTAAAATATGCCTGGGAAACTGTTTTCCCATTTCCCCCTTTTTTACCATTTGCCATAATGAATGAAAATATTGGTTTTTAATACTTTGTAATTCCGATATCCTTTCGTTCTTGCCTTAGCTGTACCTTATCGCGTTGAACGAACCAATGACGGGGAATATGGGTGGAGTGAGTGGAATAGATCACAAATGCTGGAAGCAATCCGGGAAGAGATGCGGGACTCCGTGGGACATATCGTGCCTTCCTTTCTTCCTATGCCCAGGCCATTAAGTCTATCGTGAGAAGACGAGATAGAGACTTACCTGTGGCTAACCGCAATGTAAGGAAATTGTGTATTCAGTAGTTTACTGTGTTTTAAATACGCCTCTTCTGGATCCGATTCATTCATCCAGTGTCACTGCCTAAACTAAACTAACTTTATTTATACTGGATAGCTCCATCAGTTCAGAACTGTTCTTCCTAGACGTGCATGCAGTAAGGATCATCTCTTGTTTGATCCAGTGTTACTACAGGAGAAAACCTAAACTAAACTAACTTTATTTATACTGGATAGCACTGTCCGTTCTATAAACTGTTCTCCTAGAGGTGCAGTAACGAGCATATCCTATTGATCCAATGTTACTACAGGAACTCAGGAAGATACCTAAACTATGCATTACCACAGAAAAATATCTAAACAAAACTGTAGTTTCACACGAGTAAAAGACTTTGACCTCCAATCATCTTTACCGTTTAAAGGGTGAACAATTATTCCCGACATGGAAAGGCATGTTCGAAGATGATGAAGGTTTCAATCCTGACACTCCAATCTTATCTTTTGATGGAAAGGATGTAAGAAAAGACCCCAGATGGTAAGAAGTTAATTCCATATAACACCTTGAAACACATGATCAATAATATCTTGGGAAATACCTTTAAAATAAACCATTTTGAGATGCTAAACTCAAAGAGCTAAATGGGTATAACATGAAACTAAATGTATTTATTATGCATTTTAGGCCTCTCAAACTAATCTGGCACGGTTCTAATAGACAAGGTAGTAATATGGAAGATAATTGTGTCAGGTGGGATGTTGAAGAAAAAGATAGTCGTTCAATGTTCAGTTATGCCGCTCCTATCAATGGAACAACAAGCGTAGTGGAGCCAAAGAAGTTCTACTGTTACAATCCATTTATCGTTCTCTGCATCCAAGTGGGTGTGCGGCGTTGAGATAAAATATTACCTGGTTTATCAAGCGTTTAAATATTCGGATTTTCAAAGCTCTTGAGTTATATAACCTATGTTATTTTGAGTTTATATTTGGGTATTTAGTTCGCCGTTTGCAAGGACAGTCAACTTGACAGTGGAAATATAATTTTGTCGAGGGCTTTGATTGACAAAGGGGGGAGTCGGTTCAAAAAGGTTTCTGGGTGTGAAATATTAGTTCCAAATTATAGTTTCACCCTTCGCCAGTTAACCCAGCTAGCGTAGTTGGCCGTGTGCAGTTATCAAGGCCCCATTGAGTCTAATAATATTGTATGTACATAATTAAAATATAGGAATTCAGAACTACAGATTCAGTGTAACCAAGGCTAGGTCAAGATTATTTGTACGAGAAACGACGGTGAACCGAAAGATGTGTCACGAATCCGCGAAGGTCTGTATCATTCCGCGAAGCGTACGAGATTTTTTTGAAACAGGGTTTTTAATAATTGTTAACCGTTTGTGATATTTTTGAGTGTCGTACGGATTTCACCAAGCTTTGCCTCCATTCAGAGTGTTAGAGTTCTCATGAGATTTTGTGGAATGATAGCCTTTCGTGAGATATGACTACGGTTCAATTGTTTGACTCGACCGCCTTACATTTTTACCAAAATTAGTTTTAACTAACTGACTTTTTACCTGAAATTTTAAGTACACAAATATAGAGTACTTTGTAGCCTATTTTATTTATGTGCACGAAACATACGTTACATTCAGATATTACTATAAACAATATTAGGTTTTTGACTATATAGTACTACATAGCAATATATACCTTTTGTATGTAAATTATTATATTTATAAAGAAGGATGATTAAGATTTTTACGTTTTTGCGCTCGATGTCCTTTTCTAAACGGGTCTAGTCCTGTCTTCTTTCCAGGCAATTATTTTTGTAACTGAATACAAGGACAACTGGGACAGCTTTTTTGAAAGTATTTGGAGTCATGAATGTGAACATTGTAGCCAACAAGTAGTCACGTAATACGGTTATATAATTGTATGTGCAAAATAATTTATGAAATAACCATCCCAATACGTCATTAATTGTTGGCCTGCCTGGGTTTAAATTTTGTTACTGATATTGTTGTTTGATATTGTTGTTAATATAATGACACTGTTATTGTTGTTGTTGACAGTATTGTTGGTACATAGGCAGTCCAGCAAACAATGTTGGGTCGTAAGGTTATGTCATTGTATCACTGATACCAACATTGTTTGCTGGGCCGCCTATGGTTGGAATTGATTCTATTGTTTATTGTTATTGTTGTTGTTGTTGATACTGTTGTTGGTATTGATTCTGTTGTTATTGTTGTTGTTGTTGATAGTATTGATTCTGTTTCATTTCTGTTTCATATGGTATTGATACGGTTGTTGTTGAAAGTGTCGGATTTTGTTGTTATTGATATTGTAGTTGTGGTAGTGATGACAGCGTGGTAACTGTGGTTGCAGTGAATTGGTATCGATAGGCACAATTTTGTGAATATATCGTTGTCGATATTGTTTGTTCATTGTTGCTATTCTCTGTTGTTCAGTTGCCGTTTCCTTGTTGCTATTGTTAAATATTAAAATATCACAAAACGGAAAACAGCCGTGGTGTGGTCGTCTTCCGCATCCTTCGCAAATCGATATGCAAACCCTACATGAAGTATCGAACAAATCGCGGCATCGCCATTTTGAAAATTTAAAAATTTATTAACAGCAAACATGCCTTTAAATGAAAAAAAAACACTGATTTCTGCTGCGTGATTGTTGTTTGAAATGTAAATTTAAAGTAAATTCAGGCGACAATGATTTTCATTTTGAAGAATGAATCATTTGGAAGGATTTCTTTGCCCAGAATGTATGGCAAATCTGCCGAGCGTCACGGAGTTGGAACAGCATTGGATGAAAGTTCATCAGAAAACCTCTTTTAAAATCGAAAAAAATCAAGAAGATGAAGTCGTAAGTGTGATATTTTAGAAAGGTAGAGAGGCGAAACGTGTACCGAAATGGCCATGCGATGGATATTAGCCTAGAGGGCAAAAATCTTGAAAAACTATTCAGCTACAATACAATGAGAAAATACGAGAATATATTGTGCGGCAAATTGCTATCACGCGTATATTTTAAACACTGTAAAATTTATACACACACGAGGCTATGTAATTTCCCTAATGTTTCACCTGAGATAAGAAATGTTTTTGAAATATGAGAAGTTAATTTAGCCATTAAGCGACAGATGACGGAACTATTGGACGGAACTGTCTGTCAGTAGGTCGCAGCGACAAAACCATTGTTCGCATCATCCTCTTCATTCAGACTGTTTATATTATAATCATTATAAACTCGTTTGTTGATCGCAAAACACGTCTGCTCTTTGGCAAAGACTAAAATCTGGCAAATTTTGAGTCCAAGGTTTGTGTCTTACGTTTTTTAAGGATGTATAAAAATTAAAATGACTCAGCTTGTTTGAATGTGTCATATTTCATAGGATTCGGTATTTCTACAAAGATTATTCATCTAGTTTATTGTTTGTTAATGATGCTGTAGTAATTCAATGAATGTAAATTGTGTAGATAACACAACTATAATTATGCTTTGGAACTCTATGTATTCAAAGTCAAAATGAATATCTATTCATGACTAGATTAGAATTAAGTGAAGCAATGCTGTATTTGACTAAAAAAAACAAAATGTTGAAACTGTAGATTTTCAATTTTATTTTGAAGTTGTCTTAACATTTTTATCTGGAAAGCGAGCATGTAGCATGTAGTTTAAATACTGGCAAAATATTTGTGAGTGGAAGCCTTATTATAGCTTTGGTGATGTTTAAAATATTCAAGAGTTGGCAAAGGATCTGAGTACCTGTCAAGTACGAAAGTACTCAGACATCTACAAAATCTCCATATTTGATGTTGGGGCGATCAATCAGACAATGTTTACATATAGGCATATATTGCCCTGCGAGATTGTCTTCACAATATGGTTGTTATAGAAACTCTTATGGGACTGTTGTATAATAAAACTTGTGAGAATTAAAAAACATACACATATTACTCTCTTTGCAATAGCCTGAAAAAAATATTGCATAAATTCATTACTGGAGTTTATCAATCCATTCATCACTCGAATTTATCAATTCATTTATTCAAAAATTGTCAAATTACTGTGTGTTTGGATTCGATCAATGACTTTTCATTTCAGTAACAGACTGACCAATTGGGGCCAACCATGTCAGTTGACAGGAAGTTGAGTAATTTTCATGCAAATAATTAGTCATCTTTAGGTAGTGACTTGATACAATATTTTATCAACACTTTCAATGCAACAACAATGAATAAACAACTGGATATCTTGAAAGCTGTGATATTTATGTCACATGTCTATGCCAATTGCATTTGCAACTGTGATTTCTAAGATCCATAAAGAATATTTTCTCAACACCGGTGAGGTACTGCCTGGGTTAACAAAATCTCCAATGCCTGAAAATCCCATTAATTGAAGGTCTACTTAAATGTATGTGCCCAATGCTGCTGTATTATTTTCACTCCATCTATTGCCTGGTGACTTTATTCTTCAGGAAATCATACTGTTTTTTAATGGAGCTATCTCCTATTATGTGTGATTTTGTGACCAAACCCAATACTGATGCTGACTTTTTTAGAAAATTTCCCTTGTCAGTGCTTTATGTACTGTATAACCAAAATAGTGCAGGGTACAAGCTCCAACTGCACCTTTCACCATATAACTGGAAGCATTGCATCTCAAATTTTCCTTTTTTTATTTCCAACCAGCTGCATAAAGATCACTTGCTGGTTCATGCATCAAGTCCGATGTTCACCGCATGTGCTGTTTGCATAAACAAAGAAACGTTTGAAGGAGTTACTTGTAAAAGTATGTATGACCTAGCTGTATACCTAGCCACATTGTGTTTATTTCACAATATTGGATTACCTATATAGATAGTTTATAGATGCATGGGATCTGCTCTAATTTAACCCCTCCTCCCCCCTTCGACTTTGTACATTATACTAATCTATGTACAACACAATTCTTCCACCTTAGATTGTGGTTATACCTGTCATTTGAAGTGCTTGGCACAGGTAAGGCATTGCACTTTGATATCCTCAGTTGTCAAATGATGCGTTTGTCACACCATAAAACTATGGTTCCTAAACCTACTTTTTCTTAATAGATACCTGATTGTAATAAACCAAAAATGCCATCAAACTTAGAGAACAACACATCACTAGAAATTGACCAGGTACAACAGTACACACAAATGTTGTTATCGAACATTTTGCACAGGCTCGCACAGGCTCCCAACGAGGGGCAATCTAGTGTGTCTCATTGCCTTTCAAGGCTACTGAACAATGTTCAACTGTGGAGCAACCCATATTCTAGCTCTATTCAAGCTTTAACACTATGTTGCACCAAGATCAATTTTTGTTTTATTATTAAAGATCACCAACTCCAATCATCTCTCAGCATCTGGAAGCAGTCCAGAAAACAGCAGCTCAGTAAGTCACCATACATCACATTAGAGACAATTCAGAGAAGTTGTGTTAGCAGTCAATCCATACCTTGATACTGGTTTTTTGAGAAAGCTGTTTTTACTGAAATCAGATATCCCTGATTTAAATGTTGAAAATTGAACAAATCATTAGCACATGAAATTTATATTCATTTAAACCTTTGACCCGAATATCAATCCAATTCAATAAAAGAGGGAATATTTTGAAACTCACTCAAGTCCAGGAAGAAATTGAATTGTTTCTTTCCTCCTAGAATGATGATAAACAAGGAACTCCATCACGATCAGTGAGTACGACTTCTGATGAAATGATGAATGAAAAATGGTTCTGTGACTGTGGCGAGTTTTATTAAAATTAGGCGAATATCTTTCCTTTTGCAGAGTTACATTTCTTTTACTAAGAATATTTTAAAATATAAAGTGTCAAGGTAAGACCATTTTCAACCATGAGTGTTACTTTACCCACAGGAGCCGATTGTACAAAAGCTGGATAGCGCTATCCACGGGATAATGATTTTTTCAACCGTTCTAAAATTGCCCGTTTTTCGGCATAACCTGGATTAAACCTCGGTAATCTAAAATTAGGGGTTCTCTTTCATACCTGTTCGCTCATTTCATTCCTTTTCGATCATGTTTAAAACGGTTGAAAAATTGCAATCCGGTGGATAGCGCTAACCAGCTTAAACACCTTGGGCCGGTTGTTCGAAAAGCGTTTAGCTTAAACGGTGGATAAGCCAAAGTTTAAAAATACTCTCATACGTCTTGTGAATGACTGAACCTGTATCTTATGCATTAAATATGTGCTTCCATTGAAAATTAAACTATTTACATCGAAATAGTTGAGCTCAATTGTTCAATAAATAGATCATTTCGTTTTCAATTTTGAACTTATCCACCGTTTAAGCTAAACGCCTTTCGAACAACCGGCCCTTTAAGTCCATACTGGCTTTAATGGCGTGTTTTTAGTGCGTTTGTAGCCGAAAATTCGAGCTCTTCATTTTTTCCTCAGAGGTCGAAGTCGCCATGTTGATCACGAATTTGACCTGGATTTAACTTATATCACAGACAGAATCATTGGTAAGGCTTTGTAGGGTAAATAACCTTACAGGAATGGGATTTTGGTTTTGTGAAAAGTGCAGATGATTAAGTGGCATCATTTTTCTTGTTGTTCTGCAGCGATGTCATTCCCTGCTACCGGTTTGGAGACGACCTATCGTAATGATCTGAAAGACGTTGCAAAATTATTGAAGAAAAAGCACCAAGAGAATTATTTAGTAAGTCCACGGCCTATCTTTCCACTAAATTGTTTGTGCTATGAATTTGGCCCATGTTACATATAAGACAGTATAGGGGATTTCGTATGAAAATGACTCCGATGTGATAGCACATCTATACCTGTGATAAATGAGTTTTGTATCTGAGGTTATTTACAAATGAATTTTTAAATATTATTTGTTTTATTTAGGTTTTTAATTTATCGCAAAGAAGCTACGACATATCAAAACTTAATCATCAGGTAGCTACAATATGTGCATAAAATCTATGACCGACATCATAGCCTTACACTGTTTACGAGTGAAATCTTTCAAAGTTTTTTTATAATGATCTTCTTTTGCAAATGTATAGGTTTTGGATTTCGGCTGGCCTGATCACCTTGCTCCACCATTGGGACGGTTACTAAGGTATTCATTGCATATTATAAAGTATAGTGAATATTTTTGCAAAAGATCTCTGATGTCCACCTATAAGTTCACGTGAGGTCCATACAAGATCACGCGACATTCACGCAAGGTCACGTGTGGTCCAAGCAAGGTCACGTGAAAGCATGTACGAGTCTGTTATTCTCTAGGTATTGAGAAGCAAATGTCGCTCTCTTTCTTGCAGTATATGTAAGTCGATTGATTCGTGGTTGAACTCGGATCCACAGCATGTTGTGGTGGTTCACTGCAAGGTAATCGCCAATAAAATGTTTCAAAACCATTTCAAACCAGTGTACTATAAGCATGCATTACTTGTGTGTAAAAATATAAGGCTCACTCACGCGGCTCTTTGAATCTAGGGAGGTAAAGGAAGAACTGGTGTGGTGGTCGCGTCTTACATGCATTATAGTAAACAGGCTGAAAGGTATGTCTTAAGGTGAATGTTTTCACATAAGGGCGTATACTTTTAGGATTAAACGAAAAACAAGATGTATTTAATTTAGTAAAATAGCTTTCATCTTACAATTATATTTATTGGTTAATTAAGGTTAGATGTCATCTATCATTTTCTCATATAGTAATGTTTTTTCTTTTAGTCCCGAAGCTGCCTTAGACGAGTTCGCAATACGAAGGTTCTATGATGATAAACCGGCTGGGGTCACTCATCCTTCACAGCGCAGGTACAAATATTTTTCAGACTTGATGGTTGCAACTTTCATGCTATTTCCATACCTGCTTTTATGCAAGTACTAAAAAAAACCAGCGAATTGAGAATGCTCTTATATACAATAGTTTTCAAGAGTTTTCGCGTAGGCACTTCCCACATCTTCTTAATTTTTCTTTCTCTTAATTTTTATGCTAGATACGTTCATTACCTTAACGACTACATGGAGAGAAAGATAACCTTGTCAGACAAGTTAGTTGAAATATCTCATTTCCGTTGAAACTGACCCGGTGAAAAAACAGATTAAATCTGGATTAGTTTGCATTCATTTTAACTCGTAGACTAAAAATATAATTATATGTTTGTAGTTTTCTTCATTTGAAACACATCGTTGTTCACATCACGCCAAATTTCGATGGCAAGGGTGGTTGTCGTCCATTTTTCTCCATATATCACGAGTATGAGCTCATATACGAGACGAATGTGTAGTAAGTCGCAAATGTGTCATATCACAAATGCTAGTTATATATATAATGCATGGTCGGAGATTGGACGTGCCTTCATTTCATGCAAGTTTTCTGGTTGTAGTAATGTAAGTCTCATTCAAAATTCTGTATTTTAGTTCGCTCACTCCGGACAAACAAAGGTTTACCGTTACGATTGAAGATGGTTTGGAACTGCGGGGTGATATACTGGTAGGTGGAATTTTGCATTAAATTCAGTGGTGATTCTGAGAAATGTTTGTTTCTACGCTAGCCTGATTCGTTCTCTCAGCTTTATTTCATAGAATTGTAACTACAAGTCTTCTTTTTCTGATTATTCTTCTCGTGTGTTTCCCAGGTGAAATGTTCTCATAAAAGCATGACATCAGCGCGTGAGATAGTATTTCGTTGTCAATTTCACACAGACGCTGTCAAAAATTATTTTCTACGTCTTGGTAAATCCCAGTTGGATTTAGCCTGCAAAGGTAGGTTGATGGTGCGATTATAGTCATCGAATCGATGATGATGATGATGATGATGATGATGATGATGATGATGATGATGATGATATTGGTTAGTTATTGTCGATGATGGTTAGTTATTAGTGATGATATTATTAGCTATAGTCATTGGTAATGAAAACTAATGATGATGATAATGATTAGTGATTTTTGATGGTTGTATTAATAGATTGGTCATTATATAGTGCCGATGATAATAATGATTGATAATGGTCGTTATGTGGTGATGATGATTAGTCATTAGTAATTACGATACTAATGGTGATGTACAGGATGTGATGATGATGATTAATCATTAGTAATTAAAAGATACTAATGATGATATACCGGATGTGATAATGACGGTGGAATTATTGTTGATGATGAAAATTCTTTCTTCAGATAAAAGATTTGCTGAAGAAGGAGCAGTGGAGTTCATCTTTGCAAGTTCAACAATGTTACGAAAAGGTTGGTTGGTTGTATTAAGAAATTTATAAATACAACAGTGTGATCTCTCAATCTTTATATTAAATAATCTTAAAGTCTTCATGCTGGTTGGTTTTACTGTACTGTGTGTTACAAAGAGGAGATTGTGCTCGAATTCCAAAATGCTGACCTTTTAGGGGTTTAACAAATGGTATACCTCAAGACTATGAGTTCATGTTGCTTGTACGATGTTCATTTCTAGACACTGGGGATAATCACACGGGAAACGAACTTTTTGTTCCACGCACGAGAATAAAATCCTACCAATCAACGGACTCGTTAGATAAATGGCGGGAAAGTCACAACGTCGACGGCGTAGAGGAACTGCAGATTACAGGTACATGTTGATACATATAGGGTGTTAAGGAATAAGACGGTAATGGTGTACTTGAGATGAGTTGGGAACAAGAAGGGTTACGGACATAGATTTAGGGACATCGATCGTTAACATGGTGATACGTCACTATGTGGGAATACATACTAGTGTGCACAATCTAGAATTCCAAGCAATGTTTCCTGGTTAAGCGGCCATGTCAACCAAGACTTGAGAAGATAATATTTTATTAATGAATGTAATTTCATGTCATTTTACCCGAAGTCGCAAGACCCTGCTGCATATAGTGTTTTGTTTCATTTATGCATGGTTAAACCCTTAACTATATTTTTTACTTTTTTTCTTCTTCGATTGCGTATGGCACTAAGTTCAACCAAAAATGTGGAATGGCTCATTTAAATGCATTTGAATGCAATCATTTTAAGTTATGTTGATGTATTCGGACCATCGACAATTTACTTGAATATCTGTTTCGCATGCACTTTACAACCTTATAAAACAAACCACTGCATGAACCCTCGAGCAGTTTCTTACATTCATTTTTTTACCGAGTATTCTAATTTTATTAGATAGGTAATCCGGTTCCCGAGAAAAGGTCAATGTGATTTGTGTATATACTGGTCGTAAAGATTTCGTTGAGGGATGTTTTTAACCTTTAACTTATTGTAAATAGTATATATGTAGACCTGTCTACATGGAGAGTATATATAAATAGGGCCTTGTGAAATCAACGCAACCATAGTGCACGCGGAGTGCACGTGGACACGTAGTTGGCGGCGTTGCAAGCCGTTGTCAATACGAGTCAGGTGCTTTATATGGCATTTCTCCCATGGACAGTAAGGCTGGACAATAAGGATGACAAGTTAATGTACGAAACAGTCTATTAGGACATGTAGAATTGGTTTAGGTGCCGATATTAGCCGTAACGTGCCAAAAAACTGAATGGTTTTTAAGGTACATTATGATTCCCTTAGGATTGAAATAAATACCAGACTAGCAAATTTGTAGTAATTCCATGTCCAGATTTTAATCTTAACTTTTTGAATTTAATCCTTTTGGGGTTAATATTCGGGTGAGGGTTAGGGTCAGATTTAGAATTAAAGTTAAGATTATACTCGTGGATTCTGGACGTGAAATTACTACCAGCACATTTAATCCTATTCGAGCTCATTGTATACTTCAATGTCAGATTGAAATTATTGTGTATATTGATGCATATATTAGTGTGTAACGGAGAATATATAAACATGCAGTCTTGAAATTGATCTGACAGTCAGTTCTGTTATTTTACGCGGTTTATCCATAAAAAATTGGCAAAATTCTCGATGAAACTTTGATGTCCAACGGCTGCTGTTTATTCTAGTGTTTTTCATACATGGATGCATACAACATGCACGCAGAAAGGTTGAATGTTGAAACTATAATGAATTTCATTGAAGAACGAATAACAGAGCTAGGAATTCTGAAGTATTTCGTGTTAATATAAAGCATTTCAACCAATCCGTATGAAAAATGTTTGAAGGTAAAGCAGCTTTAACGAGAAAATTCCAGCCGAGATACTTTTGATGTATTGAATATAAGTCTGGACCTACTGCCAAAAAGGTGTAATGTCTGGTGGGACAATGCATTTTTTCGAGATTTTATCATATGTATGCGGCTATGGGTAGTTTAGACCGACATCAGATATACCACGACCGTTATCGCACACTTATGTCCACCAAAACCCCAGCGTGTTTTGGAAAAGATTTAAAGGCAGAGTCCTGATTACTTACAAAAACTGTAACAAACCGATTAGTAAAGTGCTGAATGAGATTTTGCGCAATATTCCCTCATTTGGCATACTAAAAAAGGTGTTCCAAAAGAGCAGTATATTATCTAAGGCAAAGACGTGGTCAAAAACTTGGTCTCGAGAATATATAAAATTTTGTGTCCAAACACCAAGACAATCACATGTAGCGCTGCTCGTAATTCTTATCCCCAGTTATACAAAAGGAATATACGTAAACACTCGAAAAGTAGAGATTAAATCTATATTCAATGACTTCCAGATAGACAAAGAAACTTAACAATTTCAAAACAGAGCACTCGCGAGAGCTCTCTGCAAGACATTGCAAATTTCTGTCCATTAGTCCGATTATAACGTAGTAAAACCCACAACGTATCTTTACACTGTTTCCAAGTTTCCATGCTTAGTGTACGTGTTTATAAATTTCGACCTTTAAGCTGTCGATAAACAAGGCAGTTCTTGGGATTGTTTTCCTCTAGAATATCTAATCTTTAGCCATCTTCATCTGCCCGTATATCGATGTTGATCGGTTTTTTAAGAGTATGGAGGCTGACCGGGGTACATCTGCATAACAATCGACCAACCACAGGAGTTTGAATTAGTCACAGTTTAGTAATCAAAGTCTTTAACATTTTGATGTGGTATTATTCTGCAATCAGTGAATGATTCATTCCTTGTATGCAGTCCATAGGGCTATGAAACACCGATATTTCACGTAAGTACTGTTAGTTTTTTGTTATATAAGGGTATCTGGAGTATTTGAACCGTCGTAAGAAGTAGCTAGAGTTTAGACTTCGAGATAAGATGCAATTTAGCGAAATTGATATTTTGACCTCATGACAAGGCATTCAGTATAAGGTCTGTTGTTTATTTCTATCGTTTGTAATATAAATACATTGCGTTTAAAGATCTTATTAGCAATGTATCAAGTGAATTCGATACGACTGGAATGGAAGTTCCTGTCAATACCATTTCGATGAACTCTTAATCACGAACACACTTTGATAGTGCCTTCTGGAGCAGCCTCTGGTGCTATGATAGTTATCACGCAGTTCTGTGAATCGAGGCTCTTAAATCTTGCAAGCAAGTGAATTTGCCATTCACTATACAAATGTGCCATATTTAGAAGTCCTCTGTAAGCGGAAATATTTTCACGGAGTTGGTGGGACAAAATTGACTCCAAATTTTCACGTACAGTTGTCATTACATGGTCGCAACGAAATGAGGCTGCAGTTATTTGCTCTTGAGATGATTACCTGTTAGCGCCATTTCTAAATATCTTCATTATCTGTTCCGCCTTTCGCTAAAAACCATCACCAAACACGTTTTTATCAGTTATCGATTTCATCAAAACACGTTTTAATCTTTCAATAATTATACAACTTTGTTGAAACTATTGGTTTATGCGGTTGTTTAATATACATGCATAACACTCTGCCTTTGTATAACCATGCATGCCTGCCAATAATGCAAATATATAAACATTCAGGATTAAAGATTTAGCAGGTATATGCTTTGAGATTGTGTTCAGTTTTTGCTACAATGCAGTGAAAGTGCCCTGCTTGTATACACTTGGAAAATTTCTCCATTAATATACCTATATGACAGCCAAAAGTAGCTAAAATAATCGGTCTAGAATGTATCTTCAATTCTTTCTCATTTGTTTCCACGAAACACACGAACTACACTCAAAACCGACGAAGCGTAATTGAAAATGACATGGTTAGTTCACCGCTTCGTATTATAGCTATACTTCACATTGAAACAGCCATGTGATATCTTCGTGGAATTAGCGGAATCTAACTCTTTGGTGCTTGTGTCATTCCTTTATTTTTCGACGTGCTAACTTGTTAACACGACAGGTAATCGTCTGTTATTGCCACGTGTGTTTGCATGTGCTAACAGTCGATAAATATCACAAAACGTTGCAATTCAAGTGCCGTGTTTGCCCAAGAAATTATTGACACCAATTTATTTGAAAAATTGGAAGTGATTGCGGTTTTTTGGGCATATATACACACATGCAATTCATGTTTGAAGATATTTTGAAAGTAATATAGCAATATATGATATTACGTCGGCGCGCAAATAACTTCATATTTTCATATATCTGTTTAGCTTAGCACACTTTGAATATTGGCTTTTGATGTTTGGATAAGCGTACAATTGATCTACGGAGATTTAGGTGAGTTTAAATCAATTGTTAACTCGTTTTATTTTATTGTTTCCTGAATCATTAAAACGAAGATCTGTATTCGTTTTGAGTCGGTCCGATTCTCCTCCTGAGGTATGCGATTTTACCCAATTTCCGCATTTCCCGCGTCGTCGCCCAATAGGCTCTCTATTATCATATGTAGTCATTTTTCTTAACCCTCCTAGCAAGAGCGACACGATTCACGACTTTTGGGGTGATTGGTTTAACGTTTGATGAAAGCCACGTTTGCAATTTTGCTGCGATATTATGTGCAATTTTCTTCTTTTGACCGATGGAAACGAGCAAAAAGTTAGAATGCTTTAATGTTCAAGTCCTCTTATTTGTACATCCGTAACTTATTCACTCATTCGCATTTATCAAAAGGAGAAAATCGCAAGTGTAAGCGAGTTTATACCGTAGCTAACTGGTGTGAGAGCGAGTGACTTGAAGACTTTGCTATCGTGAATCATTTTTTGTTTCACTTTCGTTTCGGCTTCTCAATCGCCAAAGTCGTTAATACTCAAAGTGAAAATACTTGCTGGTAAGCACGAATGTGTCCGGAAGTGGCGACACTCGAGACTAGTTTCCGCGAAAGACCGCCGAGCGGGCATAAAAAAGCCGATTGTGATTCCTTTACATATAAACAATTACTTAAAAAGACAGTCGATATCCTTTCTGGCGTCAAGCGTCTCACGGATGGCTTGAAACACAAGCACTTCGATTATTGGACACTTGCTTTGTGTGCTAGGAAAGCCGACGTGTGTCATGTATGATTCAAAAACCAATAGTCTCATCGTTTGGTTAAGTGGAGAATATTAGTGGTAGCCGGGATATTTGCAGGCGTTTAGTATAGAGAGATAGCGCGCACGCTATATTTGTTACCAAAATTCTAAATATCCCTTCTTCCAAAAAAAATTTTGTGAAATTGGGGGAAATTAGATGAATATTCTGCATGGAAATTATACATTTAAGCAAAGTTTATTCGCCCAATCTGAGCATGCGGAAATTTGTATAGGTAAAAACAAAGGTTACTAAACTTTTTGGGTCATAGCTTGATGGCTGCATGGTGGTTGGACAAACGAATCAATTTAGTTATTCCAATCCTTCGTTTTCCTCACAAACCGTCATATAATAATACAGTTGAAATATTAAATAAACAAATCTTTAAAATTTAAGAATCCATTTTAGAAGGTATTTTCTATGATTTTGTCTTTTGGCATGAACGATGCTTTCCTGACATTCACCTTCACGAGCAGTGGAGTTTTGATAACAACACACGCCTGCATCAGCTGATTTCAATTTAATTAATTAAGGACTGCAATAAACACAGTTCTCTAAGGTCAAGGAGATTTTTACGCCATTTAGAACAGCGGTTCTACAGGATTAACAAATGCCCTGTTTGGAAAATGCGTTTCTTTTGCACCAAATCATAACTTAGACCACAAAATCGCCTTTCGAGCGGTGACTGTTATTATCGTGTGTCTTCTGTGTGTCTTTTTTTTAAGTATTCTTGAAAGGTTGAATTTCCAAGTTTAAATAAGCAATGACCATCATTCCTTGCGCGCATATGGCCCGAAGGTTTAAGTTTTCAGAAGACAATCTTATAATTGAATCATCTGTATGAGATCCATAATCGCTTGTTGTTATGTTAACCGAAGACACTGTTCCATAATGGAACTACTGTAGTTTCATCATGGCGTCTTTTGCCGCAATAACTCGGGAATTGTTTTCTCCGAATGCCGTTCATAACGTTGACAAAACCCATATAAATCTGAAAAATAAATATAAATTAATGTAGATTTAATAAAAGAAATCGCAACATGAGATAAACTTCATGACTTCGTCCACAAAGAAACCAGGGAATCATACGGATTCCAAAATCACAAAAAATAAGGCAATAAAATTCTGGGAATGCTCCACATTATCGTGTTCTGTTATGAAAACAGGAAGCGGTGGGGTTATGCATTTGACCTTAAAAAAACTCCCAGTAATCGAAGTGCTTTGTTTCGCTGTATTTTTTTAAAAAATCGTCATTCATCAATTAATTCGAATGAACATGTGTATGTTTTCAAAAACAAATTATTTTCGTCGCCGCTTCATTTTAACAAAGAAAGCGAGCTGGAAGTTACCGAAGAAATATTTGTAGCTTCGACTAGTTGTATAAGTTCCTATATATATGTACAATCGAAAAATCATTTTGTCTTGAAGAGCCTTACTTAGTTTTATGATTATCTATAATGATTTTATATTTCCACGACTATATTTGCAGTCTAGATCTATAGGCTGTAATCCAAACAGTTACCTTGCCATGGAAACTACCTTATTACGCGATTTCCATACTGGGGATTTTCAAAATGTTTCACAATCATCTCATATCACTCATGGACATGCTATTAAATGATCTACTGCCAACAAAAACAATTATTGCACGTGAAGAAAGGCGCTCTGAGATTATAGATAACCAAGTATAAATATCACCCCAATCTTTTCTAAGGCTACATCCATTCTAAGACATGCACTTTTTAGATTATCAATATTTCTCCCACCTTGCTTGGGACTCCCTGTTTGTGCGGTATATATACCCACAAATTTCACCATGTTGTATCACTTAACATACTGGAAGTCAATGCCAAAGTTAGATCAATTTCAAGAAAGTTATTTAGTTGACACTGTGCCAGAACTGTCCGATGACTTTCCTGAATATTGCCTGTATATACAGTCAAAAGATTGCGTCAAAAGATTTCGCTCACCGTCTGCAGAATTTTCCGTTATTACAAAAAAGAAAAGAAAGTTACAAAATTTAAGATGATATTCTCACACGGAAATTGATTCGGCCAAAGTAAAATCGTTGAACAAAACAGATAGATTTGCTAGGGCTTTGAAGCAGAACAGAAAGTGCTCTTGTGGCTTGTGTGTTTAAAAATCCCATATTGGGTTTTGAGACAGGCAGACAGGATGGTAATATAACCAACGCATGCATGTCGAGATTTTTAAGACGGCTTTGAAACAACACGGATATTTTCCCACAGTATAGAGATATTGCATGTTAGAGTGGCGATAGAGTTATAAAAACATTCGCAGCTGTGCGCTATTTTTTTCATATATATACTGTTTCATAAATTTATTGACCTACCACTATAATGCGAATCACTCATTTGTCGACAGGAGGCAATATTGAAACATGATAACATCGAATGCTCGCTTAGTCGCGCGCCTCAAATATCCATAATTTTTTGTACAAAATGTAAACTTCTTTTCCTTTTCACATTAATCCAGCTTTGCGTTTCGAAGATTTTTGCACGCTAATAGCGATTCGGTATTTCTAATTCGCTCAGCAAGCTCGTACATCGTCAGATTGGCGAAGCTGAAGGGCGCAAAGCATGATAAATATTTGAGTTAATATGATTAATAAGAGATAGATGCATTTAGTGTTCCATGGTATTTACCCTTGACGCAAGTAACTGCGTGTCTCAGGATACTGTTGTGTATATCTCCTATGTAAACGGCTTTCCGTTGAAGTATTGTTTTGATTTTTCTTCATTGCCAAGGTTTGGAGTTTTGCTAGTACTTAAAAAGACAATTTGGACTTGACAGTTTACTCAGAAACGGCTCGATCACGTCGCTGGCTGATCGCATCATCACGCGCTGTCCTTAATATTGCTCGGATACAGTGTGTCGTGTGACTGCGTCGGTTCTTCCATTCAAGGTATGTATAGTCAATTGCCTTTATGACACAGTGTAACGACTCGTGATATTCCTCGACCACTTTTAAAGTTCGTTCTGTTCTGCCAAAACTGTCTACGAGCGAACAGATCTCTAAAGTCGGCGTTCAATGATTAAATCGCTGTAAGACGAAACCCTAGCGCTATGATAACCAGCAGCTTCGCATATAAATAAAGAATACTGATGCTTTTTGTGTATATCAGAGCTGTCGGTAAGCTCTTAATCGGAGAATCCCGTTATGTTTCATACTAATTGTTTTAAAATTAAGGCACTCGGGTGCGTTTAATATATTTTTTTTTAACTTCGAATGCAAATTTCGAGTTTTATCACAATATTTTGTCGCTTGTTTGAAACATAAACTGTACTTTAGACTTTAATTGTTCCCTTAATGGCGAAGTTAAAAGCATTTTCACAGGTACCAAATCAACGTTTTATGTCTGTGCCGAAATTGGCAATTGTTTGACCGCGACAAACACAAATGGCACTCGAAGTAACGGCTATAAATTGCTGTATAAGCGATCATTTGATGCCTTCGAGTGTGGTATAATTTTTGTACTCTCTTAAAACAACATCAAACGAACCATAAACAGTCAAACGCGTATCGTATTCTTCATATAATAAAGATTAATAACGCACTTATAAGGTATTATCGACGATAAGCTATGTCGTGAATTTGCGCTCGCAACTTTTACAACGGGAAGTCAAATTTTACGGACGGCTGTTTTTTGCTATGTCAGTATATAAACTCCAGCAAACCTGTCCCCCCGAATTGGGTTAGTGTAAGCTCAGGGTGTGGGGCCGATGATTTTGAAAGCGGAAAGGGCAGGAGGCGGTAATTTGGTATTTTATAACTTGGCACCCAATCGCTATGAATAGGAGTAAATGTTGTGATAATCTCACCAAACGGAACATGCTTCAGGCAATACGAAAGTGAGATGCTATAATTTGTTTAAACCTCAATATATACTACCTATACTATCTTCGCCATGCGTGATTGTATCAGCATCTGACGTGCTTCCAATCAAGCCCCGCGTGCCAGATTTCTGATGATTTTTCGTGGAATTCGAGCAACTTTGGGACGTCACGTATATATTAATACTGATTTATGACGGCGTAATGAAGACAAATTCAATAATGTATAAATATGCGGAGATGTGTTTACCGGTGCTTAAAACCGATGTGATGAATGGCAAATACCTTGTGGGGAAGCCAAACAGTTTGCTTTGAATAACATGAAGTTTAGAGGAAACTCCATAGATTCTAAGGCTACACCGCTACATACCATATATAATTTTTGCCTTTCTTTTGAGTATCACAACTTTGACATTATGTCATAATCGTAATGTGTGTCCTTCGTTTTCCAAAACCTTTATCAACATTTAATTATATATTCTATGATAGTATTTCTCCTTTTTATGTATAGCCAGACAAATTATTTATTCATATAAGCCTCATTTTTATACTCACAGTATTTCCATGTGAGATTTTCTTCGTGTGATATATATGTAAATGAGCAAATAGTTCTGAATGTTTTGATGTAAAAGTTCCCTGATTTACAAGCCGTAACTTATCTACTTGATCAGGAAAATCGCATCGAAAATCTTCGTAAAAATTTAAAACTTAAACGGGCCTATATTTTCTTTAATGCTGTGAAAATGAATTTGCATACAATCCTCACACGATGTACTCTCAAAATTTCTCTCCGACGTGTATTGTGCTTTTGGAGACGCCAAAATGCATAGACGCACCAAATTTGGGTCTGTTGCATGGGTGAGTTTCATTGAAGTTCTTAGGATATAAACATGTGTAATGTCTTTCATAATGGCTTCCTTAACACTTACATCCAGCAATTTGGATATGATTCAGAAAATAGGGTGAGGGAATTTTACCACCACACCTTATAAGACAAAAATTTGGACGACAACCATTGATACTTCTTTATTTCGTAAAGATCTTTAGCAAAGCCTTTTAACTCTTGTTTATCAAACTTTAGGCAATTTGTAAAATGAGTGGGATATAGCCAGCCAAGTAGAGCCTATGATAGTTCAACCTGAAACCCTTATCAATTCCTTATCAAAACACCATTATGAAAACATCTATCTATATCCATATCTATCATTAAAAGTTATCTAATAATCTGTATAGATCGTTTTCAAACTGCATATCAGATATCGAATTGTATAGGAACGCGCGAGTTTATATGTTATAAAATATGTCGATTAAAGTATTAGGGGTGCTGTAATCTCAAAATCCTATTAGATTGGGTTTGTGTTAATCTAAACTAAAGCCCCGTTTACACTACACTCAATTTATTGGCTCGGCACGGCTAAAATTGGTACCCGTACTCAATTTTTTTAGTGTTCAGGCTACCAAAACAAAGGCCGAGCACAGATGAAATGGGCACGGGTACCCATTTTAGCCGTACCGTACCATTAAATCGAGTGTAGTGTAAACGGGGCTATAGTATATCTCGCAACTTGATGATTTTAAATAATTGTTTTGTCTTAGTACAACCATAACATCTATAAAGAGATCTCCATTACTTAATTGATGATATAAACTTGCGTTTTATTTTACTGAAACTGTTGAGATAACTTAACATTTTTCTGGTATAGAATTTCTGTCCGACATGTCAAATTCATTTATCTTTTTGCATATACGATTTCAAAAACCATTATCAGCAGACAATTTGATAAAATACAAGACATAATTGACAATGACTTTGAAATAAAGTTGAAATTTCATCTTAAAATTCTTGTCTTGTTGTTATAGCTCATATCTTGAGTTTACAAGATGTCATTTTTCTCAGAGTAATGTTTTTTCTTATATCAATTTCGCCAAAAGATTATTTTGATATTTGCGCCATGCACGGGCTGGACCAAAACGTTTGAGATATATTTCACAGGTAGTTCAGTCACAAACCATCAGTTTTCTTTCAAAACTTTTAGACGGGGTATATGTTCGGAAAGGGAATATATTTTGCAGGTAAGATAACTTCGTGCAAGGCTGAATATACCCGGATATAAAATCTTATTCAAATCGTAATTTCAACACAGACATGGTTTCAAAATCTGTAAATCGTCCCACACATGCAGCATGTCAAATTGATATGTTCAATTAATCTTATAATTTTATTTCATTATGCATGCATGGCATATTATATCGTGTGTCCACGCATAAGTCGTCTTTCTTTTTAAAGGAATAAAGAATACGCACCACGTTTCGGAGCATGTGTTTGCATTAAAATACAGTTTATAAAACGACGCGTGTTAAAAATATTACATTTCCATGGTTATATATATATACGAATTATATTAAAACTTTCTACATATTCATTCACCCTATAGTTTCAAAAACTGCCCGAAGTGCCCTCGTCATACTTAAGCCACTATCATGCATGTAAAAGACTTCTTCTCGTTTATGCCGCGACTACTTGAGTGCTATAAAACCATGTCGAGATTTCCGGCCTTTGGTATTTTCTATCTCTAACGACATGTTAAACAATAACACATCCCTATATATACCTTTTGAAATTTACTCAGGGTTGAAATCTTTCGGTCAACGTAAAACGTACTACAAAGTTTTAGGTCTGGCCGTGTCCTTCGAAAGAATATTCTAATGCTTGGCGCCTTGGTGCGGAAATTCACAAAGCAAGCTCGCTCTAAGGGCAATATAGGGAATATTTACGGAAGCCTGTACGTATATATATTTTGAATTGTCGCTTGTCGGGCAACGTGCAATTTGACATTTACATTTAGTATACAAAAAGATGGTGGAAATTTTCATCTGAGCTTCTAGGTACGCTTATATTTTGAATGAATTTTGTTTCAATGTGTTCTGTGTGTTCTCTTTTATATATATATATATATATATGAACGTAGATTCTTCATAATATCAGGATATATGTTACATATAAATATAATCCCTTACAACAACATAAGAACCAATAGCAATTTCTGGTCTATAAAATGTGTTCTCTGCTCACAAATTATGCCCAGTGGTGTACATGCATTGGTACAATGCTCATAATTATGGTGTATATATAAACACAAATGACAGTTACAATGCTTTTATATTGAAGTTAATTCGTAAGTGTTAATTGTATTAATATAAAAACAGTTAATGAAATGGATTAACCAGTTTAAAAGACCTGCTAAGATTACACCTAACTTTTCATATCTTTCGTCTTATATACTATACGTGAATATAGTGTTATATATTATCGTGTGATTGAATGTGATATTCCCTCAGCGTAATCAGTGTTTTGGATTCTTTGCATTCTTCAGGAAATTACTCGCTGCGTCTTGCTTTTCAAGCGCTTGTTTTGGGTTCGAGAAATAATTGGTGACCACAGCAGGCAAAATTGTTTATTTTGGCCGGATTGTAGATTATTTCATGCAACTTGTGAGGCTAAAATTATCGTTTACTATTTTTGGGCCGGTTTTAATCTAATTTTCAAGCGCAATATTTCACTCGTCTGAAGGAGTATAGTTTTAGAGTTAGCGGAAAATACACTATATTTTTACTGGTAGAAACTGCTTATTTGCAAGGCACTGCTTTGCTGAACTTGAAAATTATTTGCTTTCCTGTAGGCCAATTTATCACCGGTTATTCTACAAGGGTTTTTCCTATTGACTGAACAGGCATAAGGTTGATTTTCGTAAGGAAAATCAACCTTTAACCGCAGTATTTGCGGAAGAAACATCCATCATCGAACTGCCTTATAGTTGCACGGAGTTCATATTAAGATAATTGCAAGCTATATGTTCCGAAATTGTTCCCATTCTTTGTGTTAATATACAGTAATAAAGACGATGTAATGAAAACTCATTGCCCTAGCAATCTCCAGCTGCGAAGAGCGCTGTATTCTTCAAATTTTTCAAATGTTTCCCCAGACTTTCCGGTTCAGGCATCGGGATATTTCTCTTGAATAAAAAAAAGCGAAATTATGTCACCAACTATGTTTGGCTCAGCGCTGCTTTCGGAACCGTTTTCGCTGGTATATTGGCTCTTTGCAACACGATTGTTCCGCAATCGACCATTTTACATATCAATTGCCCAATTAGTACAAGAATGTGGCTATTAAGTCAATAATTTGACTGCCCTAAACAGCTCTTTGAAGCCATCGCCCAGAATTCTTGTGGTATATTTTTTCTATTTTTATCCCCTGGCAGTGTTGGAATCATCGACTCCTTAAAGACGTTTCATCAATGCAGATTATAATTTAGGCATTCTTTTTCTCCAACCGGCTTTCCGCTGTATAAGCTGTTTGGAATTTTTGGTTACTTTTTTACTATTTTTCGTTCATTGATAAATAAAAGCTGGCCGGGAGGGGAACACGGTCAGCGCTCTGCATTATACAACTGAATTTAGCCTGTACCACTACATGCCTAGGTCACGGTGGTAGAACCGTACAAGCGTGACCATGCAAGAGGGTTTACTTTGGGTACCCGGGTCTTCCCTTGTAATAACCTTTAGAAACAGTCATTCGGGTCACATTGAGTTGTTAGGGCTGTTGAGGACTCCTGTCATTAAAAGTTAGTTTGATATTGAATATTTACGATGATAATTCCTAGAATTCCATTCGCACGACTCTCTTCCATGTTAAGAATGCCTAGTTGTTCACGCTTGCAATTTTCACGCCAGCTTCGATACGATTTTCTCCTTTTGATAGATGCAAACGAGGGAGGAGTTATGTTCTAATGTGTAGGTGCCTTCAACCACAGCTTCAACTGAACATTCATAACTTTTCCACACCCGTTCACATCCATCAAAAGAAGGAAATGCATGTTTATAATCAGCTAATCTCTTAATGCTGTGGTATTTTAAACATTCTTCATGCTTATGTGTAGGTGCCGAAATTGAGTCTCCTTGTACATTAAAGTATGCAAGCGGTACATCGCCCTGTTAATATGGACTTGATAGGTATGTTACAAATCCATAATTTCCGGAACAGAGAATGCGTTTTGCCAAGTAGATGTAATGTGAATAAACTTATTAACTCGGAGGTTTTACTCGAACTTCAAAGGTTTTTGCCTCCACGTACAGGTTCTTAGAAACACGTTTCCAATTATGCTCGTTTGCAGTCCAATCCACGGGATGGCATGGTAATTCCTAACAGGATTATTTGCACGCCAGACCGTGTTACTGAGATAGCAAGGGGTATGGTTTTCCGTGTGAGACCCTGCATGGATTGGGATTTGAAGCGTTTTCTTTCATTTTACAAACCCTTGCTGAAGAAAATTGTTAGCTCAAAAGTTATAAAATCCGGTCCAACACATACTATACATCAACTTTTTTCATCTGACATTCTCCCCAATCATGGCGATTTCCCTTCAAAATTATGCCACTACTGAATGTCCAAGAGTATAAATTAATCCTTGTTCAAGCTCTTATTCATATACCCTTGTCTTCACTTCAGAAACCCCACCTCACATTCCTGGCCCGATCAATGGTAATCCGTACGCCGTGGTCAACCAAGCTATGAAAATGAAATGCCGCGCAGACGAGGAACACGCCGCTCGCGACAATGATTACCCTGGCGAGACGAAGATGGCGAAATATAACGGCGACAACAACGTCTTTCAGTTTCCAGTTGTAATCGGAGAAAAACAGTTACGAGAGGAGGACCGCAAGGCAGCCATGGACGAACTACTGGGGAACCTCGGCGTTGAACGCAATGGCGACAGAAATACCACGGTTACCATAACAACACAGGTTACCAAGACCAATCCACAGCCACCCCAGAGACAAAGTAGTTTCAAAGCGACAGAAAAGATAATAATGAAGAAAGGTTCCCAGGCACCGATGGCTCCGTCATCTCCAAGGCAGAGCTTCGAAGTGCCGCTCGTTCAGACGGCACCAAACGAAGACCCGAATTTATACTATGCTTCGCATTACGCGGCCTCGCAGCCCGGTAAAGTTAAGGCAAAGCTGCACATAGACCCGCATTCGGGCGGACAAATTTCACCGACCGCATCGCCGGAACTGATCTCAAATCGTAAAATGTTAATGGATGTAATTGAAGGCGACTCTGGTGACGATCTCGACGCGACAACGGAACCGGAGGTGACGGAAGTGCGGAAAGTGGACAGCGACACGGAATCTGAAGAAGAAATCTCCTTTCACGAAAGCCCTACCCTGCCGAGGCGTGGAAATGTCGCAGCGAAGGTTCAATTTCTGTCCAAGTCCGTCGCGTTTTCTCCGCCCCCTGACGCGGAGGAGCAAAACAAACGAAAGAACACCTCCGTGCCGTTGATAGGTCTGACTCATCTGGGAGCTACCGACGTGACGGACAGGATCGCCAAACACAACGAAAAATCTCTCGCTGCCGGCCAAGTCATGGCCACTGCTAATATGGTGTTGTATAGCAGTAAACAGCCGCCCAAGAAAGTTGTGGAGTATAATCCTGATGCACACGACCACAGAGAAGAAGAGGGTAGGAATACTCATGGCTTACTTTAAAGCAAAGCTATCATAAATAATGTTTATCCTTCTAGTGATACTTCTAAATTAGAACTGATAGAGCTTTCCAGTATAAATAAAGTTAGTTTAGTTTAGGTTTCCTCCTGTAGTAACACTGGATCAATACACGATGTCCCTTACTGGACCTCTAGGAAGAACAGTTTAGAACTGATAGAGCTATCCAGTATAAATAAAGTTAGTTTAGTTTAGGTTTCCTCGTGTAGTAACACTGGATCAATACACGATGTCCCTTACTGGACCTTTTGAAAGAAATTCCTGGACTGATCAAGCTATAAGTACAAGTATAGTCTTTTAGAATCAATGGTAGTCTTTTAGATTAATACGATTCAATTTTTCATATCCCTTTGCGGAAGATTGCAAAATAACCAGTAAAAATATTAGTCAAGATTTGATTTCACCCTATTATATCCTAAAATCTTAAGGGATTATCCTTAGATGGTGAGATTTAACTGATTGTATTATGGAAAGACCCTTTTATTGCTGTGTGTTAATCATAAAGTTCGTTTTATATTCTTCCACTTTATTTAGTTGAAGATTTCCGTACCGCTCCAGTATTACGTCACCACCAGGAGGGTTGGAACAAAGTGGAAACAAATGAATCAGACACAAGTGACGTACATTCGGATCAAGCTATAGAGGAGGACTTCCCCCCTCCACCTCCGCCTGCTACTCCACCCCCCGTCGTACAGACCATCAAACTGGGCCAGCAGGCTGAGTTCAGGCTCAATATCCAGCTTTCAAGCGTGGGCAAACTTGAACCTGTACGTGAAAGGTAGGTACTATCCCGTCTATTCCTTGATTATCCATAACCATGCCTTTATGTATATGACGAATATATAACCCTGCATCTAATGACATACAACCCGTCACAGCGGGTTGTAATTAAAACCCATGGCACGTTATCGGTTAATGTCTGTAAGTTCATGTGTGTATCATTCTTCATGATAACGCTATGAAAAGGTCGCACCATGACTAAACTCGTATTGTCATCACAAACTATATGTTCCAACGATAACACTTTCATCTTGTCGTTCGTCGAGAAGAAGCCCAGCCTCATCGTAAAAATCTCTTCTGTTTGCAGCCAAGATCCGTCGGATTCTGGCTGCGAGACCTCCACTCCGCTATCGCCACCGCCCGGGATTAAAGTCGACGAACCTGCGATTCAAAAACGCCATGTACAAGTTGAAGAAAGCGTGGACGATGCTTTATTAGAAGAGCTATTTCGAAATGATTCCTCGAAAGAAATTCAACCTCTTCAAACGCAGGTAAGATTAGACTCAAAAACAGCTTGTTTATTTCTGTTTCAGAAATTTTACTGCATTGCAATGCATTCATAACCGATTTTATATTCATGTTACTTTGGTTTTGTGACCATATGCAATCCCAACACAAATCTCAGTGCATTTCCAAAGGCGATTCATCTCCTCTTGCTGAATCACGCTAAACTTCTGTTTTTTATTACGAAAGATTTTTTTTTCATACTCGGGAAAAAACTAGGTTGAGTAACTTGGATCATCACATACTGTCGACAATTAAACTGTATTTTTGATTTTTTGTGGGTCTTTTGTAACTTTTTACGGACATTTAATACATATACCTCACAGTGGCCGCCATTATGACATCATCATCAATTTAACAGACAATCGTGTCTAGTTAACATAATGTTCGATGTTTGACAATGGGTGGATTGCCAAGATAAACAATAAATGGTGCCGAATTTATACTTTTTCCAGAAGACAATGTGACTGAAATACAAAACGAAACAAACTCTGCTTCATTTTTCATAATCAAGGTTTGACTTTGAGAAACGACAGATTTCCTAACGCAGAATTCCTTGACGTTTGGTTTCCATAAAAAACGATATCTTAATAGGGTGTATAAAAAAATTACGATTCCAAAGTGTCATCTATAGACACTTCACACGTTATCAGGCAATGGAAGCCATCATAGTAACAACTAATAATAGATTACATTGTCCGCCTCCTTTTCAAGCTATTGTTTTGTGTGTATTGAACGACTAAATTCGGCAAGTGTCTATTCTTGACTGTTCGCAAAATTTATACGTAATTATTTAAGCGAAGTTAAATCCTTTTATATTGGCTAATGACTTTATTACAATCAAATAATTCGCGAATTTCAGTTTTGAAAACGTTTAGCATTTCTTTGAAGCTTTGATCCTTATAAGTTATGGTGCGTCCAAGAACTGAATTATTCCTTAAATTGTTATTAAATTTGGTATTGCATTAGGTGGGAATATATTCAGAAATCGTATACGATGTAACTCACGCGTATTCCAATATATATCTAGTATAGTTTCGTTCTTAGATGTACTAAATGGACCTAGACTACCAACGACGTTGCAAGCTGCATGTATCAAGAATATATCAGATAACTTTTGCAGTTCATAACATACTTTGAGGCAGCCGGAATATAACAACCCTTGTTGTCAAATTACCTATAGATCGTCGACAACCTTGGTTGAACCAGGGTTCAACGCTCTTTGATTTTGCTTCAACTTTGAAAAGTATTTGTGAGGTTTATATGTTCTTCAGGCAAGCAAAATTATGTATCTCAACTTGCGTGAATGAAACAAATTTGCATGCAACCGCATGTTCCTTGAATGAAATTTATTCTCAGTTATTCAAAATAGGGTGGAGCTCTTATGTCATATTAAGTTAAAAATAAATCACCCTCAACATGGCACCGACCCAGCACGCCATTCATTCCTACAAACTTCGGCGTCTAATAATAAAACCATCAGTGAGGGTCGTTTACCTTCTGCCCAAGTCGCACAATTTTATTTCTCAGTACTATAAGGTACTTTCATCGAATAGGTTAACATGCCAGTCAAATCTGAAATTCCAATGAGAGATTAATAACAAGAATACGATAATCCACATCAAACATACTCGATAGGGTAGCGATCAAACACTCGTTTCTCGACAGGATGCCATACCATTATATGGAAACTCATTATATCACTGGAAATAAAATTGAAATACTTCGAGCATCAATCTATAGATTCATTGTCTACATATACATGCTTCCTAACTGAGTCCAGTTGTGTTTGTGAGGCTTATAATAGCAGTTATATCACTTGCTGAAGTTCGCGAATTGAGGTTCGTTGTTGAAACAGAGTGAAACAGTATATAGGTATGAATGTTACTTGAAGTTTTATGTTTAATTGTTTTGCTTGAACGCGTTTTACGACTCCAGATTTAAGCAAAAAGTCTCATGCCTTTTTTATCTCAGTTTACATGCAACATACAGGTCAAGGTTTTCAGATAACACAGGAATGTAAGAGTGTTGTCTCCTATTGTATTAACAGACGATAGATAACCAATACAACAGAAATTATATCCTAGTTACCGAAGTTTAGACGTAGGTTTAGAGATTGTTATATTGATTAGTAGATTATACGAATCAATGAGCAAAACAATGCTCGGTAGATAGAGCTCTCGATTGTTTTTCAATAGTTTTCATTCCTTTGAACGCTGTTGTGGTTAAGTGTAGTTTGTAGCCTCATTCTTACCCGAATCTCCACGAGGCTCTCTGGCTGTTAATTTACAATTCAAGCGCAAGAACTTTCAAATGGCTTGAAAGTTTCGCTATCAACAAACGTTAACAAGAATCGTATTAGAATATTGCACTGAATATTACCACATATTGGGGTTGGACAATAGAAAACTCGCAACAAAATACTTTGAACACGATTACTTCGAGCGTGTTTTTGTGTCTCAAAATCGCGAAAGCAATCGTTTAGTTAACTGCGGTTTCACAAAAGCCACTCTTTCTTCATAATGCATCCTGTATTCGAGTTCCTGTTTGTCATATGGTCTAGTCAATGTAATAACATGCACATTCATGTGGTGTGTTGTCATGTGGGGCCCTGCTGGGCACCACCTTTCTTTGAGGTTTACATCACATAAAGAACTTATTCCGTGATCGATCAAAGACGCGTATAATGTCGATGCAATATCTAGCCTACTCGGAAAAGTGTTTGTCTAACACACCATGTGAATTTCAAGCCGTGAAGGGCGTGTTACTACCGGAATTTTGCTGTTAAAAGTTTTAGTTCACATTCTTCGTTTGCCGCAGAAAAACTGGCAATGTGTTTTCCGTAAAGATATGTCAGTTTGTGTCCGCAGCGAATCTTGCCCCGAGGAAATGGAAGTTATTTGTGTCACTGTGTCTTTTCGCTTGAAGAAGAAATGCGATGAATCCAGCTGTCAAACTTGGGTAGTTTAGAAAAAAGTAGTTTCACAAATGTATCTGTCAAACGTGTGACACATTTGATTGACACTTGTTTCAATCGCTTTTACAGAATTCCAGCGAATCCAGCAGTCTCATACGAGGTCAGAGTAACGAGGTCAGCACTCCAGTTAGATATTTCGCGACGAGCACTCCTGTTGCAACTGTGTCAAAGAGACCAGATTCGGAAGAGAGGAGATACAGGGACGAAGATGAGGCCGCGGGATATTCGAGGATAGAAGATATCAAACCAGGCAAAGGAAAAGAAGAGGTCAGTGAAATGAAGGACGTCAAACAGAATGGAATGACGGACGAGGAGTTCTTAAACAGGTATTGGGGAAAACCTATAGGAATTCATAGCTATCCGTTTTGTTGAGGGCCGGCCGCTTCGTTGGAAGCCGTGTACTTCGTCAGAGGCCGTGTACTTCGTTGAAGGCCGGCCGCTTCGTTAAAGGCCGGAAGAGAATTGATGCACAAAAATTCTGATCAATTCTAATGAAATTTTACTCCACTTTGATCAGTCGACCGAAGATCATGATTTTTTATAAATTAAGTTTCTATGTCAGCCTGTTCATAGCCTTCCTAGAAACTTAGATTTAAGAAGGGAATTTGCTTCCTTTGGATTAAAAAGATGTTTTGAAGAAAATTATGACTGTGATTTTAATATGGAGGAACCATGATACCCAATTTTCGAATCTACGTTGCATGTTTGCATGTTGTGTTCTGAAGGAGCACTAGAAAACACAGCTTTATATATGCATTTATTATTTATCACGCATGTTCCTACACATATTGCCATTAATTAATGAAATCAACAACTCTTTAGGGGAGATCTGTGAAAAGTAAAGAAAAATTCATTGCGTTTAAAGTACCGCGATAATTGAGGAATAAAATATTCTTCTCTTATATGTACAAATAATGTCGAATTAATTAGAATCGTACTGGGGTGCATGGTCACGGAAAACCCGCGACAGTCTTGTCAATTGATGAAAAACAACAATAAAATTGGTGTAGATTAAATTTATCAATGCTGTTTTGTGAGGTGACACTATTGTGACTGACGTAAGCCAACATTAGGTGGTTTTAAAGCGCTTCAAAACTCGTTGCAGGTAATAGATACATACACTAGACTTTTTCATCAAAATGGTTGCAACTAAAATGCTTTCTAACTTGCTTTCTCTCTTAAAATGCTTTCTCTCTTAGATCTGACACTACTGGAAACTGCTTGTATAGCTCTGTGTCCTTAGTAGAAGTGGGTAACAATAGCCTAATGGAGCTATTGAGAGTTTTGACCACCATAGAGCTCTTCCTTAATGCTGATTTTTATTCTCAGCACCCTTGTTTTTCTTTTGTGGTGGAAGAGTATGATCAATACTTCAGCCAAAGTATCAATAACCTTTTATCAGTGTTTGTTTCTAAGAGATGTTTAGATACTGGTTGTATGAAATATGACTTGGTGAGACAGGAAGCTATATATATACTTATATAATTGCAGTGAGAAGAAATAGTCATCCTTTCTCTGTATAATGGATGGGTCTTAATTTCTTCAGTTTTAAATAGGAATACATTCAGTTTTAAATAGGAATAGGAATAGGGGTTTTGAGCGTGATAATCCTTGAAGGGGATTTTGACAATTTTGACAAATAGATGCATGGAATAAGCTAAGCTCCAAGGATATTCTAACGGTTGAAATTGAACAATATCTTAAACTTAGACTGTCTGTTTTTTTTATCCCAATTCTCTAAGCTCGTATGAAAAACCGGAAAGTCCGTTTCTTAGTTTTCTAGCCTCCATATTAATGAAAAACGTATGTAGTGGAACTGATAGAGCGATGTTTAAACTAATTTTAAAAATCAAACGGTTCAATTTTGTCAACATTTCAGCTGGTTACGACATATTTTGTTGACGTATCTTTTGTCTTTCCCTCCAGCTACAAGGTTATTCCAGAAAAGCCAATGGAAGAAGAGATCAGTCCCGTACCAAGCCCTACGACGAGTCCTAATGAGACCTTGAAGAAAACGAAGCTTTCTGCGGCTGAGCGAGGACCTGCAGTCCTTAACGAGCTCATCAACGGGATTAGAACGATGAAGTGAGTATAAAATTATTAGCGAGGTTCAGTCGTGACTATGACTGCAAACATGAAATTTGTTATTTTTGCGCTAAACTCGGTGTTGTTTGCTCACGCCATCGTGCAAAACTCGTAGTTTTTCGGGCTTCTGAGATCGAGTTTTTCGATCAATTTCGTCTTCAAAACCAGAGCAACTACGAGTTTCGCCAGATGGCGTGAACAAACAACTCGTTGCGAAGTGGCGAAGTTCCATTGAGATGAATGAAATGAATAATAAATGCTTTATTCATCTCAATGCGTAGCCGTACTCGTAGCTGCTTATGCATTTTAAACCAACCAAAAGACGGTCAAATTGAACAAGTTTTTAGTTTAGCATGATGACTGCAGTAAACAACTCGTGAAATAAGCGAATCTCATAATCGTAGTAACTGCAAACGCTTTCTAATGTCACCCTATAAGAATATAGATATTCGTGTTTTGTATTCGTTTATTATTACAACGGCGCGTGGTCGCCAAGTTTGGTTGCAGGGCGCTTATACGCAAGTACCCAGTTTGGTTGCGCGCTCTTGTCACAAAATAGACTATTAGACTGTCTATTATAATGTCTATTCTGCGCTCTTGTCTTGCCCCACAATATGCGCATGCTTGGGCGGGGTGTTTTTGCCCGATACCGTGGAAGAAAAGCCCTAGGGGTATGGAGAGGAGATGAGACGAAACGAGTAATTCTTAATATGGCTTCCACGCGTTTGTTGTTCCATAAAAAAATGATTCAACCCAATATATCTTTGCCAACTATAAAAGGAATAATTCATATATATTGAACCGCCTTTCCGAGTAAAAAAACCGCTTATGCATACACATTTTGATAACCAATATAGAAGGGGAAAATTACAATATTAAAGCGAAAAACCCGACAAATTATCTCTAATTTTAGGCAAGAAATGTCCTACAAAGCGAAAGAACAATCAGAGAGTTCAGATGTCTTCCCAACGAGCCCAAGTAGTGATAAATCTTCGTCGTCATTATCGCCAACATCGACGCTGTCTCGCGGGAAACGAAGGCATAGGAAAGCCTCGGACAAAGGCTATGGATCCACAAATTCAAGTTTATCTGATGCAGGTAAGGTTAAAGCTCTAGCGTGCGTCTATCGCTACCCCCGAGCCCACGATGACTTTGCTTTCAGTTGGCGGTCTGGGAACGATTGCTTTCAACATTATCCTACAAAAAGTCTTCCCCTTTGTTATCAAATCACGGGAATAGTCATCGGCGTACAAATAAACAATTAAAAATTTTACTTTAATTTTCTTGTTTTAACAAGTGCAATTTCCGAAGTTGACGAGAAACATCTGCTTGACCCTGTAAACTCTCGTGACGTTTTACTAATCCAAGATTAACACTAATCCAGTAATATGCCCGTGCTTATATGGGAAAGTTTACAAAATCATGCAAAATTTAATAGTTCGTTAGATAATATGAAAACAATACGATTTCCTTGCCCTGGAAATGCCTGTAGACCACAGCTGGTAGGAAAGCGCTTGTAAAGCACTAATAGTTTACATTTTTTATTATTTCTGGACCAAACTCGCTTTAATACGGCCATAATCCATTCAAAGAACTTCCGGTAAATTAACATTACAATAACCTCACAACAAAAGCACAGCACCTTCGAGTGAAGATCTAAAGAATCGAAATTAACTCCTAGCTGTGTCAACAAATTGTTAATCTGGAAAGTTTGCAAACCAGAAAAAGCTAGAAGCAACGTGTCTGCGTTTAAAGTTTAAACATTGCTTCTAAATCACCTAATCTAAGTCGATATGATTTCAACTCATCTTACTCTACGAAAAACAGCCACTTTTGTGATAATTTGTTGCCAATAAATATAATTCGCCGTATTTTTAAACATTTATCATGCATCCTATGACTTATCCCTTACTAAACAATAGCATTGACATTGTAAAAACGAAAATAAGTACGTAGAACTCTAACCATTAATTTTCAAAGTTTACATGCTTTTAAAAGCTATATTTCAGAAATGTCATCCTATACACTAATATAAACTTCAGCCTGTTCACTACGAGAGTTCATCGTAAATATTTAAACTTTCTGAACTTTGTAAATGTAAAGCCAAAGGGTATTTTTTACTGCGATTATTTTTAGCTACAATTGTGTCACACAAACAATAAAGATATCAAAAAATTTTAAATTAGGCTATCTCGTATCTCGTACTGCAAAAAGTACAAGTCATTTTGTATAAAATTTTCCGTATAATTGTGTTGTAAAACAAAAACTATTGCATGTTTTTCCAAAGTTTGCGTTCACGTTTTGACACGACAAACACTTAAGTGATTATGCTTATTCATTTGTAAGACAATATGCGTGACTGCTATATGATTAGGAAAAGATTTTTTTCTTTAGAACACTAGCAATTTGCATAAAACTTGGATAAATAATCGTGTGGGCCTGTAATTAAATTGTTTCCGACCAAAATAGCGGCGCTGAAAAGATATATTTAATAGAAAGCCCGTGAATCACAGTCTGTGAAGTTTCGAGTTGGTGGCACACGAGCAACCGTCCAATCGTGTTGTCGCTTGTTTCAAAACAACGAGAAAGGTTGCAGGAAAGTGAACAGCACATAAGATATTCACTACAACATTCTCGTAAATTCTGCGATAATCCGCAACAAGAGTAAACAGTACAAACCAAACCTTCCTGAATACCCGAGGCAAGTTTGAAGCGATTAAACTCGCGATAAAACAAGGAGACATGTCTACTACGACTACGATTAAGGGAAGCGATTCACTAGACGATTTGTTACAGAAAATACGTCTTGCTACTAGAACATCTCTGAACGCTCTAGAAGTCGAGACTAATATTTGTCCTCATTGTGGAAATAACCGGCATTCGAACCCGTACGCTAACTTGAAAAACCTCTCTGGTATAGACACGAACGGAATCGAAGGTATATACTATATCACAAAGTTTTTGATCGTAAAACAAATACATTAATATCTCTCAGCGCCGGCCGGTCTTTCAATAATTATGAGGCTTATTAAACGTTGCTCTTTATTATATATATAACGTGTAGTGTAGCACAAGAGAGCTAGACTTTCTTTCAGGCATTTTAAGCATTTAAAATTAAATATAACCTGCTTTAAATTTGTAAAACATAGAGTTTTCAGCCGCCATATTGTTATCAATATTCAAGTACTTCATGGTATAACATATTATATTATCTATTCGACAATTTGCCAGTGAAAAGGTTAACTTTTAAATTTCTTTGTTATTTAATACATAATAATATATCGTTGACAACTCGTTTACAATACTAAGAAAAGGACTTTTTGTTCAAACGACCAATTGCTTGCTCGGGTCTGTCAAAACATCATGGGAAAATGTTGTTTAACATGTCACATGTGTAGGTTGTCGGTTGTGCAAATGCAGCATGGCAGTGAACATGCCCTAGTTAAATGCCATTTGTTTATGAGAATGAAAGTTCATGGAATATTGAATTTCTAAAGACAATCACTTTTGGGCATTGTAAATTGAGCTCTCAGTTTGTAATCTGTCGTCGCAAACCTCCCTGATTGCAATTTAACAGGCGAAGCTAAATATAACCGTTACTAGATTTATCCATTAGCTTGCCGAACTTATGAATATAAAGATCTTTGGGTGCTCAAATATGTCGTAATATTTCGTATATAATTTTTTTATAATATGTCCCTTTATATTGTATAATCGGAAGTAAGCACTTCAAACGCATGTTGTTTGCATAAAAGATGTTTTTATATTGCCAAGAGCATATGGATAATGTCTGCTTATTGTATACCATATATGGCGTTACATGATTGTATGAATATGAATACAGATAGCACTGGAAAGCAGAATGTAGCTTAAGTACTATGTCATGTATAATATCTATAATTATCAAAAGCTTTGATTCATGTTAAAAACCAACTTGTTTTGGCATGTTCGAACCTCGTTCTTTTTGAAGCTAGAACTTTCATTAAACCAGCAAATTTAGTGTGCATTGGGCTTTTGTGTGTAATCTGAATGAGAAAACAAAATAAAATTGAGTTTGACATTTCGTGCTCCATTTGCTAACAGTGATGTAGAAGACGTAGGATCTAAATTGGGTCTAATTGTTTTGATGGAGCAAAGCTTAATGTTTTTCAGCTTGTGATACACCCATTCTCATATAGCAATTGCAACCTTTTCCAAACTTTGCCATGTTAGCCCTTACAAGCTCAAGGGTTGGTAAAACGAGTGATGTTTAGTTAAAGAGAGACATGGATGTGTTGCACTCATAATATTGTATGGCACTGCAAACATGCTATTTTTTTCTTTGCTAGAACTGTTTGTGGAAATTCCAAAGAATCCAAGTGTTAAATTTGATAAAGACACTTCAGCATTCTGGTATAAACCTCATATAACCAGAGAACAAGGTTAGCAAAAGGTTATCACCACTCAACTTCCAAGTACTGGAAGTTTAGCTGCCATTGCCAGGTTGTTTACTGTTACCTTGTGAAATGAATATTCTCTTCTTGTTTTAGCAATAGCACTGCTGCAGGACAAACCACCCGGAACTTTCGTGATCCGAGACAGTCAGTCATACACAGGGGCATTTGGGCTGGCTGTAAAAGTTGAAGTTCCTCCAATGCACGTCATCCAGAACCAAAACAAGGACTTTGGTAAGACATTCACAGATTGTGGTCAATATACACTTGCCATATATGCTTTCTGCCTGCAAAAACTACCCTAAAAACTACCCTAGGTTTAACAATGAAAAGTTATATTAACCTTATGATGGTTTGATGGACCTTATATGTCTAGTTGTTATACTTATATCTTGATTATTTTATCAGACCATATAGATCCCTCTGAGTTTGTTCGACATCTCTTGATCGAGTCCACTCCCAAGGGGGTGCATCTTAAAGACTGTAAAGATGAACCAATGTTTGGTAAGAATTGTGATCACATGTTGATAATGGATATTTGGATTTCAGACTGTATATATATGTACTGTAGACTCTCTCTTGGCAAAGGCTAGGATATGGGTGTGTATAAACACTCTGACCCTCATGTAAGCCATCCCAGAATAACTAAAAACTTCATATTGTGTGCCCTGCATTCATTGTTAAGAGTACAATTTCAACAAACCCTCTCCCTGTTCAAAATGACAGTGGTAACTTCTAAAAACAAAGTTAATTTCGTTCTTGGTTCTTATACCTGTATGGCTGTACTATTTTTAACCAAGTGTGTGATTCTTTTTTTCAGGAAGTCTTGCAGCTTTTGTTTATCAACACTCACTGACGGAGATATCTCTCCCCTGTAAACTTGTTTTACCAACGAAAGGTAAGTAAAAGTCAATGTTTTATTTTTGTTTTCCAAATATTTGTTAAGCCCCTCCCCTAAAAACTACCCTAAGTTATGTGGTAATAGAACGAATGTCATGTGCCAAGTGATGTGGTAATAAAACGAATGTACGTCATGAATCTCCATAAATTTTCTGGACTGTTAAAGAACGGTGCCTCTGGTGTTTGGGTAAACAAGATGTGCTGACGTCAACACGATTCTCTGACGTTATCATGACGCTCTGACGTAATTGTGTTAAAACATGTGAAAATAATCTATAAATCGTGTTGACAATACGTGACCAGATTTTTCGTTAAATGTCAACACAATTCGACGAAACTTTGCCGTGGAAATGTGGTAGATCTCTGACCTGTTCTGATAGGCGAAGATTTCCCGAACATGGTCATAGGTCCGTTCAACGTTGTAGTCCCAGTCCCAACGTTGTCTTTACCAGGCATAAAAAGCCTGGGTGTACCATGTTAAACTAGATTAAACAAATCGTGGCTCTTGAGTTTCAGCTAAGAGTGGCTGGCCATCTTCGGTGTTAGGATCAAAAGAGTATTATATTGTCATTCTGTCGTTTGTGTAGATTTGACCGTCGGGACGTTAAAGATCACAGACAGACAAGAAACGGAAACTCAGTTACTCGCTCAAGGGGCAGGTCAGTCTGATGGACTGTTTGTATTGTAGACAAACTTTTAATCTAGGCCAGCAGGTGCAAAACACTAATGCTGGAAAGAGCGCACTGAAATGTTGTAAAATGCAAATTTATCGTTACTATTTTCGGCCTAAATGTGGTAACAATTTCTGTGTTTAAAATACAACAAAAGTGTACAAATTTTTTTCGAACTTTGAAGGCCCTTATTTTCTGCAAATTACATAAAATTCGCAATCAAACTTTCAAGTCTAATGTTGGTAGCCTCTTTCTGTCGTTTTTCTACCTCTTATGGTCGAGATGGTGACCTGGCCATGCTTATAGCTCGAGTCAAAACGGTCAATTGAAAATATAATCTTTTTATTTGCCTAGCGTGTAACGTGGCGTACCTCGGTTCGTTCAATGTGGAATCCCTGTCAGGACCGGCCGCTTTGAAGTATGCAGTGGCTAAAATTGAACCAGGGAGGAAGAATAAGGAACACGAACCTGTCTTGGTTAATTTCAAAGTCAACAAACAAGGGATAACGCTGACAGACAATGATAGGAAGTATGTCACATTATCTAACGGTGTAGTAAGGTTGTTGACAATCCAGTTTCCCTGATATAGACCTACCCCTTTATTTAACCCGCTTAACCGGTTAAATTTCCTGATCCAAATCTCCAGATTCACGTCTCTTGAAACAAATCTTTTCAATCATTGATTCAAATCCCTCGCCTAAGGCTCCTAATCCCAATCCGCAAATCTAGTGCTCCAAGCTTCTTGATCCATATCTTGTGATTCACGTCTTCCTGATCCAATCTCCTGCTCTTAATCCTCCCAACCAAATTGTCGATCCTGAACAGCCCAATGCAGACACAATCCAATGCTAGACTCTCTCATCGTCCTCGAGAAAAACTAGAATAATGATTTCATTTCTTTAGATTATTCTTCCGTAAACATTATCCTCTTAAAAATGTTCTCTACTGGGGAACCGATCCTGATGATACAAGGTCAGTTTAAAAAATCTTCGTATAGGGTATATACTGTATTAAAAGCTATTTACATTTGTGTTAGCGTGTTGGTTGAACATAAAATAACGGTTTAATCTTTTGTTACCCAAGGTGGGATCTAACAGAATATGGTGGCGGCAATCTAGCAAGGTAGGTTTTTAAACTTAAAACGAGCTAGTACCGACGAGTTGATCTGTAAGGTTTTCGTCTAGCGGTAAAGTAGTTGTTTTGAAGTGTGAATAAAGCGTCTATTTTGGTTCTCTATAGATCGTTTGTGTTCGTCTCAAGAAAGACAGATAGCGATGGAAACGAATGTCATCTTTTCGCCGAAATGGATCCTAAGCAACCAGCCTCCACAGTGGTTGACGTCATAACAAAAATTATCACGAATGTCAGTCAGTAGTGAAACCGCTGAGAATTCAATGGACCGTTCTGAGCACGCGCAGTAGCAAGACGGGAGAACCGGTAACATTTACGAAAAGCGATTTTCAGATTGATTTCCCGTCCGATTACGGCTAACGATTTTATACAGTACCGCAATAGATGTGTAAAGTCTTGTTTTTAGAAATTTTTAAGCAAATAAGGCCAGTAATTTATTGTACATTATTGTGAGAGATTCTATATCTATCTATATATTTGAACACTTAACTAGGTATGTACAGGTTTGTATGTACAGTTGACACTTTGCGGTGAATCTTAAGTTTGGAAAAGTAAGCTCTGATGTTCTAAGGGTTAGCTTATTGTAATATTTCAATATACCAAAGTAAGCCGTATGCCAACTAATTCTCTTATATTCGTTATAAGTAGGACTTATACACGCGTTGCCAAACTGGCAACGAGTTTCACCAAAGGTCCTTTTGACAATCGATGGCTCGGGGAACGGTATTGCCGTTTTGGCGTAAATGTAGACGCACAAGGGATTATAAAGGCGGTGTTACTCTTTTCAAAAGTTCTTTGTTTCTCTTTTTTGTCACGGCTGTCTCCTTATGAGGACAGCCATATGCAAATACGTTGTGGAAACCCTTGCTCTATGCAACCTTCCCAACCTCGTACCCAGGGTCTTTACTCGTGGTGGTGGGGAGTCCCACCACCACGAGTAAAGACCCTGGGTACGAGGTTGGCAACCTTCCTTGCAACTTGCAATGCAATTCTACTCCTGAGGCATCTAAAGTTGTCAAATACGATCTGCTGACGTTTCACATTTACATGAAGTACTCTCTCATGAAATTTCAACATGGCGGGAGAAAGTGGGAGATTTAAAAAAGAACTTCAAAGGTGCGTGTTGTTGTTGTTATTTTTTGTGATGAATTGGAAAACAAACTTTATTGCATAGTATCTTGATATACTTTTAAAAAGTGGTCATTTTCACTATTTGTGATATAAGTTTTGAGACAGGTGACGGACGACGGTTCAAATTCAATTTTTATAAAACATTAATTCAAAGGTGTGCCATGTACGTAGTGTGTGTAAATGGATAATAGGGATTTCACTTCAGGCGAAAAATCATAGCAGCGCCGAACAGATGATCCAGTAAATTGGATCTAAGGCATATAACAGAATTACTGAGAAAAATGTTTCTAGCTCGTTTGCAATACATTACATGAAGTATTCCGAAAATATCAGGAGCGTGGCCATAATTTTGAGGAACGTCTTTATTGAAATCTTCCCGAAAGAAGGTGAACCTACGTGTCATTTCAATTTTTTCCTTTGTGAATAAGTGAATTTGTCATCTTCGCCAAGACAATAACATCATCCCGTAACGACCCAATGCTTTTCCAAATCATCTTTAACATTTTGTCTCCGTAGAAACACTTGGTTTGTTTACTTTTGTGCTCGTTATGAAACAATGTCCATATCATTTAGGGCTTTATTGGGTATCGCACACAAAAGTGTTTTCAATGCGTTGTGTGCGGTTAGTTCCTTTGATCCGAGTATGTGTCAGGTCGCGTGAAAACGACACGTTCTTCGAGTATATATACAACTTCTAGAGTATAAAGCTGTTTTCTGTGTGTTAAAGAGCTGTTTACGTAGGGTCAAAAAGTGTGGATGCTTTCAAACTATGAATATCCGCGGGGCATATCCAGGTTCCAGACAGGTTTTTCGAAGTTACAGCACGAATAATTTGAATACAAAAAGCTATCGCTGGTCAGTACCGTTGCGTGTTTCCGCCACAGACGATTTCGAGCAGGAAGAACAGATTCTCGTTAGGAATACGGACATTCTTAGGGGAAAAGGACCCTTATTATTGGATTCACCAAGTGTAAGGGAAAATTCCGAGCTCTTAGCTCGGGGAAGGTCGTATTCAGGTCCTGGCCGGGACGTCGAACAAACAGTCAAACACACAAAATCATTTAGTGTGTCGAAAGTCGCGGGAGAACAACAAGAACACAGAAAATACTCGTTCAAAAAGTTATTTGAGAAAAAGAAGGCGAACACTGTGTCGATTGTCGAGCACTCTGACGTAGAGATCCCGTCACAGGCTCATCTGAACAAAAAAATAAAGTCTAAGCCCTTGTTATTAAGAAGTCTAAGTTCATCGTGTCTGTCTCTGGCTACCAAATCTCGCCCTAAACTGCTCAGTCGAATATCATGTCCCGATAATCTTGTTCGTTCTAATGGGAATGTACAAAGTTCTAAACCCAATCAGAATGACCGGGAATCTGTGCCTGAGACGAAGCCCGAGGACCGAATGCCGACCGGAGTAAAGAGTCGTTCTTCAAACGTCTCCTCTCGGCTGAAAGACAGCTTCAAACTTTTCAGTCGTAACAGCAAGGAAATAAGCAAAAGAGATTCGCGGACTCTGTTGACGAGATTCGAGATAGAGCTTGCGATTACCAAGAATGACAGAAGTAAACTCATGACCTCGGTCGCTGCAAAGGACTTTGATATAAACGCGCAGGATTATTACGGTAAAACCTATCTTCATACAGCCTGCAGTGTGGGTAACTACCACTGCGCGCAAATATTGTTGAATGCGGGCGCCAAGGTCGACATGCAGGACCTGGCCGGGTTCACACCTCTGCATTGCGCGGTCGTCGCAAATCACGTGCCATGTGCCGCTGTACTTATCGCCGCAGGTGCAGATGTGATGAGCAGTACCAGGACCATGCACACGGCCATGACGCTCGCTCATGAGGACGAAATGATTTTACTTATTGGACGGTGTTTGTTGCTCCGGGGTACCCAATGCCAGATCCTGAAAGATGACAACTTCTCTTTAAGAGAGACAAAGCTATGACGTGTTGAAAGCTAGAAAAAAAATTTGATATGCTTACCTTAACTCCAAACTAAAATGAAAAAGTTTTAAAATTCATTTTAAAGCGGTTCATTGAACTAACTAAAGTTGTAAATTTTTTTGTAGCTAGTTCATGATTTTGTTAGAAAATGCGTATACCATCAAAAATGAATGCGCAATCTCACGGCTTTTCTTACTTTGAATGACTGGTTTCTTACTTGCTAAATCACCTGAACCACAGTTTCTTTCATATCGCTAAATTTTTCAAATATATTTAGTTTTGGTTATAGCTGTCTTCCTAGATAAGTTAGCATCAGTCACACCGTGGCAATAGGCTTGAAAGCAAAGTCGATCAAATCGAGTTATTCACCTTATTCGCCCACGAATGCAAGCGATGAAGATTATCACCCTAGCAAGGGTAGAAACTTCACTTTTGTCAAGAGCAGAGGGCATCATCAACAACAAGTGCTTAGTCGAAATCTTCATTATCCATTGATTGTGAGGTGTTAATTTTGCCCACGAGAAAGACGAGGTTTCAGTATGATCAATACTTGATTGTAACAGCCCCTCGACCCACGGGTTTAGACATGAATCTAAAATGACTGTAATCACTGTATGTGGAGTGAAATTGCCGATGCAATTGAAATAAAATGCAATTAGGTGTAAAACGGGAACAAAAGTTCTACACCCAAAATGGCGCCTTCAAAACACCTCTGTTCACACCACACAGCATATATAGTGACACTATTGACTAGGAAAAACACATACATTTCAACTCGACTGATAATCATACAATTCGCCAGTTCAAAAACTATGGATGTTCAAATTCGCCTTGCAAGAAAAAGCGATCTATGTGCCGTGATAGGAATGTCAGAGGAATCTATGAAGGCCACGATTACCTCCCGTTTGTCTTTCTTCGTTGGCTTGAGGATCCTAATCGAGGAATCTTTGTTGCAGAAAAAGAAGGAGATGTTATTGGAATACGGGCATTTCACATTATTGACGAGGGGACAACTGTCGTAAGCCAAAGTTTACGTGTCCATCGAGAATACCGAAGACAGGGCATTAGCGGGCTATTGATCCTTGCGGAAAACCGCTATGTGCAAACCCATTTTCCAAGGGTAACCACGGAGCGTTACACGACAATGTCTACTAACGTTGGCCGTTTAGCCATCCACAGGAAATCTCATGGAGAAAATCTTTTGCTGGAGTTCGGGATCATCGCATTTTATATTAATCCCGCGACCGTTTCGACCCGCGAAAGAAATTGCGCAAATTCGCAAGTTAGGAAAATAGATAGCGTGGAATTTCAAACGCTCGTCAGGGAAGGAAGACTGGATCGTGTTCTTCAAAGAGGTACCATGGTTATCGATTGGGAACCATTTAAAGCCGTTGAAAGCAACGTCAGTTGTGGCTTAGTGAATGAAGGCGACTCCTTGTTCGTATCTAAAGCACAAAAAGAGGACCAGATTCAGGGCTTGAGTCATGGTCGCCTTTCCCAGAGGGTGAAATGCCTTCACTGGGCCGCGACTATCTACACGGAGAATGTGAAACTGCTTACTGTCCACATTGCGAAGCAACTCAGAAACGCTACGATTCAAGCCAGGAAAAAGAGTTTTATTTTTTCATGTTTTATTCCAACTTGTTTTGTGCCTGAAGCAAAGAAGCATGTTTTAGACGAATTTTCGCTCGAATATGTGGAGTTCTTTAATTTTAATTTAATGCTTTTCGAGAAAAAATTCTGTCAATAAATGTGTCTTACATGCATTATATATAGAAATAAATGAAGTTTAACAACTATTAAATATATATGGTGTTTTATTTCATCAGTGATATACGGTACTAACTGAACAGTATTCTTTTCCGTGTATATTAAAAAAAATATAATTTACTGTTAATTAAACATAATTATATAGGTATATCTATTACCGCAAATATGGCTTCCTTTTTTGTTTAAAGTTCAAGTTAACTCTATACCAAAGTCCTACATTTCATACGTTTCCTATAATTAATCCTCATTTCCTTGTAACTGTTAGAACTTTTTCACTTAGTCCTATACTGACCACCCATATATACTGTCCCCGTTTCTATAAGTGAATCGGTGAGCGGCTGAGCGCCCAGGTTAAGATCAAAATGCCACCCGTAAAATCAGTGTTGTGTTCGCAATATTTAGCCTCTTGACATCAACGAACTGTCAGGTTTTCATAAACAAACTTTGAATTTACAATTCTGTACGTATATCTATAGTAAAACCGTGATAAATTCTATCGATTAGACGCCAAATATCAAACCAGAAAATCGACGATTCGAAGCGGTGTATCGCCTGAAACATGGAGAACAATGCATGTAAATGAATATCAGTTGTTTTACGGTGTCTTTGAGCTCGTAAAGTTTATGTTCAAGAGCTATGTTAGATGGGGAAGTTTGCGATGCCGATTCGTACTGTGAAAATCAAGACAATGAAATTGAGTCCGGGGAAAAGACAGCTTGCAGTCAAAGCGAAGCGAGGAGTTTAACTAAATCACAAGTGTTCTTTCTAAACGTTTCTTGGTTTGGCCTCAACGCCATGTATCTTGTCTTGTCTATAGAAGTATTCCCGAGTCAAGTACACGCTTTGGTCGGCTCTGAGGATAAGGGGCAAGTATTAGGAGCGATGATAGCGCTGGGCGCTGTTGTCACTTTTTTTGTGAGTCCTTTGATTGGCATGAAAAGTGACCGATTGGTTTTCAAATATGGCCGCCGTCGGCCGTTCATGGTCGCTGGCATGTGCTTGCTTGTCATAGCCTTGTACGGGATGGCATTTAGCGCGCCGTACGTGGAAAACGAGAAGGGAAATTCGACTTGTTCAATAGGACTTGAGCTCAAAAGATGCCTACCGTATTTAAACCTCAGCGTTCTCGAGAAGGAAAGCAACAACAACAGCGCTGACGTGGACGTTTTGCTAAATATTTTATCGCAAAAAGATACAGAGGGAAACGTTGTTATGTATGTTGTATTTTACACAATGGTGATGGCGTGTTATGCGCTTGTTAGCGTACCGTACAACGGTCTTATAGCTGATCTAACTCCGCCACAACAACGAGGCTTTAGCTCGGGGGTCATGGGAGCAATGACTTTGGCGGGAAACATAACGGGTGCTGCTATTGGTCTATTCTTTTTCCGCCTCGGGGTGGTTGGGATTTACTCATTGGTCTGTTTCATATTCGTCATTTGCGTTTTGATAACGGTATTTTGTAGCTCGGAGCTACCGTTGACTGAACAACCAGAGCATCTGGGTTTCAAAGGCCTATTCCTAGCGTATTGGGAACCTTTAAAAGACGCCGATTTTCGATGGGTCTTCATGACCAGATTTCTAATGCAACAGGGTGTTGCCACGGTGACGGGTTTCCTGGAATTTTGGCTAAACGACATGGTGAGCTTACCGCACTGTTGGTCCCCGGAGAGGTCGGTAGCACTTATCCTTTTGCCATTGCTGTTGGCAGCGGCAGGGATTTCTATCATTGCTGGGTTCCTGTCAGACGCTTTGCAAAGACGCAAGCCTTTAGTGACGGGTTCGGCAATCCTCATGTCCATATGCGCGTTGATATTCGCTTGCCTAAAAGGCAAGTACGCGTTTTACGCCTCCATACCAGTGGCAGTCGCTTTTGGGATCGGGTTCGGCGCGTATTGCGCGATAGATTTCGCCTTGGTCATGGACGTTTTGCCGGAAGATAAGGACAAGGCAAAAGACCTCGCTGTTTGGCATCAAGCCCTTGTACTTCCACAAGCTGTTGCCACGCCAATAGGTGGAATCATTTTAGATGTTTTTGAAAGATACGATTGTCATATGGGTCTGGGGTACATCATTCTCTTCACGGTGACCTCTTTTTACTTCGCTCTAAGTGGGATATTTGTTATAAAAATTAAAAAAGCGAAGTAAGAGGCCACTTTTTCATACGATGCAGTGCTTTGCAGCCTTCGTACAACTGGTCGTAGTAAACCAATTTTGTATACTCTGAATTTGATTATCAATAGCATTGATTTTTGCTAGGACAACCGGCAAACAGGCATGGTGCCAGTTTGCAGTAGATAGTCCCATGAGTGTGTTTTAATATGTCTTTTTTTTCAAGTTAACTTCCGTTTTTATATTAAACATGTACAAACGCATTTCACAGTAATGCTTTTTTTACTACATACTTCACTTTTTAGTGTCGGGTTTGTAGAAATCGTATCGCCCACAGACATGAATAAACTCAAAAGTAGGCATGAAAACCAACCGGAAATTATTCGACGAATTTGGAGTACCCAAGATGGCGGCGGGTCAAATTTCCAGCCAAGGTAAATGACACAGACTTTTGATATTTCCGGCAAGAAATCTTCTCGGCTGTCATTTATATTTTGTCTTGACTATGATTCGCCGCTATTTAGGACTGCAAACTCATAATTTCCGGCGCAGTTCAATAAATGCTCTATGTAAGTTTATATATTTGTTTATCTTACGTTTTCCCACTCCCTTTGTTGTCAGCCATGTTGTGATTACGAGCCGGCAAAAAGTTTGTGACCCCTGTGTTGGAACTTCATTTAACGCGCAATGAAAATTCACAAGTATCGATTGTAGCATACGTCATTTTGCTTGTCATTTTGAGCATATTCCACATGATTTATCATACCGTATTCTAAAATTTGAGTAACATTAACCGGACGATCTGTCCAACATAAACAAAATAGAAATGTCTGGAATCTTTGGACATCCCGATCAGACTATATACGCCCACGTGTCAAGTCTTCCGTCGTACATAGGATCTGGTATTTTTAGGTCTTATAATTGTTATTATGCCCCATAGAGACCCCAAACAACGGATTTGGAATAAACGATAACTTAATTGAACTATCTAAGATGAACTTGTAAACACTTGTCTTCTGTACATTCGTTTCGGTACAGTACGTACAATTTATCATTTTAAGCATTTTTTGAAGCTCTGTCGCTTGAAAACCACCGAAGTTAATTGCATAAATAAAACAAAATACGTGAAATTAAATTTTCAAATTGGTGGCTTCCCACAAGCCGCGGTAGTCAGTAATTTTCACCGCCCAATTTCATCCGTCGTTAAATCGCTCGTAATACGACTGCCAAGGAACTTGATACACGACGTGCTGCGTTCAAAGATTCAAGTGAAAAAATGCACTAATTCCTTAAAGTCAAACAAACAGGGAATTGCGATGAAAACAATTAATGAAATTGTTCAAAACAAAGTGACAAAGCACAAACCGCAGCATTGAGAGCACAATTACACGCTTTTTTTGCCCGGAATAAAGAAACTGGCCGATGTTGTAATTGATTTTACATATTTTTTTATTATCTTGGAGAGTTATCTTGCATTGACAGGAAAATATACGCGCATACAACTAGGGTATTTAATATTTACAATGTATTATGGCCATTGAATAACTGAATAATATATATTATGACTGCAAATGCTACACGGTGTTGATAATCTATGACGAAGGCAAATTTTCCACCAATCAGAGCGAGGCTATTGTGTTGCTGATCTGCTGTGGTTACGTTCGACGCAAAAGCATCCAATTCCATGTTTTGAAAACGATTTTTGGCGCTTTTCTTATCGAAATTTCGCTGCAATGAGTACAAGAAAGAAGGCTAGGAGACCCAGGTATGTCTTATTTACTATATTACGTGTTTGGGGTTGAATGAGGACGATAAAAAAGCGATGAAAAGCGGACAATCGGTATTTGAAATTCGGCATCACACAAGACAATGTGATATAGGCTAGGTGAATGTAGATGTTTTCGGCAATCGATGTTTCAATATTGCTTGCCGATGGACAAAACGTGTCTTTCGAAGTATCTTTATGAATTATTGCTTTGATTTGAACCGCAAGAGCGCTTAAGATGTCTGGTCGGGCAGGAATTGTCCTCGTTGAATAGCCCGGCGAGTGTCTGGTAGACGCGCCATTACAAATATCAACATTTCATCCCGAAATTTGTACATTCGTCTGTCCTCTTTGTACTGCAAATTGTTGAATAAACAATCGCTGTATTACAGAGAACGTTTATAAAGTATATCACCACGGCCAAATGAAATCAGTGTTATCGATTTTTCAGGCGAAAGTATTAAATAATACATTCCCCTGGGAGCTTGCAGAGCATAGCTGTTTGAACGTTGTTATCTTCGCAGCACCACTTCTCGCCTCCGTAAACAACGTTTGAACGGCTATTTAAGACGATAAACCGTTTTAAAACGAACCGTTTTCGCATATAACGCATTTACACATTAGTCAGGGTATTTTTCACGAGCTACGGCGCCGTTGACGACATATAAATTGCATATATATTTTGGCTTTCACAAGTGTTTTCTGCATGCCTTTGTGTTCTTCATATGTTTTTGCCAGTTTCCTGTTTTCGATACGCTTTATCTCCGCCTGTCGATTAGAAATGGCGATGAGAGAAAACGCATTAGATAAGATATAGGTTTTGACTTATTTACGGTATGGTTTTAAATCAAGGTCCATGAACACGGGAGATAGTACACACTCGCAGACCGCACAAAAGCTTCTTGGCCCGACTAATTTTAACAGGAAAAGAACCCTCGAATTATGTTTTATGTGGTCTAAAGTATTTCTCTAGTTACTGCCTTTCAATGGAAACTTAAAAAATTATGTTGAATTTGTTACAAATGTGAAATTTGGGACAACTTCTTTCGAAGGATTTGTCGAATTTGTCGCAAGTAAATTTCATATACTCAACACTAACGATTAACGAGCAATATTTACTAATGATGTAGCTTTGAATTCTCGTCTTATAGTAAATTTAAGTTTTAACTACGCGGCTATAAACCGTCTGTGTCGCATTGTAATGTATTTCAAACTATTTGTTGATGATTAAAAATTAAAGCTATCTTGTTTTGGATTAAAAACATGGTTTCACTTTTCGATATAGGTAAAAAACCACCCTAGATTTAGATCTAGTCTCCATCCACTGCTTATCATCAAATCTTTGGCTGAATTTGTACATTCAAAGATGCTAGCTTTTAGTTCCTAAGTGTATCTAATCACTGATTTGTGATAGAAATTTTCCATTTGCTTTGGCTTACTCAATAAGGGGTCATGACATGCATTTAGGTGGGGAGCAAATAGCTCTGTTTTGTTTTCAAGACAAAGAGGATTAAGCATTTAATCTGAGGTTTTGTCAGTTGTTTCCTTTCTTCTCATAAAGCAATGGAACAAATGTACTTTAATGATTGCGCTCCTGGAAACTGCTCATGCTATGTGTCGTGATGGTGTTAGGGATGTGTGACTTGCCCCTTGAGGATTTTTTATCGAATATTACATCAACTACCATGAAACCACTCTTAGCCCTTTAGTATGTGGGATAATTTTTTTTGCCAGTCAATGAGAGCTCTCTATTGAAGACACTTTGCATTTCAAACACAGCTAGTTGCCTTTGGGGCAAAGCGAATTAAGAATTAAGGTTGTAATTTATCTGAACCTGTTAGTGAACTTTTAAGTTAGTCCATCAAAATTGTATTACAACTTATTGTCAAAATCAAAATTCTATTATTCCCTGGTTTTTTAATTAATATAGGATAACAGTTAATGCCTTGATCTAATATATAGTACACACAGAGCAGATGCTCTTTTAGTATTTGTCAATAACTTTGAGATGCATCTATAATATAATTTTGCCAAATACTACCTCAAATTCTCTAGCCTTTGTAGATTTGAGTTGTGAACAAAATTTCAACTATTGTTTTAGAATTGCTGGAAATAAATTGTTACAGCGTATTGTGCGTTGACAATTGAAAAATAGTGTCATTTCCTTAGATATTTAACAAAGTAATTTTCTTTGTTTACTTAGTTAATTTCATGCAACTAAGACAAATTAATGTAACTGCTTTCTGAAAATTTCACGTGCATTGATCTTTCAAAGTTTGATTTGTCAAGCTTATCATGTGCTTGTGCACAAAACAAAACATTCCCACTATTACAGCACATATTCACATTGACATTCAAAAGCAAAGATGCAGAACTTAAGTCTTTCCTGTGCCCGGGTATTGCAATGAAATTTGAATGAAATATAATCATGGTTTATTGTATGTGAAATAGGTTTTTACTATTAAGTCATATTTAGTATATAGAATATATTGGGGACAACAAACTGCTTGGCTCATACTCAGAAGGAATGCTTCCAAGACAAATGTATAAAGTGCATACTTGACAGCATGTCATATTGAAGATATATTGGCTTTCCAATTTTCTGCCGAGCAAATGCTATACAGCTGTTACGCTTAGCTTCCTTAAATTCTGAATATTGCAGCACAAAAGATCCATGCTTTAGATAACATAGGCTTGTTTGTAATACATACAATTAGTTGTTTATGGTGCTTAGGTCTTAATGTGTGACAAACAAAACATTCTTTTGTCTTCATGAATGCTCTGGTGGATTGATTACCTAAATTATAGAAGTTCACTCAGAAACTTTGATGACTATATGAAAATCATATCCACCTTGTTCATCCACCACACCATGTTCACTTGCTTTTATAATTATTGTATTGTAGCAGGAGTTTACAACTCATCAACCATTCCTCAACTGTTTTAACATCCAAAAGGATGCTAGTTGCTTCCATATGTTCCTCAGCTAGCTATCAGTTAAGATAAATTATATGATTCCAAATTACCTGTCAGCTAATTAGCCTAATCACACTCAATTTGCTGTTTTTCTCTTTCTAATGACAGGTACATTTACTCATGAGGGGAAATTCTTGTTATGATATGAATAAATAAGTGATATATTTCAACTCTGCCATAATTCTTTATCATATGCTGGAGTATTGCACCACAAAGGTTGATCCTTTATATGACAAAGGTCTTATTAAGGATGAAAACATATATTAACTGTTCATGGTTCTCCGTTTCTCAAGAGGAAACAAACAACAGTCTTTTTTCCTAAGTTTTTCCGTCAAACCTTTCATTTCCTGTATTAGTTCAAGGTTATTTTAAATGCATGACCAATTGGGTTACTGAATAAAGACAAATGACGTTACTTAGCCTTAGAGCCCTACTAATTGACGTTGTTTTAATTTAACTATTCTTCCGTATTTCAACTTGTGATAAATGCAGTATAACCCATGGTTTAAACTAACGTGTGATGAAACTATCATTAGCTATAGTTTTTGAACTATTGTAAGCTATAGTATTTAATCTTTAACCGTCTTCACCTATTGGCTTTTGTTATAAAGTATATCAACTTCTAAACTATGGTTTTAAACCGTTTTAACTATGCAGAATATCATTTGAAAGGTCTATGTAGGTTACAATAAGTTTAAAAATCTTGGCCTTGGCCTTGAGGAAGAAAATTGAAGAAGTTAAAAACATTGTTGAAAAAAAGGAACTCTTAAAGTATGTTTGAGCAGGCCATCCATTACAACTTTACAGTCGTATTTTTGGCAAGTGATTTCTATTCAAAATTCCATGTCATTTAATTGAATTTTGGAGGTTATGTAATATGAAACCGTATTCTTCATGGCAGAGCATGGTTCATGTTATCATGGGATATTAATATCTCGTATAGGCAAGTGGTTCGGCGGATTCTTGAAAGATGAATCGTCTTATGTCATTTGTGATGGACTACCGGAAAAATAGCGACATCTCGACTTTTCGAGAAGGCACTTCGTCTGGGAGTTTAGTTGTTTGAGATTGGATATACCCAGATCGATTTTCACAAGGTGTTCGATTACACTGTTTCATTGGGCAGCCTGTTCCTGTTTATTTTAGAGGCATAAGTTTGATATAGCGCGAGGAACATTCCATTCATTCGAGTGGTTTCTTTTTTAAGACCTCTTTTTAGTCTGTAAACAAAGCATCATTCCAAAAATGAAGTGTCACGGCTCCGACACAACCATCCATTTCCATCAGAATATCGCCTCAGGGGAAACAAATTATAGACAATTTGACATCAATTATTACAATAGCAGCGAATGCATGGGCGTTATAAATTCAAAAGCAAAGCGAAACGAGCGTTGAAAAATAATTGTATATCAAGTGGATGTTATTAAATGTGAACCTGATCGTGTCTCGGAGGCAGCTTATCGCCATGACAATGTGATAGCATCCTGGCTATTGAAAACATTGAGGTTTTAAACCAAGTGGTTTTACATAACCGGGTATTACCTGCTGCTGCCTAGTGCATGCATGGTTCAGATCATTGCCAGTCAATAGGTTAATAGCATTCATATAGTCTTATAGACGCTGTCGAATAGTTTGGCTAATCCATGATTAAACGCTTTCCGTCTTCCGCAGTCGGCTAAGTTCGTCTGGGGAATTTTGACGGTATTTTAAATACGCCTTTTTCGAGCTCCGAGGACGCCAGCTTGTCAAGTGGGACAAAAATGGAATCTTCTCGAATATTTAAAAAAAGACTCATGTCGGAGTAATGAGTAATGTGCATAACTGAATGTGTATATGAGACCTGATTAAAAATTTAGGAAGAATATACCAAATATTAGGTTAAAAAGACGTCGCAATTGTTAGCGGTTGTGTGTGAGGATTTTTTTGGTACGAGCCAAAAACAGTGGACAAACAATAAGTTTACATTTTCTGTTATTTCATGTATAGAGATATTGCACTTCTCATCTTTCAAAGTTTGTCGCGAAAATTAAAAAAAGAATTCTTGAGTTTGGTGTAGTTTACTTCGTGATGAAAGGTGTTGGTCATGGTGCTCTTTTTTCGACACAGACTTTGTGTAAAGTACTGATGTTTCATTTACAGAACGAAACAGTCCGTCTACATATTTTATTATCATATTATTAATTAAACATCTTTGGAATGAAGCGGCTCGCTCGCTTCAGTCACTTGTTGTATTGTAGGAGGTAGAAAGGCAACTGCCTAGCATGCAAAAATCAACTTCCCCCCTCCCACGTTCAACGCTTCCTTATCGTTCTTTGAGAAATGTTTCATCATGCAAAAGGTTCTAATCAAAGCTGATTTTTATTCATTGATTACAGCTGATTGTGTTTATATTTACCCATAGTGCGGACAAGGAAAAATCTCGCCTCTATATCGCGCAAATAAATGCAATTTTCGAATCGTTATCTTGGAAAAATGTCTGACGGTCGAAGTTTTTCGAATGGATGACATTGTTCGCCTCGATTACAAGCTGTTGACTCGCCTGCACTTAGCCGTGTTTGAAAAGTGAAATTCCCTCGAATTTTAACTACTGTTAATATAAACCCCTTAAACCCTCTTTACAATCGAAGACAACGAGGTATATATAGGGCTACTTAAATAAACAACCTGTGACCATTACAATCCCCTGAGTTCATCACCTACCCTAATTTCCTTGTCTTTTGCGCTATGGTTAAAGCTCCTAATTCATCCCCTCTCAGACATTAATTTAGCTGATGCAATATTTAGCCATATAATCAACAAGGACTTCCGTTTCAACGTTTTTCATTAGCGAGTCACTGCGTGTGCAAGTGTTAGCAAATAATATTCAAGTATTTGAAGGGCATAAACAATGATATTGCCTCGCCAAATGACACTGTAACAATATTAAAATTGATCACATAAAGAGAACCGATGCTTCGTATTGGATGTTAAAGGCATTCAACGCACAGATTGCTATAAATCATTTTGAAAAGTGGAGTCAACACCTTCATATTCTGCCCTTATCTTTGTTTCTTCTTATCGTTTCATATTCAGACGCCTCGGTTTTTTAGCTTTTGAGAACAGGAGATGAAATTGATTTAACCTGACAAGGGTATCGCTCCAATCAATCTAGCACAGGGCGAATGACAGCTCAAAAAATCCTGAAGAAACTCTGTAGAAACCCACGAAGATCACCTAGATGCATGTGTGTGATTTTGCGTATAGCTTTTTTTGGCACATATAAAAATGAGAATGGCATTAAAATCTACCAAAATCTCGACATACAGGCCTTCAGGTCGCAGTCTTTGGGCGTATCCAGATCGAGCTAATGGTCGAATTTTTTCTATCAACTTCCTAAGAAGACTTATCAACGCCTCGACCCGAGGGTCTTCGTCAGAATGAAAAGCAACTTGACATTTCATGCACAGATGATTGCTGTCCTTCAACAGCTTCAAGCATTGAGCGGGAAAAAATGATGGGAAATTTCCTTTTTCGTGTCCCATTAGCAGAATGTTTCTGGCACGTTGCTAAAGCTTATGAGTAAACACTTATATAATCAATCTAGAAGTGCTTGTTCCTTAGCAAATGGTGGAAATTTGGGCTCCAAACAGGCAGATATTGATCATAGCTACCTTGCGGGCTAATTTTCAATGGTGTAAGGCTTTCGTATACAAAATCTTTTCTAAATTAGCTGTATATATAAGAGTATAAACAAACTCATCAAAGCGTATATCCCGAACGAAGCGCCTGCCATTTCTCAAAGTGCTTGTTAATTGAATACGGAGGTTCTGCATTTATCCTTTGATTGCTCAGCCGCTTCTTGCATTAATTACAGTTGCAAAATCCGTTAGCACTCGACCATTTACGATCTGATTCCGGAACCACCACCTCCTCCCCTGGAGGGGTAGGCTGTGTACATACATTGGTGGTCTTTGCCTGGTTGTTGGTTTCGAGAGCGACAGATGGTGGCTGATCGCTTGCGGGAGCAAACAGCGAAACTGCATCTCTCATCTCTAATTCTTTTCCAATCTTAAGTCCTCGCTATTATCAAGAGAAAACAGACACATGACGGCGTGTTGTCATCTGCATATGGACAACGAAGAGCTCCTCGAAGAGTCTGAAACTGCGTCTTAACACGCTGATTAATTAAAACTGATTGTAATCTCAAGTCTGCTTCATAGAATTTTTTATGTGATTTCCGACCAAAGGAAACAATGCCTCTCAATCTTTGCCCTTGCGAAAAGGAAGTCGGCAATCCTCGCTTCAACATGCCCCAATTCCCTAAGTAAAACAATGGAAAACATGCGTGTTCTAATTGCGATAGGGGCGGCCCTTATCTTTGAGTTTCGTCCTTCAACTTGAAGCTGCTTCCTACGCTTGCTTATCTTAGCCCTTCGGGCAAGAGACAGAGTTTGGGCAAACCGCGTGGGTTTGTCGGGCGTGAAGATTACTGCCTCCTCCACGCGCACGTCACGCCCTCCCCCCAACCCCACGATGTAACAATGAAGAGTCGGTGTGAATGAAAAATGCAAATAGATGTTATCTTTCTTCGTTCCCAGAGAAAAGGCCTTCTCAAAAACTATTGTTTATCGCTCGTTCTATCTTTGGTAAAGGTTTACTCTACAAGGACACCCACGCGGAAAATTAGCATGCGTCCCGGATAACATTGCATTGATAGAAAAATGTGTTTTCTGCGAGTTCGTAGATACGAGAAATCGCATTACGTCTTCCAGCTAAGTTTTCGTCAGCGCTTCTCCGAATTTGGCGACCATTTGCGCAGCACTTAACGCAAATCTTAGTTGCGTGCAGACGCTTTGCTTGGCCACATCAAAGCTCTTAACAAGTCACTAACTATTTATGTTACCGTGTGATATTATTCTTGACTGATACAAGTGTTGGCGATTAAGAAATATTATATGTTATTGTCGAGCTTTTGCCCCCATAGCATTTAATAACGCACAGGCGCTTATATGCGCAGCACTTACGTCGATAACAGACACCCCAGGATTAGCCCGGGTTAAAAATCCATAGTACTATCCATTCCTTATTTGGATTAGACAAACACTGTCACGATTAGCTTGTGTTGAGCTGTGCGAATTTTTCCCGCGACACCCCGTCTCATATGCTTAATATATCATTCTCGTGTTTATTCTCGTTGATAAAGATGTTAAATTTAGTAGCTTCCTCCACACGAATTGGCTGACGCGAGCGGTGTGGATACCGAACAGCGCTTTCCTTCGATTCTTGAAATATTTTTTCAAAGAAATGGTGAAAATAAATACCGTGATTCTAATCTGTCACTCATTAGGCGAGAGCGTGCGTTCAGAATACCGGTGTTAATATCTTTCAAGTTGTGCTATATTGCTTGGTAGTTATAAAACAAAAGCGTAGGAATAATCCGGTTAGTCTTGAGATTTTTAAGTGCTTTTCGATGGGTTTTCATGCGGAATTTTCCAAGTGACGCACGCGATTTGAAGAAGTCACGGAAGGTCCACACAACGTTGACCTAACGCAGACGAATGCTTTCTTGTAATTTGCGGATCGAATTCGCGTAAATCTTGGAAATCTCGCGCCTGATGGAAGAGTTTTTTTAACCAGAGTATGAGCGCAATTTGCAGTCTACGTGACTTCGGTGTGGGTCTCTGATTACTGACCCACAGAGACCTGTTGCTAAGCGTAACCACAAGTTTATGTAAATAAACATATAAACATGCAGTCGCAGGCGTGCGCGGGTTGCGCTCGCTTATGCAACCCGCAAATCGGGCTCAAGAATTTGCTTGTTTGTCTGAATACGACAATCGTCATAAAAATATTATCACGAGGTGATTGTATACAATTTCAGTTGCGGCAGTGTTGCTTAGCGGATTTCCTTTGCCAAAGAAAACCATCGCTCTACTAACAATATTTCTCTCGCTATTATTCTGAGTGCAATCGATCAAGCTTCTAAAGTGTCATCAATGATATATTACATAACTTTCGCTGGGAAATTAAGCGATTCTCGTCGGAAAACTCAACTCAACCTCTACCAAGCACACTTAAGATAAAGTAGACTCCGTTAGAAATATATGATATTGTTTCCTGGGCCTATGAAATATCATTATTGTCATTAATAATTGACATCAATTTGTTTTGCTGTACTTACAAATGAACTGCTCAAGTTCGTACTCTGGAACATGGGAAACATTTGAAATTTATAATTTGATGAGCGGGGCTCATCCACTTTTATCACCGAAAAATTGATTGCTTGTAAATGTTAATTGACGATTGTTGTGTCAGCCTCGCTGCAACGATTTATAGACTGCGTGAGCGTGAGCTAATATATATTTATCATTCTTGTCATTGCTAAATAGATTTTCTTCTTCATATAGTCTGAAGGGCTCGTTGAATCCATCGAAACGACATCGTGATCGTGTAAATGTTGAATTGGACAACCTCGCGAAGCTGTTACCATTTCCGCCGGAGGTCATCGCGAAACTTGACAAACTTTCAGTGTTGCGCCTCAGTGCAAGCTATTTACGAACCAAGAACTTTTTCAAAGGTGGGTGGTAACTTTATTCAAATATCTTTTCAAGTGATCAAAATCCTCCCGGCTTGATACCTTCCGGCATCGCAAAACCAGTATTATTCGTATTATTTTATATTTTTATTCTTCGTGGGTCTTTGATTAAATAGTTTTTCGTAAAGGAGTGGGATTTCAGTATTCTTTTGGTAGTGTGATTATAAAAACTATAAACGAATTCGGAGGAAGTCCATTTCAGCTGATAAATAAGTGGTTGTAGAACACCTGTCAATGGTGCTCGTACTAAATATGATAACATTTCACTTTTTACAGGTCTGAATGTTGGTTCGAAGTTAAATACAGATTCATCAAAGTCAGATGAGTTTGAAAAGACAGGGGCTGTCAGTGACCTGTTGTTGGAGGTATGTTCTGAACGTCCATGTCAGTGAATGATGGTTATTACACTGTTACAATCAAAATAACATGTGGAAGCGTCTAGCATTTACAATTGTGTGTATATTGAAGTCTTGCTTTAAATATTTAATGATAGGCACTTGATGGGTTTTTGATGGTTCTTACCCAAGATGGAGAAGTGTTTTATGCCTCTGAGACTATAAGTAATTTTCTTGGAGTGTCGCAGGTAAACCACTAGGTTATTTATTATTATTTATACTGGATGTAGTTCCATGCATCGGTTCTAAACTGTTTTATATCTTATTGACTGAATGTTACTACAGGAGAGGGCATCTAAGCTAAAGCAGTTTTGTAATCATATCTCTATCTGTTTTCAGGCGAGCGTGATACACCAAGATTTTCTACGATTCGTTCATGCTGACGATCAGCAGATGATTGAGAACAACCTCAAGCTCGTTCCCACTCCTACTGAACCGGTACGCCGAATATTCAAGCAGTCAAATTCAAACCGCTTTTTAAACCTTTAATATTTTTTTTTGTTAGAAAATACGAGATATTACCGATGATAGCGACGAATCTGCTGCCGAAACGAGCGACAATGCAGGGGGTGAAAACGGTGAGTGTACACTGAACTCTATGTAGAAGGAACGATAACTTTACCAGCTTCATGTTTGCACAAGGCCTTAGTTAGTATATAATCTTAGTATCATAGAGTCGACGTTTTAAATTCTCTTTGTAGGAAAAGACTTAAACAAAGAACGGTCTTTCGTGTGTCGGTTTAAATGCATCCTAAACACGAATGCAGGATTTTTCAAGGTAATTTTGCATTATACTTTACCACAGACTTAGAATTATCCAACAGATTTCCCTGGTATTAAGATCCATCCAAAGAAGAACATCACAGCAAGATTTGCAAGTGTAAATAGCCTTAAAGCACAAACAATTGTCATATGTCATTGAATATTTTTATGTTTCTAGCCGTTCAGGTGTCATGGCCGCCTGCGTCAGGTTGATGTGCCTGACTCAACTTGCCCCCAGATGGCGCTGTTCCTGATCTGTTCACCTCTGGAAATGACCACCTCCATTATCGAAGTGCGAATGAAATCCATGTTGTTTTGCACGAAAAACAAACTCGACCTCACGTTTGTGGACATTGATCAAAAGTAAGAGCTCTACACTATAATTGCTCTTTCTCTTGTGAGGGAAGCTTGCTGTGTCTCCCCATTTTGGTGGCTCGTCCAATTTTAGGCAAAATGTTCAATCATCATTCGTACTATTACACCCAAGTTGTATTCGCCATTGCATGATTACCTATACAAATTTACGCCGGTTCAAACTTACATTTATAACAACTTACCACACGGATGAATTCTAAGACATCCATCCTGTTGAATGAACCGAATCCAGGTTAGGTTAAATTGTTCTCACCTCATTTGTATGTTGTGTTTAATGATTTATCATGTATTCATTCCAGGGGGAGGCAAATCGTTGGATATACCAAGAAAGATATTCAAACCCAATCGAGTTACTGTATGATGCATTACGATGACATTCCAGTTCTCCGAAAAATGCATCAAGACCGTAAGTATAGCACAAAACGTGTACACAAATGACCTCTAATGCCCTTTCACAACAAGTATTGTACACAGATTTCCATTAGTGCCTATATATGGTGCATTCAGTCATTACCTAGATAACCCGGTGATAAGTTGTTCCTTTTTGTAAATTGCAGTCATGTCAACTGGGAAGTGCGAAGGAGTTTTTCGCTGGTTGAACAAGCAAATGAAATGGCAATGGCTAAGTGGAAGCGGACAAGTGATCTTCAAGAATAACCGGCCAGATTTTGTCATCACAACAAACAAACCTCTAACGTAAGTTCACCGAGATCTAGTTTTGCGATTGCGCTGGTAATTTAGGATGACCCTTGACAGTTTAGAACTGCAGTTTAGAAATGGTGGATTTTAGTTCAGTTTAAGTGAATCAGCAGTATGAAGACCCTAACTTTATGGTTATGGAGAAAAAGTAAGAAAGATAGAACTATTCAGTGTTAGTAAAGTTAGTTCAGTTTAGGTAATTAATGCACAAGTATGAAGACTCCAACTTTCAGCAGAACAAGTAAGAATGTTCGAAATGTTTATTGTTGATGAGAAAATGTAACACTGATAGAATATTAAAAACAGTTGGGGCTGATGTGGTTTTTCTAAGTTAATGCCCACAATGATTATTTATACAAGAGCTGTATCAGTTTAGTATTGCATGCAGAGATACTCGCAAAGAACTTGTTACAGAGTTTAATGTAGTTTGGTTCAAGGCAAGACTGTTGAACTTCAGAGTTTCGAGCTAAAATCTTAGCTATAGAGTTCACTGGGCATGACATGGTTGATTCTAAAGTATGCTCGTTTATCGTACCCAGGGACGAGGAAGGCGATGAAGAAGTGAGACGAAGAGAACGTGATCTAGGAATCGTTCCTACCTCACCTGTATCGCTGCTCAGTCATCTGCAGATCAATTCACCGCCACCGTCCAATGTCCCTGTGGGTAGTCATAATGGACCCCAACCGCACACGACTGGACTTTCACCAGGTATACAAATCACATTCCTCTTTTTCTGCGGTGTTCAATCTGTGATGCTAACCAACAAACGCCGTGTTTGAACTCATGTTTTTCCTAAAGCTATTGTCCTGTCGCTAGTGCATGGAAGACAAAATTTGTTTACATCTAACCAAATATTTGTCAACAGTGCTTCTAAATGAGTATGAACTAGAGTTTGTGTCCAGAAGAATCTGAAACGATATTTAGGCAATTTTGAAAACAGTGTTATAAGAAAACTGCTTCGTAGGCCCGACTTGACATTACGTTTGAAATATCACAGCCTGAATATTAAACACTATTTGGGTTGGTTATACTTGTACATGAATTGCAGCGTATGCGTTTTGTCTCTTTTAGATTCCAATGTGTCCCCGTCTCTCGTCGGCCCTGGTCTACCGACTACCTCTTGTACTTCTGACCCATTTCCCCCAGAGGACCTGCCCTGGGATTTGAACACTGAGGCTTTGTTTGAGGCGAATGAGGCCACGTGGGACCCAAGAGGTTCGTATTCCCCTTTCTGCTGTTATATCATCGTTCGGATATTACAATTGATAATGCACTGGGTATATTATATATGGTGATAAAATTAGGCGTTGATAACTTCCAAAAAATTTCTTTTGTAAAAAACCTTTTTTAGCTTCATTATCTGATCTGGATGGTATCGGTAAAGGTGACCTGGTCAGCGATCTGTTCGAGATCGATGTCAATTCCTTGAACCTTGATCCCTTAGACGAGAGCAATACTGTACCCTTGACGCATGCGTCAGATTCCTCCTACCCTCTTCCAGAAATCTCGCCTAACCCCTCCGTGCCACCTCCCGATGCGTGGGCGTTACGTGATCAACGAACGACATCGCAATACCCGCCCGTACGAGTGCAACCACAACCAGTCCAAAGCTCCGGCATGTTGATTTCAACATACAGCAACAACGGTGTAATTCCACACACCGGAGGAATGCCTCCCCCGGGTATCGGTACTACAGGAATGGTGTCGCCACACACAGGAGGAATGCCTCCCTCGGGTATCAGTACTACAGGAATGGTGTCGCCACCAAGCGTACCGCCGGGTGTAATGCCCGGCCGACATGTGCCCCGTAATGGAATTAATTCTTCGGTTCCAAATGGTCCGGTGGTGAACGGACCCAACCCATCAATGGGTTACCACCAACCGACGATGACGTCATCCCAACCGCTGCCACGGGGCAACGTCGCTTCAAATCCAACGGGGCTGCTCACAGTTCAAACTCAACCAATGTTGAATCGTTCATACATAAAAACTGAACCAGTGCGTTCTACTGGGTATTACTGCAACTCTGCAAGCGGGGATCGCAGTTTTCCGGGAGGAGTGTCCAACGGTCTGCCTTTCCAGGGGGTGCCGACGCAGAATAATGCGTATAGATATCAAAATAACAAACTGAATCACGGGGGTATCCCACAGTGGACCACGGCACCCCCAAGTCCATATTCATCTGGTTCTTCGTCGACGAGTTCCTACGATGCACTACACGTGCAGTTTTCCCCCACCGAAATCCTAACGTCACCATTCGCGTCTCCAGGCAACGACAATGAGTATAATCACCTGAACGCCTCTCACCAAGCTCCGTACCCGGGACCACCACAACCAGGTGGTGGGCACACGAAACGTTCGTTCCAACGCCCCCCGCCAAGTTTTCCCCAACCTTTTGTAGATATACCGGAGATTGCGCCGGTCGAAGAACTAATACCCGGGATGCATCACACCTCTCCGATCGCGTCCCGCGCAACCGCCGGCCTTACGCACTTGTGATAAGACGAAGCTGTTCACGTGACCACATGCACGGGCCCACGATGACTGATTTTTCGGATTGCATCGGGGCGGGAACCGACGACGAACAACGCATGCGCGCAAATCTCGCTGATAAATTGGTTGAGTTAGCAGACGGCCGTTCATATGTGCTTTTTTAGAGAACCCGAGTTCGTGTCGTGAGTTCTGTTTAACTTTCGAAGCACCTTTTTGGTCCTAAATGGAGTGAACTTGTTTTGCAAGATGAAGTATTTTAAATGCTTTTATACATTTTTGATAAATACGGTATGTTGTATGAAGCATGTTTAGCGAATCGGTAAACTCGGGCAATATTTCCGTGTGAACTGTACGAGTTTTAAAGATTATTTTAGGCAATGTTCGTGCAATTGAAAAGTCGCAGTTATTTATCGACTATTCATCGCAAACATGCTACATGCAACACTTTTGGCCAAGTTGCCGCCATTTGTGTATCCATAGATGGACAGTCTCAATAAAAACAATGTATAGTCGTGACACTTCACACAGCGCATTCACAGCTTTTCAAACAGCTAAATAGTCGCTTCCATCTTCTGAACGAGATTGTCGAAGGCAATTCCTTAACAAGACGTTTCGGAACTGAAGCCGGTCACTTGCCTAATCTTTAAAGTAACTATTTAGGGTGACTGTCCATCCCTGGACTTGCAAATGTTGGCAAACACGTATTGGGCTGGCTGTAAATAGTCTATCCATCTTGCACGCTCTTTGCCAGATTTTGGACACGCACGAGGGAAATTCTGCACGCGAACGTTACCTTTAAACTATTTTTAACATGTGTGTATTGGAGGAATTTTAGGCAGTGAAATTCTTCAAAATTATTACAGTTTATGTGAAATAAAGAATAATATATTTTGATCTTATATGAATTTTGTTTTGTGCTGATTTGGAGATTCATTTTGAGATGAAAGGAATCATCCCAATGTGATGGGAATCATCCCAATGTGATGGGAATCATCCCAATGTGATGGGAGTCATCCCAATGTGATGGGAATCATCCCAATGTGATGGGAATCATCCCAATGTGATGGGAATCATCCCAATGTGATGGGAGTCATCCCAATGTGATGGAATCATCCTAATGTGAAGAATGTGAAGTGATCCTAGTATTATCCTAGTGCCAAAACTTACATGAAGTACAATGGCCTCGACCCAAGATGGCGGCCGTTTCGAAAAAAGTAAAGCACCGAATTTGGTATGTATGTATGGTATTTTTCAAGCCTGTTTTATACGACTCTTGCTGAGTATTTTAGTTGATAAGATATAATTTCCTTGCAGCATGGTTTGTGACTTCTTCTACCCAAACATGGGCGGTGTGGAGAGTCATATTTACCAAGTTTCACAGTGTCTTATAAACAGAGGACACAAGGTGGAGATATAAATATTGGCTTCAAACAAATTGTATTTAATATTTTGCTGTATCTCGTTCCTCCTAATAAGAAATTTATACACTAAATACGTGCTAAATATTTTCATTTTAAGGTCGTCATAATAACTCATGCTTATGAAGATAGAGTTGGTGTCCGATATTTATCAAACTTTTTAAAGGTGTGTTAAAGGATGTTTTATTGCAGCCATCACAATGCAAACTACAAGAACTTTATCTTGTTTAAATTGTAGGTTTATTATCTCCCGTTTACAGTTTTCTATAACCAGTGTGTTCTACCAACAATGTTCACAACACTACCTTTGATGAGGGATATCTGTGTCAGGGAGAAAATTACGATACTTCATGGACACTCGGTAATTTTCAAGAACAGTTGTAAATGTGGATCACAATCTGCTATCAACCATTACAAAAAAGGCAGCAGATATCCAAATTTACATTTGAATTTTTTTCCAGGCTTTTTCGACGCTATGCCATGATGCACTTCTCCATGCAAACTCGATGGGGATGAAATCTGTATTTACTGATCATTCTCTGTTTGGATTTGCCGATGCAAGCTCGATCATTACAAACAAATTCTTGGAGTTCTCACTTGCCAATGCTGACCACATGATTTGCGTATCTAATACAAGGTTTGCTCTATATTTGATTAAACAGTTTGCATTCCAAAAAAAGCTCATCAGAGCTTCACTAAGCCAACCTATTATATCCCCTAGATTCACCCCCTCCTCCCTTTCCTCTGAAGTATCCCAGATCTATCCATTTGTATCCAAATATTTCCCCATTTGCTACAGTATGTGTGGTCTTCTATATCCACCCATTTCTGCCATTTTCTGCATTTTAGCAAAGAAAATACTGTATTGCGAGCTAAAGTTAGTCCTCAGCTTGTGTCAGTCATACCAAATGCCATTGATTCCTTCTCATTCACTCCAGACCCATCAAAACGAAATCCTGATTTCAGTAAGTGTTGTATACTATAGGTAGACATCACATCTTAAGAGAAATTTTGGTATTAACGACCACCCTGGCAGTTCTCTTGATTGGTTTTGTCTTCCAAGTATTCTTGGGCAAAAGTTTATATTTTATATCTATATAATTTTTTGTAATTTTTTTGTAGTAACAGTTGTTGTGGTCAGTAGACTGGTCTATCGGAAAGGCATGGACCTTTTGGCATCGATAATACCTCTGGTCTGCTCCAAGTTTTCAAATGTTCAATTCTTAATAGGTAAGCACGCTGAAATAACTGCTTCTCGCACGTTGGTGGTACCTACGCCTGGTTTGACCTCCTGGCAGGTAGTCGAGAATTATGCCCGACCTTTTCCGTATTGCAGTCTTTTTTGACACACGTAAGTGAGAGAGTGTCCTGGGACCTATTTCAGACGTCGAACTTTGCATGTGCTGAACCTAATGTTAATGGACTAAATTCTAAGTTGTTTAAGTTCATTTGCATTCGATTTGGCGCATGAAAAGTTTAACGTTTTAAATGCGTCTTAGTTTCCAACCTTATTTTACTAAAATCACTTTCGTGCGTGCGTGCGTCAACAGATCTCAATACGAAACTGGATCCACATACACTGCGTTACCTTAAGGGGGTTCAACTTCTACCTCAGGTGGCGAGGGACCAAAGCGAATTATCCTCGAGGAAGTGAGAGAGCAACATCAACTACACGATAGAGTTCAACTTCTGGGAAGTTTGAAGCATGAACACGTTCGTGACGTAAGTAGCTACAGTGTATATCCTAGCGACATTCCTCTGGAAACGTTTAACCGTGGTAAATATTTACGGATTGATGTTGTGATATTCTTTGGTACATTAGTCAGTACGTGTCAGCGGGTGCGCGCCCCCCCTAACCACATTGGGGAGTGGGCCTCTGACACATATCGGTGGGTTTGTTTTTAGGTCTTAGTTCAAGGGGATATTTTCCTAAACACATCGTTAACGGAGGCTTTTTGCATTGCAATCGTAGAAGCAGCTAGCTGCGGGTAAGGAATACTTCAATACCATGCTGTGTTCTTTTTACAATTCAACTAGTTTTTGGTCAATAATTTAATCGTAAGTAAAAAATAAACGATTCTGGTTTGCCTATTTCTCTCACTAACCATGCACAGTTAAAATTGAACTAACTTTTATACAACCATTTTATATGCCTGTTGCAAACTTGTACAATAAATTTACATGTATAAAACTTGTTTTCTCGCACTCCAGACTACAGGTTATTAGTACTAAAGTCGGTGGCGTCCCGGAAGTTCTGCCTCAGGACATGATAAAACTTGTAGAACCAAATGTACCAGGTACTGTAATATGAATTAAAATATTTATAACTAAATAACTATTGTTTCATACGAACCCCTAATGATTTAATCATTACTATATATCCTGCATAAAAATCTGTTAATTTTTGTTTACTGAGAGTCGTATGGCGACTGCCATGTTCATCGATTAAAATATGGTTGCCCGACTTCTTTCACTAGATTTGGTGGTTGCTCTCGAACAGGCCATTAAAGCCACGAAGAATGGCGAGGTGGTTTCACCAACAACAGCTCACGAACGTGTCAAAGAAATGTACACCTGGGATAAAGTTGCGAAAAGGACAGAAAAGGTGAGTTAAGCTTTGTCCACACGATCCAATTTTGTTGGATCCAATTCACTTCTGGCGTATAGAATGTAGTGTGTTATTTATCAAGCGGTACTGCATTGGCTTTAGTTGATTTGCTGTCAATAAACATTGCACGTTAACAGACTTCAAAACATCCGTCAGAGGTGAATTGGATCCGACAAAGTTATATTGTGTGAACAAACCTTTGAATCACTCAACACTGCTGTGAATGATGAGATTTGAAACGGGCCTTGTTGCTATCCTCGGCAAACAAATATCTTCCCGTTAAGGTGTATGACAGTATTTCAACCTGTGCTGTACCGCCATTAGAGGAAAAACTGAAGAGGTGAGACGTTGAATTAAAACTTCATTATCCTTAGGAGAATGAAAAAAATCAAGGCCATTTTTTTTCTTATGTTTCAATAAGTTAGAATTGCCCTTACAATGTGTAATGACAGACAAAACTAACAGAAGATTGCTTAATAGAGTTGTTCATTTCTTTTGTCTCGATTTTAGATGGTATGAGTGTGGACCGATAGCAGGCAAAATCTATTGTTTCCTCGCCATTATTGACCTGCTGTTGCTCTTACTTTTGAACTGGCTTATTCCACGACAGGTACATACAGTATACTAAAGCTGGTTGTAAAGTACGCAGCCTGGTTGTAGCTATATCGCTATTTACGGCTAGTGATTTCTCCAACTGCTGTCAAAAATCTTGAAAGGCAACAAAACAGCACAAAGATATGTTTCTAGAGAGTTAGCGGTGCCAATTTCGAATCGCTCAAAATTTAGGCCAATAATTCTCCAAAAAGTATTCCTGAACACTTGTCTGAAGTACCACAAAATCGTTGTTCATTTATCGTTAGGTATTTTGACCCATTAGTTAGGTAATACAGATAATGTATACTTCTTTTCCATAGTTGATTGACACAGCACCCGAAATCAGACGAGGTCAAAGTAAAGGGACAAGGTAACAGTAGAATGACGTCATTTTCGGTAGTGACGTCATGTCCAAGTCCAGTTAACGGTCAGTGATATAAACGGTCAGTGATACTCTAAGAAATAGGATTTAATATGCACTACCATTGAGAATTCGACTGTTTAGATCGAAATATTTGAACCCAGTTGTTCAGTAAATGGAGAATATTACATGGATGCTTGGAAATATGGAATTTATTTCGAGCTCGTGTAATCGTATCATTGAAAAATATAACTTCTTATACAGGGTGTTTAAAAAAAACCCGAAAACTATTGAAATCACTCATTGTTAAAATTTGATTTCCGTGTTCACGAATTTTAGCCCGTGGGGATTTAATGCAATTTATAAAATGCTAATTACGAAAAATTTGTAATTGTGAATATGATTAAATTTTAATTAGCTTTGTTATTGCTGACCGCGGAACAACGAGTGTTTATTGTGATATTATCCCGAACAAAGTGCTTAGGCATTAAAACTCCAACAATTACATGGTGTTAGGTGATTTCAATAGTTTTTCGTTTTTTCAAATGACACCATGTAGATAATCTTGGTTTTCCATTTTGAACTAATGTGCCGTTTAAGCTAAACGCTTCTGGAACAACTAACCAGCCGCTTGACACATGTATTTATTAATTTGACCTGCTCGTAATGAGAAATCCGACGGTTAGTTGCGAACATCGTCAACAAGTTGCAAACATCACCGATTAACAACACCGATATGACGTGATTATCAGGATATAAGACGGTCTTCCTTCTCTGTATTTATATCGGCTATATTCTATGACATAAATAAAAAAATAAACAAATATATGCACGTAATTACGAACACATCAGCAAGCCGAACAATGTTAAAATTATGCAAAATTTAGGACGTGTCTTAGTTTTGGAGATATGTCTCCCGTTGTTCACTTCCGCCAACGTAGCTAGTGTTAAAGCTGTCTCCATTTTTCGCACGAGAATAACAACTACGGCAAAGTGGATATTTGTTTGTGATGGACGTGTGAACAGGAGGATTTAAAAGGAGTATTGTGGATTCTTAGGCAGGAAAGGCTTCAGAATGCCCCCGTTGATAAGCGAGAGAGCTTTGTCAAAGTCGCTTGTGATGTTAACATTTTTATCAATGGGTATCATGTGTATATACGCTATCCTGGAAATAGGTTCTGTCGGGAGTTTAAATCCAATAGCAAGTGCTTTTGGGGTTTCCCCGCAAGATCACGATGGAGATTTACGTCGTGAAGATATTAAAGCGACGAAGGAAACATTCCTCCCGCCATGTAACAAAACAGGAGAACGACTTGGTAAGTTACATGAAGTTCACAATGATATAGCCTTTCTAAGTTTAACTAAGTTCAGAAGTGGTGTGGAAGGATGATAGAATTCCATATCCAGAATTTACAAATATAAACCTCAGGGTAGGTTTATTTTTTATTATAGCCCCCTCCGCAGGCATCTCTTATGTATTCATATTATGCATTTATATTTGGCTTCTTTGCACTTAATGACTGTCTGAATTTTACTTGGAAATTTCGAGGTTGGTCTTATGTACTCGTATGGTTGGTGACAGAATTGGCCAGAAATCAGATTTGTGTATTTCTGAATCATCTGTTCAATTCAAATATACGCGTAATGATTTAATTTAAGAGTTTTATGCATCGTATAAGACTTGGGTTTTGCTATCACTTAAGATAATGGGATTTATGCACAATTAAATCATATAGGCAGGAGATTTGAGGAAAATCGTCATCTTTGGCCCTACTATGAAATAAACCTACTGAACGATTACTGTGGGCTACGGTTATTTCCAGTGATGTAACTAGAACGATAATTTGGGGGGGGATGAATACTCATGTATCCATTATTTCTTGCCAAAGAAACTAATAGCTTGGTTTTCCTTTCCTTCTTGGCTTAAAATTAAATTTTGTATAAATCCCAGTTATCCCACTCGAAATTAAAACCATTAACCCACTAGAAGCTACTTCCTATGAGTGAAGTGCCACATATCGTAGTTGATTTATCCCAGCTTAATGCGTTTTTGAAGTAATGCAGAATATTGGAAAATTAAGGATGATGCCAAATTTAAGTGCAACTTTATTTTTGCCAAAACACAAGTATTCGCGACAATTGATATCTCTGGTGCAATATCAACAAATGATTTAGGTTTTTATTACATTTTGCTATTAATACTTAATTATACATTCCTCATTTATGCAAACTATTCAACTGAAAGCAACTTACGGTGTCATGTAAACAAAATTCAAAGAGGTGTACTGAAACTTATCCTCTTCGTCTAACTGATATATATAGCCGTATAAAATGAAGCTTGTATTGATTTTAGTCGATATTGGATTTCAGAAGCAGCTATAAGTTTTGTGACTACGTGTTTCGATATAGTCAGAGACAAAGTCTTCGTCTAAGATTGAAACAATAGCCTACGTCCACGGATGTCGTTTTCTATAAATATGTTTTCACGTTTGGGCATCTTTGAGCGAGTATTTGCCCTGCTATCCGTGCTCTCGATTGGAACTATCATGATTCGTTTCTCGGAAGAAGAAGTCCCCACTTATCGCCATATTGATGTCCTGGCATACAATTCAAAACCTACGGTTGCAAACGATAATGCGACGAGTGAAAATAGTGTAGGCAATGTTGTCAACGCTTCCTCTAGTAGAGATGTCCAATCAAGGCTGCAAAAATTTTCGCCAAAAACTAAATGCAGATTACTCGGAAAGGATTTAAGTAAGTGGATATTTTGTAGAGTATAGAAGGCTAAGTCATCCGTATAATAACTTGTAATGAGGGTATCCATTGTGGTATGATAAATGTATAGATATGAATTGAAGATAATGACATATTTTATCAACAATATTGTTTATAAAATGCTCTCGCGAATACCCGTCACTTTACTGCATGTTGTATAATTACATCGCCTTCGGCTTTTAATGTTAAAATGCTTCTAGCGTAATGATATAGTAGACTAACTTTAAAGAAAACTGTATTTATACTGTTCCACTTACTTCGACGTATGCGAGAGATTACAATTTCGAAATACTTCCTGCTATCATAGCAGGTTGCAAGTGCCGAAAATATTTAAAAGATATCTTCTGCATTCTAGTGATACAAGTTAATTGATCTACTTGAAGTGATATACCACAAATACCTCGAGCAATTCGGCTCGAAAAAAGACGTGGGAACCGCATCGCTATCGGGTTTTCAGCGTAAACTATCGTCTACTTCGCTGCTATATTTTACGGTTATACATGCATAACCGTATATACGACATATTTATGCAACATTTGAGACGGGTTGTTAGGCTCATGTTACCGCGAACTGTGTGCAAAGTCACGCGAAAACTGTACGAAATACGGTCAGATGAAGTCTAAGAATTATGCTTTCTGTTCGCAGAGTTTGTATAAATTTGCATTTATCCTTATATTCATCTGTTTGCAAATCGTTGGAGTGACATGTGCTTAAGAATAAGTCGAGCACATGGTCATTGAAAACAGATTAAAAACGTAAATGTCAAAATGTGTTTGTTCTAAGTCTAGCCTTCGACGCCTTTAGGAAAACACTTTCAACTTTCAAGCGTGCATATGCCCGCTGTCGGATATATCCTGTCTGGTTGTTGGTGCATGAAATATAACGCGAGTTAAGAGCAGGCAAGATTTTCAAACGCTAGTTATCACAGACAATAGGGTACTCAAGCACTCGAAACTAATTCTTTCGTTATCATTGAAGAATAATTTATTTGAAGAATAAGGTGTACCTACAAGCCTAAATACTTATCGATTGTAACCATGCAAACGTACAAGAATATTATTGAAGAATAATTTCTTGAAAGGCATATAATAAAAAACGTCCAAACCAGTTTAAATTGTCTAAACCTCTAAACCTAGTCTAAACTTTGAGCGCAAACCATGGCAGCATTTGAGACGGAATTTGTATATCTACATGTAATAACTGGTTTTCCAATGTCCAGAAACGTATTTTAACAAACCGTTGACACCCTAACTCGATAACTTCTCTTCTAGTTGGTCGTCTAGCTGTCGACAAGACCGTTCCAAACATGGAGGATATTGTAAAATCGTGGAATATGACAAACTGGGTACTCAAAGGTGGTGCTTCAAGACCAAAAACATGCCAGTCACTTAGTAAGGTATGAATGATGTGGTGGTATTGGTGATGTGAGTGGTGATGTAGGATGGTTATTATGATGGTGATGTGAGATGGTTATTATGATGACCGCGGTACTGGTTATGATGTAAAGGTAGTGATGATATTGATGGTGGGATGACGGTAACAGTGATGACGATTGTGATGGTGGTGGTAGTGATGATGTTGATCATAAAGATATCGGTGATTATGATATTGGTGATGATGATATTAGTGATGATGATATTCGTGATGGTGTGTTAATGATATTGTGATGATGTGATGACGGTAATAGTGATGATTTGATTATGGTAATAGTGGCCATGATGACATGCGAGATGATGTGTAGATGATGATCACGATGATATTAATCATAATATGATTATAGTAATAATGACGACGATATATAAGACTGTTAATATTCCTAGGTGGCCATCATCATCCCTTATCGTAATCGTTATCAACAACTAAAGATATTCCTGCGCCACTTGCATCCCATATTAAAACGCCAGTTGTTGGACTACCGGATTATTGTCGTTGAACAGGTCAGCCAGTCCAGACACTTCAAACAACGTTGCATAATAATGAACCCTTTCAAGGTATACAAGACATTTAGGTTAAAAAATCAATGATTATTACATCATCTTTAGAACGGAGACACTCCTTTTAATCGTGCGATGTTGTTCAATATTGGCTACAAGGAAGCTCTAAAGCTTCATGATTTTCAATGTTTTGTTTTTCACGATGTTGATTTGATACCGGAAGACGATAGGAATTCATACGGTTGTCCTTCAAGGCCGAGGCATCTTTCAGTGGCTGTGGACACGCTCCACTACAGGTAGGTTCTTTGCTTACCATCGCATGATTTGAGTCATGTAAGCCGTTTTTTAAACGATTAGAATGGATAAGTATCCATAGATGAAAATAGAGCCTGTTCCCTAGAAATCCCTTACTAAGAAAGAAGGATGAAATGACTTTGAGGGATTGAAACTGATAAGTGAATATCATGATCCAGGCAGTGTCGCAGAGGTTAGGATTAAGATTAAGATTTGGTCTTAGATTCGCCTGAAGTTTGATGAGGATTATTCTTGATCCTAAATATAATCCTAACCAAATCTTAAGGATTAATTTTGTGCATTTAAGGTTTTCTGAACATGGAATGATTACCAAGCCTATTCTAACATTTCAAAATCTTTTAAATCTCTTGTACGCTGGATCATGTAACAGCCCCTCAGTTTGAAAATCTTAGTCGATTCGCGTGATTACGCAGTGGGTCTGAAACTGATACAGTATATAAATTGGGCATCATAAATCTTACTGTTTAGGTTGCCCTACGCGACAATCTTTGGGGGAGTCTCATCGCTTACCAAGGAACAGTTTGAAAAAATCAACGGATTTTCAAATAAATTTTGGGGATGGGGTGGCGAAGATGATGACTTGTACAAAAGGTATGACGTACCACCCTAAATTTCATAATTTTGGGGTAATTTGTAAGGCCTCTAAAAAAGGTAATGTAAAGGGAGGAATCAAAGCACCAGCTCACAAACTTGTAATATCCAATGGTTAAGTATTTATCTTTCTATCCCATTGCTTGCTATCGCTGAAGCCCGTGTTTTGTCGTACAAATATAGTTAAGGTAATATCTCAGTATTTACTAAAGATTTACTGAAGTGTCATTGCAACATTGCAGGATCACAGCCGTTGGCTACAGCCTGTCCAGACCAAATATAGTGATCGGTCGGTACACGATGCTGCAAATTGGTCATAAAAGTGCTAAAAAGGATGATAGAAGGTTCGTGGGTATTTAGGAAAACACTGCGACAAAGTTAGTTTAGTTCAGGTTTTCTCCTGTAGTAACTGTAGTAAATTATCTTTCCTCTTCCAGACATGAAAAATTGGAAACTTCGGAAGACAGGATGAGTCGAGATGGGCTAAACACATTGAAATACGATGTGATCAAGACAGAGGAACATCAGTTACACACGCAATTTACGGTGAACGTCGACCCTGCCGTGGTGTAGTCCGAATTCCGTAGAGTGGATCCGAGTTTACCAGGCGGTTGTTTGCTGTCGTGGAAGTTGTTCGGTTTTGTCCCAGAGAAATCCTCCAAGACCAAGATGTTGACAGCGCAAACCTAATCACTTGAAGTCCAGGCCCAGATGAAAACTGTGCAGAAGAGGCATTTACACAAGAGGCAATTTAATTTATCTTGAGATTTTCCTCTTTTGATGATGTAAACGAGTGAAATAGTGATGATGATCATGCGGCAGAATTATTGCGAAATGGTTGCGCCAAAATTATTGAAAAGTTGCATCGATAACAACTCATGAAACGTTATTAAAGTTCGAAAAATTCTCAGAAAGTGTCTAAATGAATAATTTTACGATGTCTGCATGTGTTGCAAAATGGTATAATAGCATTCCTGGAATATTTCAGTACAATAAAGGGAAGTCAAAAGATATAATAGATGAAGTGTTATTGAGCTATTTGCTTTGATGCAATGCGTTGTAAAGCGTACTGCATAGTGTTAGAGCTATCCAGTGAAATTACAAAATTGGATTAACAATATATATCGATCATCATTACTGAACCTTCCTGAAAAACGGTTTACAACTGATAATCTAGTATAAATAACGTTGGTTCAGATTAGATTTCTTCCTGTAGTAACACTGAATCAGAATGTAACAGAAACAGTGACTGATAGGGCTATCCATTTTTGCTAAAGTTTAGCTAGATGTTATTGTGGTGACACTGGATCAATAACACAAATTCCACCTGTGGTAATAGTACTGCGTGGGCGAAGCATACGGTGTATATCAGAATATAGTAACTAACTGCCTACGTGGCGAAGCCGCAAAAGCGCATTGTCATTGAGACGCCTGCGACGAGCGTTGTCCCACAGGAGACTAGTTTCGAGTTCTTGCAGGTGTTGTTGTATTTAACAACTTGATGTGTTGGAGTATAAAATTTCAATGACATTTCTCAATGAATTGCTGTAGTTTCATATGTAGTTAGGTTCTTTACTATAGTGCCTTCATGTGAGTACAATATGGCCTCGTTTCATCGTGAAGATTAAAAGATTTGGTTCAAAATACGGCGGGAATTTCCACAACCGAAAACCGAGATTTTCCATCACATTGTCCTCTGAATTTGATGAAGTATGAGTCGAAAGTTCAAGTCCTTTCTGGCCATAGCTTGTGCGATAACCCTTGGGGTCGTAGTGTATCGCTTTAGCAAAACTGCAGACAGTAATATAACACCTCAAACGAAAATTTATAATTTTAATCTGGACGATAATTATGTGACTATTAACAAAGGTGGAGAGGAATCACAGGATAATGTAAAATGGACTGTAAGAACCTTGCCAAATATGGGTGGTACAGGTATGCCTCCTGACAGTAGTGGGGTCACTGTTAAGACTACACATGCTCATTTGGTTTCGACTAGGAAGACAAACCCAGCAAGTAAACCTGCAACACCTCCAGTGAAGAAACTGACAACTAATAAACCAACACAAAGTAACCAAGTAACCACACCCAAAGTAACCAAGAAGCCAACAGTGATAAATTTACCACCATCGACAAAACCTGTCTCAACAAAGAGGGTACTGGTTGTAACATCAAAACCAGTCACACCTGTTGCAGTTACTACGAAACATCGTGGTTCAACATTGTGTTCCCATGAAGGAGAAAATTTGGGTGAGGATTTGTCAATTTCTGCGTTTGCAACCTTTTCTTCAACCTATGGGCACAGAATGAGAACCTATCAGAAAGCCACTTTGTTTTCTGCGTAGTGGTGACACATCAAATCAATGACAAATCACTATTACACAGAAAACAATAGACGCTGCTTTCTGATAGGTTTCTATTCTGATTAAAATGGTGAGGTTCTCGTTAAGATTTTTAGGCTGCCAGTCAAATTTCATCTTTCTTCTTTAGTTGGCCTTCTGGCGGTTGATGACAAAGTACCTGCATCTGAAGATGAGATAGAGGAAGACTGGAGAGATAAGGGTTGGGTTGAAAAGGGAGGGGCATGGAGACCAAAAAAATGTCAGGCTATTAGCAAGGTTTGTGGACTGTGACAGGAGGATTTTTGGATGCTTCAGATTTACCTTGGTGAAAGAATTATCTACAACTATGTTAGCAGCGTACCTTGTGCCCACATTGTACTTCCTGAGGGCTAGATTTGATGGTTACTTTAAAAAAACCCTTGAAGAACAGGAATGAATTAAGTATAGTAATTTAACTGAATTGTTTTTTTTATCAATTTTTTTAGGTTGCAATTATAATTCCATTTCGTAATCGTGAACAGCAATTGAAAATATTTCTACGTCACATGCATCCTATGCTGAAACGTCAATTGTTAGATTACAGGATTTTAGTTATTGAACAGGTATAAACTTGATAGGTTGTACGAAGCATGTTTAACTCAAATGATGGATAAGCTTGAAGAAAAAGAGTCAGACTGCATATCTATCAGGATGAAATAATTTTTTTTGCAATTCAAACAATTCTGTTAATTCATATTAGATTTAAGTTCACAACATGTATTCAAGTTTTATCCACCATTTAAGCTCAACTGGTTTTGTACAACCAGCCTCTGATTACAGATAAACCCAGTACAAGATGATTTTTCTTGTCAGTGGTAGAATTGCAATTAATAGTGTAGTCAACTCTGCCTGCCAATGTGTTGTGACTTATCCATTGTGAATTTCATTGCTCAAGTTAAACTCTGAAACTGTGTTGATGTTTTTTATTATAGGCTGGCAAAACACCCTTCAACCGAGCAATGTTGTTCAACATTGGATACAAAGAGTCTTTGAAGTTTCATGATTTCAAGTGTTTCATATTTCATGATGTTGACCTTATACCAGAGAATGATAAGTTTTGCCCTGCTGCACCAAGTTTAATTACAGGTGTGTTGCTCTTCCGTGCAGCCATCCATTCACATCAACTTTCATCTGCTGTTATCGACTAGTTGTTACTAAATTTAATCCACTTTTATCAACTTCCAATTCCATATTCTTTTTAAATTCATTCTCATAACTTTTCAATTTTCATCAACTTTTTTTCCATTCTTATCAACTTTCATCCATTCTTATTAACTTTAATCTATTTCCATCAACTTTTATCCTTCTCGGTAACTTTCATTCAATCTCATCAACTTGTTTCTCTCTCTATACCTTTCATCCATTTTCATCAACTTCCATTCAATGTCATTAATTTCCTCTCATCATCTTTCATCCACCCTTGTCCATTCTTATCAACTGTCATCCATTTTCATCAACTGTCATCCATTCTCATTCTTCAAGTAATTTAAGTTAATTGCATATGATAAAAAACAAGAAATACCACTAGTTTTTTTTTTATTTGACGAGTTGCAAAGTGCTAAGGTTCATGTATTTAATGGATGATATCTTTCCAATTTTATTAGGCTACCATATCAAGGCATATTTGGGGGCGCTGGTGCCTTCAAACAAGAGGATTTTGAGAAAATAAACGGATTCTCTAACCAATTCTGGGGTTGGGGTGGTGAAGATGATGACCTGTACAGAAGGATAGTCGCCAAGGGCTTCAAATTAACACGACCAAGCATGGAAACGGGTCGATACAAAATGCTAAAAGTGTTTCACACCAGAGCCAAAGCTGATCCTTTACGGTACGTCACAAATGGTGCTATAATATTCTTAGCCTTAGGACTGTTTTCCACTGTCGCGTTTTTTGTACGTACACACATATACGCACGTGAAAGTTTAAAAAAATCATTTGAACGATACTTATGAAATCAACGATTGAATAGATTCGGTATGTTGGTGTTTCGGGTCCACCCTGAAATTCTGAATAATGCATAAAGTGATGATTTATCGACAATTTGAGAAATACTAACGATTATTCTTTTTCGTAGATTTGAGAAACTAAAAAGTTCAAAACAACGAATGGCCACCGATGGACTAAACTCTTTAAAGTACCAGGTACAACAGACCGTTGAAAGACCTTTATATACGAAAATAACTGTACAGGTTGACCCTAAGCAAGTGTAAATATTGAATTAGGTTGGCCGGAAACAGTATTTTTTTAGTCGTTTGGTTTATCGCAGTGTGCATGATATAGGTTTTCTATAATACATAGGTTATCCGGATGTTTTAAATAATCATACCTCGAAATGACCTCTTTTATTGGACTACTAAACATGAACATAGTATATCTTCTTTGGATAAGCCAAGTCGATGGATTCTATTGGCTTGTTCTAGGAGAGCAAAATGGATCTATTCGCTTCATATATTTTCTTGCTTATTTTGCGACTGTTTATCATGTCAAAACAACGCTTAGTAAGGTCATGAAATTTTAACACCATACATGCAAAAGAAATGAAATCATTTTGTCTGCTTAAGGGGCGCTCCGTTATAAACTTCTTCAGATCGCATTCATTGTAGTAAAATTTCCACATTCCTACTTGTTCCTTACCCTAGATTCTCCCACTATGTATTGTTGTTTCTGAGGGATTATTCTTTTTCTGCGCGTGCTTTTTTCGTAACATAAGCAGAGAATATACGATGTGTTTCCAAGTCGAGAAATCCTATTAGTATTTTTACAATTAACCTGGGGTATAGTATTCTAACAGTGAATAAATAAACTGTGAACTATTGTGTTCTGTATCTGAAGTATCAATGCATCGTCAAACAGCTGTATTGTAAGCTGTTAAAGTTACTTAATTTCCTTCTTTAAGTCACCAAGAATTCGTAAAAAAATGAATGTTGACGAACGTTCATCAGTATCGTGATGTGTTTTGCAAACGCATCACAACATGATTTTATTTGACCCAGAACGATGGTTAGGAGGAGCAGTCATACAGTACTGGTATTTATGGGAGATCTCATAGTAGATGAATGCTGCATTTTTTTCAATATAAAGAATAATCTATTTTTCAAAGCTTACTTTTGGGGTTGAAGATTTACGATCTAAAATTGGTGGGAAAATTTTCCCATAAATTCTTAGCGAGATGCCGCCTGGTTGGTTAATCTTCGAGAGATTGGTTAGGTTGGAAGGCCAGGATCTTCATGGAGGACCTTGGGACGAGGTTGGGTTTTGGAAACCACCCTTATCCCACGAAGTACCTTCCTAATTACAGGTAATTGGGTAATAATGGTAATAATCATATTATAGGTTCTTTGAGGGATACAAAGATACCTAATAGGACATCAGGTGATGCATAGGGTTTTGTCCCTTTAATGGCACAATGGCGGTCGCATTTCAAAATAATTTCATTTTTTTAACTAAAAAGCTTGTCATTTCAGCATTTCCCGAGCTTCTTCCGTTGCAGAACTTCTCAAAAGCCTGACCAAGATTGCCTAAAACATGGCAGAGAAGCGAAAAATTGAATCGCTTAGCGATAGTGACGATGAAAGTGCCCCTGATTTCAAAAGGAGCTCGTTTGCAACTTCAACTGGTCGACATGAAAACGAAAGCGAACAAGATCAGGGAATGTTGGCTAACAGTGACAGTGTAGATGGTACAAACTCTTTTACTGGCTACAGCGACTACTCCTTGAAATTGATGGTAAATAGTTTGCGGAAAGATAAGTTTATTGTTGTCTTTTTCATACATGAACATATTAGAAAAGTCCAAAGTGAAAGTTAAGAGTTACAGTACTGAAAACAACTAACAAGTGACTAAGTATTTCCACCTCTGCTTGCATTTTACTCCCAAACGTATCTATTCATTACAAACATATTGTAAACTCGCATTTTAAACAAATACCTACTTTTAAATCTATATTGGCTAATTTGGCTTATAAAATCTTATTTGATATTTGAGAAAATTTGGTCACAGTCAATTAATCTAGACAGTTTTTAAACACAATATCAAGAGTGCTATAGTTTAATATCTGAAATACAGACATAGATTTCCCCTTTCAGCATTATTAATTTTAAAAAAATGTTTTACTGTTTGTTCAAAATGTCTGCAGCTCAAAGCAAATGTTTTTCCTGCTGAAATTTAATAAAAATATATAACAGTAGTCTGATGAACAATGTCTTCTAAATGCAAGAGTTGAACTTTTAAAACTGAGCAAGTTTACAGTGATACTTTGATTGTCAAACAAACTATTCTGAAGTTTTGGCTAAAAAGCAATTTTTTCATCTTGTAGGGCAAGATGGGTTTCCAAGTTGGTGAAGGTTTAGGAAAGTTTGGTCAGGGTCGATCTGAGATTGTGGAAGCCTCGAAACAAAGAGGAAGACGTGGTCTGGGCTTTGAAATCGAAGGTCTAGAAGCTGATGATGTAGAATGGACAGAAACAGAAAAGGAGGTAACACATGAATGACATATATACTTGAACATTGGAATTTCTTTTAAAAGTGAAATATCTAATTAAAATCTTGGATGCATCTTGAATCTTTTTATATGTAATTATGATTTCTTGAGGTGGAAGTGGTGGAGACTGCAAATTGGATTCCATCTTGTGAACTTGAACCCCCAACCAGAAATGATATGAATGATTGGATGACAATAAGCAAGGTTCAGTAGAATATTAGTTCCTGTCGTAACAAAACCATGAAACATATACCATGGAATAACCATAATTGTAATTCACATTTTAATAATTAATTGAAATATACCCTTTTTGTTGTATTACAGAGAAAGTCATCAATAAAAGATGAAACTGAATTTTGCAATGAGAAAATTTTGCATGGAGTTTTGGCATGTAAGACTGTGTTTGATTCCCTAGCAGAAAATGAGTTTTTAAAAGCGAGAACGCGAGCCAATCCTTACGAGATGGTCAAAGGAGCAATCTTTCAGAACAGGGCAGCCATGAAAATGGCAAATATGGATGCTGTGTTTGATTTCATGTTCTCCTGTCCAAGAGATAAAGATAATGTAAGTGCATTGGCAAATGATTGGGTCAGTTGTTCACTTTGTTCAATTTGTTGGTTAGTCATTTGGTATATGTTTGATTCAGTCTGTCAGCCAATTGCCAAGTATTATTGCAATTCGCAATGTGGATTTCAGGTCCTAATCACTTAATGTGAGTACCTACTTTTGATTGCAACAGCGAGAACTCCTTGGTTCAATGGATCTTCTCTATTTCGCTGACATATGTGCAGGACCTGGAGGGTTTTCTGAGTATATGTTATGGAGAAAGAGCTGGCATTGCAAAGGCTTTGGATTCACTCTGAGAGGTTTAGTACAAGAGCTAATAAACAGATTATCTCCTCTGACGTCCCTTGTTGATCCATTACAAATTATGATTTACTCTGATGGATTTATTCTTGTTTAACTTTGTTTCACTACCAAATTTGTTTGAATAGAGTTAAGATTCTGTCAAAATGTATACAAACATAATCATATTTTTTCCTAGGTGAAAATGATTTCAAACTGGATAAGTTTTTATCTGGAACACCAGAAACATTCGAACCATTTTATGGTAATCCTCATTGAAAATATCTCCTCCACTACACTTATACACTATATTTGAGCAGTGATGTTGTAGTATAAGCTGTTTTGTCTGTATAGGAAGGTTTAGCTTGTATTTTTTTTAAAAACATAGGTGTGAATGGGATTGATGGTGATGGTGATATTATGAACCCAGATAATCTGATGGCCTTCAAAGATTTTGTTCTTAATAATACTGATGGCTTGGGGGTCCACTTTGTCATGGGTGATGGAGTAAGTCTAGTTTTTGGTAACTCTTTCAGATCAAAAGATTCTCTGACTGAAGTGCAGTAACCAATAGTCCTATTTGTCCATGATTGACAAATTTATTTTCATTCTTGAAACAGTAGCTCTAAATCAATTCAAAGTTGTTCTCTGTTGAAGTTCATTTATAACTTGTAACTTACTTAGATAACTTATTATCTACAACTACATGAATGGACGACTTGCGCTTTAGACTAATTTTTGATCGAAGTAACTAGAAGAAAATAAATCATCACAGCTAGAAAGATCTTACTTAAATTAGTGCGAATGCAAAGTTTGGCTGCGAAATTTTGTAAAATACGGAAAATATAGCCATGCGAAGTTGGCAAATTTTGTATACTTTTGTATTACGTGCCGAAATGTGTAACTAAATTAGTTACACACTTCTGGCCGTAATACAAAAGTATACAAAAATCGACAACTTCGCATGGCTATATTTTCCGTAATTTACAACAACTCGCAGCCAAACTTGGCAGTTTCACTAATTTTAGTAAGCTCTTTCAGAAAATGTCCTTTTTATCGCCGAGGTAAGAAATTAGTTTAAAGCGCAAGTCGTCCATTAAGTCAGTAAAATCCTTTCTAATATCACACCAACTATTTTATTTTACAGTCCACTCCACAATCCACTCCACTAGCAGTGGTTATTTCTACGAGTTTTATCCATTTTCTTCTAATGATTTCATCTGTAATTCTCAATTCAGGGTTTCTCTGTTGCTGGGCAAGAAAATTTCCAAGAGGTTCTTACGAAACGTCTTGTGCTCTGTCAGTTCTTATGCGCTATGTCAGTCCTAAGGAAAGGTGGTTATTTCTTGTGCAAGACTTTTGATCTCTTTACGCCATTCAGTATTGGACTTGTTTACTTGCTGTATCGAGCCTTCGACCATGTCTGTCTTCACAAACCTGTAACAAGCAGACCTGCTAACTCAGAAAGGTAATCAAAATATGTATCATGTCAATTTCATCTTCTCAGCAATGTCTACCACCTCACAACTTCTAGTCTCTTCCTTCCATGATATCTCAGACCAGCTCTTCATCGCTTCTTATTACATGTACATGTACGTGTCCACATCAACCCAATCTTGCTTCCCTCATTTTCTCAACAATGTCTACCACCTCACAACTTCTAGTCTCTTCATTCCATAATATCTCCCACCACTTCTCTCTCATCCCGACCTCTTCCTCAACTTTTCCACTACACCTTTTATATACAACCTCTCATTCCCTCTCTCATTCCCTAATTCCCTTAAAGCCCTAACTCGCTCTCCTCTAATATCCAAATCTAACCTTCTTTTTAGATATGTCATTTGTAAAGGCCTACGCGAAAATACTGAGGAAATTTGCTCCTACTTGTTCTTTATCAACGAAGAACTGGGAAGACTTGAACGCACCAATAGTGATATTCTCGAGGTAAATACTCATTTTACAGCAGCAAATTTAGAGGGAAAATAAGTCTACTGATTATTCAAAACCTCTCTAACCCTGCAAATTTTTGCATCATTCACATGCCCCACAATTGATACCTTTGTATTAAGGTGGTTCCTCTGGACATGTTAAAGAACGATCAAACTTTCTATTCTTACGTCAGGAACTCCAATGAAAGGTAGGGTCTGAGAAGTGGAAGCAACCATATTGAGATTTCAGGTCAAATCTTTGAAACCATAATTTCTACTTTGTAGTTTGGGTGAAAATCAGATAAACGCATTGAAAAAGCTACGTGCGTACGTACAGAATGTCACATTGGTTGGAAAAGATCAGGGATTAATTAGAAGACAGTGCCTTGAATATTGGAAGGTAAAATCTTACATACTGTATTACTTCTATTGAAAAAACGAGTTCCCCCTCGGCCCCCGCCAAAGTAAACGACATCCCCCTCCCCCCCCGCACAAGTGCACCTCTCAAACAAGATTTAGATTCCTCCTTGAACTCCCTGATTTAGATTCCAGATATCGCGAGATCTCAACCCCGTGTTTCCAATCCGGATATTCATTTTCAAGATCTTTTAAAGGTATTATCTTTATCTCGATACGACACTTCTTAATCCTAACCTGCTTCTATAAGAGATCTTTTCGTGAAAAACTGATCACAATTTTTTCAATCGGGCTTTGGATTGTTAGTGTGTTCTAGGAGGATCCAATTCACTTCGTTGATTCGTCGACTTTGATCATTGTCGTTCCCTAGCTCCCGCGTAAAAAAGTACCTGAAAAATCTCACGAAACTGATTTTTCTCTTGCATTGTTCACTAGACGGCTAAAGATCGTGACGAGTTGATATGCAAGCCCAAAATATTCACCAAACAGCATTTAAACGAACTGAAAGTGCTTGGGAAATTCAAATGTTATGTTTCGTCTGGTGAACGTTTCTTTCTTCTTGGTTTGGGGGTTAGTATTCACGTTGAACTACATTGAACCTTTGATGAACGACCGTCGTCAGGAGAGTTTGTATCTAGATAATATATACAATCAGAGTAAGGGACATCGAATAGGGAAACTCTCTTGACGAAGGCTTGAAGCGCGGAGAATTTTTTTTGTTTTACCACATTTGAAGTCGATCAATACATTTGTCTGTTGTGTTTGGCTAATCTTGTAAGACGAAACGAAGTGGACACAATGAAATATCTTTATTAGTTTGAAACAGTTTCTTCTCTGCTATTCATGCATGTCTCTGTGAATTCCTGGCTTAGCGTTCAAGGCTGTTTCAATGGGATGGTACGCCAAGAGGTCGAAAACAATGGCGAGGGTTGGATCAGATGAACCTAGAACTGCCCAAAGATACTCTGATTGAGGTCGAGAAGGTCGAAGAATTACGTGGTGAGGTCAGTAGAAGGACATCTCAAAGCTTGTGTGTATACATGTTGTTGTCGAGATATCATGCACACTTGGGGGGTTGACACCAATTCCTAGTTGATGCAGTGGGTGCGCAATCCCTATAGAAATCTCAACCCCACACCCTCCCCCCTCAACAAACTAACAGTTTAGTTACAGCGTGTAGTTTTGCGGGCTCAATTTTACCGGTCCAAACCAGGAGTAAACCAACAAAGATTATCGTATTTTTAGGGAAAAGGTCAGCGTCGTAGCGTTGTAATTCACATTACAGATGCATTGATACTTGGCGGAAAAGATATCCGTACCAGACATTATGCACACAGGTGAGATTCCCACGTCCCACGTAGTTTGTTTACTGTATCAGTCATAATATTTGCATAATATTTGTATCATTTGGTGCTAAGAGAGAGGGTTGATCTAAATTGCTTTGTCTATATAGCTACTGTACAAAACCATCTATAAGTAATACACAATAGCAGCGCCACTGATGAATATCTCGCTTCATGGAGCGAAAGCTTTGCAAAAATTAGACTTTAAGCAAATGTTTATATACTCTACTGTATTGTTTAAACTATAGCGTGTTTTTGTTGGAGAAATTTAACACAATTTTATGTAATACGACAAATTATTATGTGTCTAGCTTGTTCAAGTACAAAGTCGCACGAAATAAAGCATTTTGATTGGCTCCCGTGCGGTCTGTAAGCCACAGTCAGTTTTGGCGGGAAAACCAAACATTTGAACTTTCTGACAATTTTCTTTATTTTCTTACAAACGTTTTGTGATTTTTGCAAACGAATTTGTAAATTTTGCAATTTCTGTGAATTAAGAGCACACGGGAGTTGTTTTTTTGCGGAAGAAAATGTTTTGACAACAGAATTAAAATATAAACAAATTACAAAGATGAACAATGTGCGAACAATGTATGAAATGTGCGATTTCCGTATCATTTTATATCGAGAGTTTTACATTTATTTAAGAATGGAATATGCTGCTATGTTTGCCAAAGCAATTACAAAACAAAGTCGTCCAGACATGGTGATTGTCAGGTAGAAAAATACAGCATTTATCTCTTTAAAATAATAAAATTATACATGCATGTATTCATTTGTGTGGATATATTTTTATCGTGACAAGGATCTCCGTTGACATAGTTGGAAAAAGAAGAGTCTTGTATCTTGGTGATAAAATGTTAATAATTCATCATTTTTTATCTCACAGGGCAAAGCCAATCTATAGCCTCGATGTCCTTGGCGATATTTTTGACCGGTAAGTCTTGAAAATATTCTCCCGCAAATGCTATCAGTTCAAATCGGCTCGGTTGGTATTGAAAATAAATTCCTCGCCTCAATCATTTTCTGCACTGCCAATTTTTTTCATCAAACTGATTTTTAATTTATCTCACGTCATTATATCGGCTTATAGCTCTGTCGCTGAGATAAAGCACATTTCAGAACTTTGAAATTGACTATGAGAAATCATCGACGGACCGTGTGGGGGGGGGGGACGGGGTGTTGGTTAGGATAACGATTCTTCAGTTGGGTCACCAATTTGTGTTGATTCCATTCCTAGAATACTCCAGTATTTATTATCCCCCCCCCCCCTCAATCAAGTATTTATCATTCCCCCCGCCTCAGACAAGTAAGGGACTACCCTACCCAACCGACGCTGTAGCTATTTTGTTTCTATTCGCTGGCATGGATAACCTAACCTCTCAGTTCATTCCACGCTAAGCTCACATGTAATAATGGATTGCTGTCTTCTATTCTAGGCTGGAAATTAGGCGCGTGAAGGGACGACCGCCTGCGTTATGTTTTGTTACAGACGATGATCGCGCTATAATACCGACAGGAATCGCGTTTATTAAACATTTAAACGGTAAATCCACTGTTTATAATTAGTATGTTCACAGATATGAATGATGCTATCTGTGATCTTGCACGCAGTCGTAAGGCCCGTGTACACTTGCAATTTTTGCTGCAATTTTATTTGCGAATTTCTCTTCATTGCTTACTAATTACTCGTTCACATCTTAACGGGCCTGTAGAAACCCTTATTTAAAGTGTATTTTTTATTCCTGTTGAAGTGTAGTTTTTTTTATTCCTTATTCCTATCAGTGAAGTGTAGTTTTTTTATTCCTTATTCCTGTTGAAGTGTAGTTTTTTTATTCCTGCATAGATCCATGGTCGACAGCTTTTAGTAAAAGTCAACAAAAGACATATTTTTATAACTCTGAAACGAGGTCGTCCCAGTTTGATATACCACTACAAGCAATAGCAACGTTTGGGTAGGTTAGCAATCTCAGATATTCCAAAATTATTTTAATTTTCATCAGGACCACTGTAAGAATACATGACCTCTAGTGATATATATAGATATATATAGCTTAAAGCTTATTTGTAATCTATTTGATAAATGAAAATTAGAATAAAGGTTATTTTTCCATAGATGATCCCTACTGGATCAGAACCATGGTTTCCTCCTGTAGTAACCCTGGATCAATAAGAGATTATCCTTACTGGACCTCTAGGAAGAACAGTTTAGAACTGATAGAGCTATCCAGTATAAATAAAGTTAGTTTAGTTCAGGTTTCCTCCTGTACATGCAGTGACGCCTGGTGGGAATAAGAGATTATCAGTACTAGAATTCTAGGTAGAACAGTTTAGATCTGATTGAACCATTCTCCCTCGCAGGATGTGTGCACAAAATCGTTACTTCTGGAACTGGGGTGAACTACGCGAGGACCTGGATACTAACGACCGGGATCTAGTGAGCAAACAAGTAATGTTGGATTTTATCAGAAGTCATTCAATTCGTTGAGGAATCGATTTAAGGTACCGTGCCTACCTTAATTCATGGTTCATCTTAGATAACAAGGAGTTTTATACGGGAAAGCATCGCGAAGCTAGTTAATGGTGGGTTTATTGTGCTAAACACTGAGGGATATTCGCTGCTTCACGCACTGTGAAAGACAGTGAAAACGCGGGTACAAATTTTTTACTTTATCAAAAGGGAAAGGAATGCAATACGGAAAACGACGTAATTCCTTTCGGGAGCTTACGGAAAACGACGAAGTTCCTCTCGGAAGCTTACGAAAATCGACCGACATCAGATCGATGGGTCGTTCTCTATCAAAATGATAGTCTATTCGGTCACGTTTACTGCAGTACTCATCTGATGAAAAAGTTGACAAGCTGATGAACTTTTGCAATGTATCCGAACTGTACATATGGTTGTACAGTAATAATGTAATATAATGCTGTGGAAATTTTTACCGGATACCAAAATTTGGGGGCTAATAATGGTGAATGTCAAACTTTGTTTTTCCTGCTGGATTTTTAGAGCCTGAATGATGCCCCCCACCCCCCCCCCCCCTATATACATGCAAAATACACACACAAGTGAATACTTAGAGATATTTTAATATATTCAAACTGGCTCCAAATCTGACTCCATGCACAGCACTCAAACCTCTTTGTCGAAAAACATATTGTTATTTATGATTTGTTTATTTTACGTTTTATCGTTTTTGTCCGGTTACAATTGTACACTTACATCTGTGCTTTATTGGCGCGTGTTGTAAACGGTCACACATGCACAATGACACAGAACGTATTTATAGAAAGAGTAATGATGGTCTAAGTGGCTAATTATCAGTTTGAATTGACCATTGTATATGTACCCGGTCCTCATGTAGCTGTAAATAACTGAATAGATTTCTTACACATTTTAAAATCCTTTTTTTTCTTTTTTTCTATTAGCCATTTATACTTGTATAGCGGATAATGTGGGTTTGTCGATCGGCTATAAAAATATAGGTCGAAAGAGATTTAATTCGGTATTGGGGTATGTTAAACACATCTTCATATGAGAGCAATATTCGTCTCTGAGACAGACACAGTATCTAAGGCACGGTTTACATTATCAAAGTTTCTGTTATCACACTTACAATTTTGCTTTGTTAAACCCAAAGTTTTAGGCATTTTGTGCTGAATATTAGGATGAAATAACTTGGTGTTAATTAGGGCACAGTTCCCTCCAGTGCATGTTTTCAACAAATCTTATAAAACTTAGGATTTGTTGTTTGAAAATTCCAACTGTGATCACAGAAAATTTGATGGTGTAAACTGGGCCTAAAATAGGCTTACAAACCAGGTTGATAGTGTTTGCTTGGATGTCCTACAGACTAGGACTTCAGAGCTCGGTTATTAAGCTCGGTTAAGAAGTCTTCGAAGTATCTAAACCGCCCTCGAATTTCCTTGAGTTGTGCTCTTTGGCAAATCTTCCTTTTCACATACTACCTGGCGATATCGAAGTCCCAACTGGGCCACACTATGAAGAATCTCTTCAATTTCGCCTTATCCCATATCATCAGATTAGGCTATGCTCTATGTTACTTATATAAAACAAGCTCTCGATTATTTCCTGCTTAAAACGGCGCCTACTTTCCAATATTTACTTTCCTTTCCATCTTCAAACTCTTGTAAGCATCGAAACGCGGCCTGCCATGCAGTGGGAATGCGCCTTCTGTTTTCAAGCCGACTTTCGCGGACTCTCGATGCTGTCACGGCGTGTTTGCCGATGTTATTAAAGAAATTAAAATGACACGGAGACATGAGGCAACAGGGGCTTAAGTTAGCGCAACATCAACAGCGACGCACGAGTAAGGCCAAGCAAACAGTTCGCGGTGGGCGCAAATTGAGTTATTGAAAGCTTCGCGAGGAATAATTAATACGCAATGTAAACCAAGCTGTAATGAATGCCGCTCTCCTGCAAAGGTTTGCCGCACTCCCCCCGGAATGTTACGGTAAATTGTCTAGAATTCCGGGGGGGAGTGAATGTAATTGTAACTTACCAATATCTTGCTATATTGCCATGTATATCTCCTGCAAAGATTGTGACGTAAACCCTCGGAATTTGTGCTGAATCGTATGGATCCCGGGGGTCATAAGTCTTTCATTAATGCGTTATCGTACATGTAAAACACTGTAAATCAAAGAATCTCGCCTAGGTTCGTTCATTTGTTCAGAGTTCATTCATTGTTCAAAATAGAAGAAATGCCCCAATGCCACAAATATTGTATAGTTTGTATCAGTATAACTAAGTTTGTTTTCGAGGTCATTCTACTTGGTGTTTTTTAGTCTGAGTGAAGTTCTACAAACGCAAAACGAATTTGGACTGCTCGAAAATATCGTCAGGTATATTAACTGATGCATAGAACTCCCCTCCGTAATTTACATGGAATCCGTTGGCTCCCAGACAGGGGGACCAGCATAACCTCGTTGCCCACATCAGATGAGCCATGATAGACTTCGCTCTCCTGCAAAGAGCGTGAAGTATCGGTGTGTGTATGATAAGTGTAGATTTCCGGTCAGGTTTATTGAGATTACATGACACACTGTAAAAATAATGCAAATAATACGTTGCCGGTTCCTGCCTTTTGCATAACATGTTCAGAAACCTATGTAAAAACCTGTGCATTGAAAGTCATCCCCGCGGAAGTTGGGTAAAATGTCCCGCGGCGCGGAAACGCTTGCACAAACATACTAATCTCCAAAGGGTACAAAAGATTTACAGAACTCTCTTTCGAGAGGCGATGAGAATTGAACATGTGTTCAACAAGGAATGTCTCGTCTTGAAGTGCTGAAAAAACAAAATGTCAAGCAAGCCTCTTCACTTAGCGAAAAGCAAACAGAACGCCCAAAACACATGCTCCATTAGAAAGAATAATACTTCAGATTGAAAATAAAGTGTAAAGATACAAGTTTAATATTATTTTGCTTCTCTGCGAAGCTGATATGAAGATTGAAGTATTCGTAAATTACAACAGAAGCAATTGGCTTCCCGGAATTGTTATAGTTTAATGTCTGGGAAATCGTATAAAGACGATTTTTGATAAACGAATTTGCCATGTCAAATTCTTGTTATCTGTTTGAAGTTTTGTCAGCTAAATGCGATCAGTTGTAAATATAGATATATAGGACAATCACAATTCACCTGCTTCATTTAAGTGAAAGAATAAGCGAGTTATTCAGTATACGAAAAGTTGAACTTTTTTATCAGACCCCTGTAAATATAAACCGCTTTCATGCATAGATTTTTTCTTCGAATTTGACAGCACAGACGGCTAGGCATTTCATTTGTGATATCTGAATGTTTGCAAGTTTAAGTATAATACCACAAACTACTTTAAATTACATCTAAGTTGTATTCTGTGAGATTTCTTCGCGAAAGAGTTACCTTACCAAGGGTAATGAAAGATATTGTAATGTCATTTAAAATCTTCATTTCAAACTTTTCAAAACCTTTCAAAAATGTAGGCTTCTTCATCAATAGGGACTCGGGAAAAAAGTTGGTCAACAACATCACTAGTATATAAAAACATTCTATAAGCATACAAAATATACTACAAATATCGTAAAACACTATAAAACTAGTAGACCACACCATAATATACTAAGGAGGCCTTTTGTGCAATGCCTTTCATACTTCAAAGGTGTTTTCAATTGACCAGATTATCTTCTGTGTATATTTAGTAATATATGTTAAATTCAATTTCACGGGGTATAAGTTTTTTTTCGTGTTTGAACATGTATACTTTTCTTTTTTATTATTAATTATAGCCAAATGACAGACATAGTATAATCTCTTGTCATGTTTACCCAAATTGATATTGACAGTTCGCGCTGCAGCGCTGTCATTGATTCATATCCGCTTGTGTTGTCGTACAGTGTAGCGCTTTGCTCGTGTGTCACAAAGGAAGGGACGCATTTGGGGGCGGGCTCGACGCGCCGGCGAAAAAAATTAACACTCGTCGTTAATACGTAAATCCTTTTATACAATACCAAACCCCCATTGAAGACGCATCGTACAATCCCAGCTGTGAGACTCACTCATGCTCGTAGACTCGACACGAGAATAAATCAAACTTGACAAGTTCGTTGAAGTTCAGGAAATTTACAGAAATGTCCATCAGTTCGTCGTTCAGTATCGACAGCATACTTGCCAGGCCGACGTACAGGTACCTCGCTCCCTATCAACTGCCACTGGCCTGTCCAACGTGCCCGAGTCAAGCAAGCTATTTCAATCATTTGAGTAAGTATATAAGCGTTCAAATATATCGTTGTGTGCCTGTGTTTGTTGTGTTTCATTTTCATGATGTTATAATTCTATTAGCTGTTCTTCCCAAGCTACGTTTATACATTCGGTGTTTACACAAACTATTCAGGAAACTTCGACTTAACTAACTTCAAATTGTTCTTTTAGTGCTAAATTGTTCTTCTCGGTAGGAGTCTTGTTTCCGCAGTAGCCAGTAGCTTTACATTAACAGTAAGAGGTAACTGATCTTTCTGTAGTGAGGATCGTCTCTTATTATTTCATTGTCGTTACCTTCAGAAGAGAACTAGACTAAACTAAGTGTTTTTTTTAAACTGGACAATTTTATCATTTCTAAACCGATGTTTCTAGAGGAGCATCTCTTATCGATTAATGAAATCTATTTCAGAGAGAATCTAGACTAAACTAACTTTTTTACATGCACTGGAAATTCTATCATTTCTAAATTTATCTTTCTAGTAATACTCTAAGGATCATTCTCGTATTCATCCAGTGTTACTACACACAGCAGAAAACCTAAACTAAAATCACTACACTGGATAGCTCCATCAGTGGTAAACTGTTCTTCCTAGAGGTCCAATAGGGGGGACCCCAGTACTACAAGGGTAACCTTACCTAAACTAAAGAAAAACTAAATACTCGAAATGTGTTTTTATATTTTGAGTTACTATAGAGACAATAGGATGAGTTTGGTTTTATTTTGATAAAACTGAAGAAATGCTAGAATTGCAAATCTTCATAGAAGAACTTAATCGAAAAATTAAACTTGTATGCTGTCGAAACAGGGCGTTGTAAATTTTCTCCTTGACCGTAAAAAGTTATTTTTTGGAGATTTGCCTGAGATGTTAACGTATGAAAATGAAGATGTAGCGTATGAAAATACTTAATGTTTTTAACTTGATTTTAGTTAAACAGTAATTTTAAACTGTTTCATTGCTGAAAAGATACCAGTGACAGCATTTTCCGTAAAAATAAACCGCAAAACGTTTGGAGCAAGAAAACCATGCGAATTACTTTTTAATCTTGTAAACCTTTTCACTTGTGTGTGTGCTTGAGAATAACTGGATCAATTAGAAATTAGAGACGCTGGTCTTACGGGACTTGTAGTATAGAGAACAGTTTACCATTTATAAAGGCTATTTCGCGTTTGAATAGAATTGTTGAAATTGCTGTGGGAAGGTCCTCTGTGCATGGTCACATTAAAAGTATTAGGAACATGTTTTATTGAACTCAAAAAGGAAGTGTTTGGACCCGTTAAAGTGAACCGGTATATATATGTGCACCCTTTGGTTTTTATTTTTCAAAGATTCGAAATATGCCAAATTTTGGTCTAATTAAAAGAAGAACAGTTTGGAACTGATAAAGCTGCATGTTTATTCAATAAATATAGTTTCTAGATTTTCTCCTGCTGTATAATATTTTGGTGCTAGCTGTTATGGATTGTTTATGGTAGTGAAAGAACAAGTCTGAATAATTCTAAATATATCATTTCTAACCTTTAGTATTTGTTACTGTTTCTCGTTCAGAACTTAGCGTCAAATACTGACAATATCTTTCGTGTTTTCAGTGACATTACCCACACCATACGGCCCGGATTTTTTCCGTTTTCAACCAAAAAGGAAGCGCCGTCATCGCACGATCTTCACCGAAGAACAACTAGAACTTTTGGAAAAGACTTTTCAGAAAACGCACTACCCCGACGTCCTTTTGAGAGAAGACTTAGCTATAAAAGCCGGGTTGAAAGAGGAACGCGTTGAGGTAAATGTTATACTGGAGAACAGTTTAAAATGTGACCTTTTTTCGTCCCAAATATCTTCACCAATATTGTGAAGATGCTACTCTGAGTCACCAACCGGGTAAGCTGAAAAATTATAGCTTGCCACGGTGCGAGCTAATCAGTTTTCAGCTTGCACGGTTGGTGACTCAGAGTATTATCTTCACAATGTTCATTTGATATACATCTGAGTCTATTAATATCTTCACCAATGTTTTTAACCTTAGTTCATGTGTGATGTATCGGACTGTGTTCACCCTGGCAATATATAGTTGTCAGAATGGCCGTCCGGCTGCATGAGTCAGTTTCAACTCTTGGTTATTATATAAGATAAGCTCTTGGGAAATTGACTTCTCTATAGGCACCTTGTTCTGAATATCGCAATTTAAAAAGCTCTTATTTGATTCCACAGATTCACAATATTTCATTAGGATTTCCATGTTATCTTCGCTCATAGGATAATGCCTGTCCGTGGTTTTTTGGTATACCTGCCAAAACCACACGATATACACGCGATCAAAATTTTTTCGCTTTCGTTCAAACATCCAAAAGTGCATGCATGCATTGGATCTTTGAAATATTTATCTTTTACGACTATAATTGATTCCACGAAGTACGCGTTGAGTATACCATTAGCCTTACTTTGTCTTGGTTCAGTGGTCAAGTTCACCGATTAAGGATCAGGGCACGCGCCAACATCTATCCCATGCACATGTTTTAATAAACGCCTTCACATTTAAGAATTGTATAAACCGAAGTCCCAAGTTGATATTATTTTTCGGTCGTATTTTGAAGATTTCAGGTTTTAGTATATAAATCCGAAGAATTTTTTTGTTATGCGTATTTCACTAAAGTGTACGTGCTCGTTCATTTACAGAAGCTGCGGTTGTATTCCTAAGAGCCTAATTCTGTAGTAATATACCGTCATGCATGCAGTGTAAACAAGTCAGTTTTGTAGAGCAATACTGTTTTCATATAGAGCAATACTTTGCTTTCGTCCTAGGCTTGATTCGTGAACAAAATCTTGCATTAGTGTTTGTTCCTAATCATTTCCTTGGGATTTCCTGTGATATCGCAATAACAATAATCCCTTCTAAGCCTATTACAAACATTGACACTAAGTCAAAAAAACCTCCCAAGCTCTGAAAGTTCACCGGCTTCACGTTGGTCCCATCTCGCTCAAAAGGTGTGAATTGAACCAACTTTGCGAAAAATTCTCATTGTCCATGCACATACGAATGACCGCGTGTTCGTTGCAAAAATGCGAACAATTGCGAGGGGAACTTTACGGAATATTCCTTTCTTGTTGTGGTTTTTAAGTGCATATAGGCTTCGTTTTGAATATCAGATAAATTAGCGTGTTTTACAATGTGTTAATGAGTGTTTATGCAACTAATTCAAGCGCTAATAACGAAAACTTATGTCAACTTTCCAAATTTGGCAGGTATACGGTTCGAAGTTTTAGGGGATTGACAAATATTAGGGTAATAACCTTTTGCGGAAATTGCCAGCATTCTATTGGACTTAGATCAGTTTCGAGTTAAAATTAATTTTCATTTTAATGTCGTATAGTAACTTGTGTTCTTGTTCACTTTGTATAAGTCTTCGGTTTCCTCCTACAAAGTTCCTTCAAAATTTTAATCAGCGACAAAAATCGCTCATAATTTAAGAGCAATTTGGAAATAACTTTCCAGACTGCAGCAACTAGTAGATTTAAAAACTCTTCCATTCTTGATTGTACATCACGAAGAGAATTAATTCTGAACTCATTTTAAACTTCGTATACGTACAAGGGTAAAAATATTTTATTGTGAAATACTTATTTCTATAAATTTCATATATTAAACGAATGTATTTCAGTCTTAAAATGATTGAGTTATTAAACGATTCATCTTTATATACCTCTCTTTTTTATAACTTCATTTGTTATATTCTCATATTTTTTTCTTCAAATGCTTATTTAGGTGTGGTTTAAAAATCGTCGTGCAAAATGGCGAAAACAGAAACGTGAAAGTCGGCAAAACGAGGAGGGAACGTCTCTGGGAAGCACCGCGTTACCAGCCTCAGTATCGCTGTCGTTTGAGGAGAGTTCGTTACGATTACCCAGCGGTCTCTCAACGACTTCAAAATTGGCCGCAGCAAGCAAAGTTCTTAGCCAGAAGGTCGACTCTGCACGTGGTATTTTTACAGCAGAGGCCAGCTCCAAGACCGCTTCGCTACAGAGATCTCTGACTCCTTCCTGAGAAATTATCTTTTTGCTATTCATGTGTGTGTGGTTGGATTGTCGTGGTATCCGGTTTTTTTTTCGGAATATTTAGGACTGCATCTTCACAAAAAGCCGTCCTTGCATGTGTAAGAAAATATGGAATACCTTAAAAATATTGTAAGTTTTCAATGCCTTGATACATGAGATCTTGAATGAAATACGCGACGTTTAAAAGAGGGCCTTCATTCACTCTCGGAATTTGAAAAAAAGATCAACATCTTCGACGTCAATTTAAAAATCGTCTTGTTTCGTGACACATGCAAAACAATATCTTCAAAACAAGGCAAGCAATGTTATATATACTGTTACAACAATTAAGGTATGAATTGCCCATGCAATGCGCAAGTTTTGAAATTGTCTGTGGTCGCATCTTGTGACTTTAGTTAGAGTAGGTTTTTTTGATAGCACTGATTCTCACCCCGAGTGGAATGTAGTACCTTTTAGGCTTTTGCCATCCCTTCTACAAGAGAATTGCGTCTTTTAAACGTGCGTGTGTCATGAAATGGTCGTGTTCCATCATGCAGTATTTATATATGATAGTACAGTTGGTAATGATATATTTATATAAGATTGTAAAAATTTATATGTATGATTATGTATAAAGTCTTCAGAAAGTATACACTGAAAAAGAAAGGATATTAAAAATAGGACAAAAATCATGCTGCTGTGATCTTTGGTGATATTGATATAGAACACCATGCGTTGCCCTCATTTATTATGCATGATTATACCTTACATTACAATGCCTTACCAAACATCATACAATACATGCAATGTACCATACATTAACCTGCGAGTTATACCATACAATAACATATCAAACATACACCGTGCCGTACGAACTATTTCATACCATATACGTTAATGTATATAACCATACAGACCAATACTACCACCTGTTTCTTTTCGAATTTTCACTCCTGGTTTCAAGGAGAAAGGCCACTGTTCTACATCTAATAGGACGAAATATGGCATCGTCTATAAAAACAGCTTTGAAATGAAAAACACGACTGAGAAATGAAATGAGTAGTGCTTTTTAATTAATTCAAATCATTCATGCAGAAACTACAACTTACTGCAATTGCCAGGTTTTATTTATTGTCCCAAAAACTAATCTACTAATTAAATGGAGCTTTTTTAATCGTCGGCATAATCAAGATCGTATATCTTTCAGCTTTTTCAAGGCAAATACCCTCCAAACCACCAGTTTGTTGTCGCTTTAGGGCTGGAAGAGCAACGAAACTTCTTGTTGTAATCGTCGTAGTAGTTGAAATTATCTTCGGCCCGCACAGAACCGCGTTGACCATTGAACTGACATCCGGAGTAACCACTGACCATATGCGGGCTCCTTGCGCCTATTTTCTGCCACCATCTAGTAGTGCAATGCGCGCAACGATTACCTCGTATGTCCACGTACTCGACCTTCTTGCAGTAACCACCATTGCTCAGGTACTTCATGATGTTGAAATCGGAGAATCTTGCTCTCACGTAGTCGGTGTAGTCGACCCCGTATTTCGGAAAGTCGCAGGTAGCTCGCCAGTGAGTGGAAACGGAGGCCAGATGCTTTATTTCTGACAAAGCCATGCGATACGTGTTCCAATTGGGAGATAGTGCATTCACTGGGGCGTTAGCCTGAGAAGTAAAGAAAGACATTGTAGAAGTGAAGGAAAGTTAACCTTCAAGAGCGAAAAATAAACCATTGATGGTCCAAAGTGTGAATGAAGTATGAGCTTGATGGATCAACATGGATAAATTTGGGTCACCCTGGATGAATATGGATCACCGTTGATGAATTTGATTTGGACAAACGTGGATGAAAATGGATGATAAATATGGGTCAATACGGCAACTGCGCTTTTAAGTATTTCTTTCATCTCACCTGTAATGGGTTCCTTTTAAATTGTTTCATTTTGATATTCTCCAAAGCGTATGACATAATAAGCGTCCAGGCTGACCCAGCCTCTGAATTCATGTCGCAGTAGACGGTTAAAGCAGAGTTCTTTATGTGTATGAGATAGTAGCCATCTGTGTTGTAGCCAAGTTTCAAAAACTCCAAACAGCTCTTCGGTCGCCTGAAGGTATTCTTTCGAACATACTGTTTAAAAGAACTGAAAATGCAACTATACCTACTTTCAGAGACTTGAAAGTCCATAAAATTCACCTGATGACGATAAAACGTGAAGTACTAATCTCCATCGTTTTATAAAGTACTTCACCTGCTTCTATCGTCTTTTGTTATCGCTAAATAACCTATTTCCGCTAGTGCAAGATTTGCGAGCCCTTCAATTGCCGAGAATATCGACATAAGCTTAACGTGGGAATTTGTGTTCTAAGTGCTGCGAGCTTTCCATGTACAGTAATGTATTCAGTCCATACAGTAATGCATTGTATGGAAAAAACAAATGTACCTTTCGAGTCAGGGTAAGCGATGGTAACACCAATCCACAAAGGACCAGGATGAGAGGCAGACGGATTCTTTGCAGCATCATTTTTACTTCACTCGTTTTTTCGGCTCAGTGTCTTGTATCTTGAGTTTCTTGAGGACGAATGAAACACAAGGGAAACTCACGTTGTGTATATAGTGGTGTCCAATCACATTAAATTAGCTGAGACGGAAGGAGCTCTCATAGGCCTTACACAAAGTCTTGTAAACAATTCATTTTATATATCCGTATCCAGAGCAAAATATTGACAAGGGCCTTGTTCAAAATTAGTTTTACAACATTTTCAACCATGGTCTGGCATGGACATGGTTTAAATAAAGGCGTTAGTGGTATGCTAACGAAAACCTTTTGCCGAAAAAGTAATAGAAATGATGGCTCGTAAATACAAGTTCGTGTCGTGTCTATACTATATTAAAACGAACTGAAGGAACCACGATTAACCTCTTATTATGTTTACACAACAGCAGGCATCATGTTACTACGTTAATATTGAAATAAGTTATTTCCAAGAAGAGGCTTTCCCCGTCTGGAAGTGATATTTTCAATAATTTCATTCATATACATTTCAAACTTCAGTCTAGCTTATTGGTTTAAAAAGTAGAAATTTAACTAAAAACATAGAAAACACACTATCTCAGCTCATTCCTGGCAAATTCTACTTCATGAATAAGTCTCATATAAATTAGTAGTGTAATGATGTATTTTATACGTGTTTTCAAAAACAATGAACTGCTGTCCTTAAACGTGATTAAAATATATGATGATTTGGCTGTAATAAACGCGCTTGTGGGTTGCAATAAGTATGATGAATCAATTCAGCCTTTTTAATATCGCCTTGTTTGAATTGATTTATCGTTCTCTATCAAAACTCCGATAACACGAGACTGTTTTCATAATTTTTTTTATTAATCAGATGATATTAACCATAGTTCAACAGCCATGCATGCAGTTAGTCTAAGGGCGCTTTCCTTTATACGGTGAAAACGGTCAGACCGGTCCTGTTGTATTTCAGTTCAGACAGATTACTGGTTTTTAAAGTGTTTTTTGAGATCTGCATTGAGATTTAATGTTATTTACAACTGATTAGCGAGGAAAATGCAGTTTCACCGCTATATTTTTAACGAAATACTCTATTTCAATTTAAAATACGACCGGTCTGACCATTTTGGCCGCTTAATGGAAAGCGCCCTAAATGTCTAATCTTGCATATACGTTAATGAAAGACAACAAATTAAATATTCCAACAGTTACTTATAAACTTCAGACTGGTACTTTATCGCGGAGGTTCATTTTCAAAATCTCGAATGGAAAATCCATATCGAAATGTGAAAACAACAGCCGTAGTCCAGCATTACATCAGCCCCGAGGCTTCTCCCAACACTGTATTTTCTTTTACTACGCGTTCATGCGTAACTCAGTAAAGTTAAGAGTTTAAGCGAGTTTAGTTCAATTCAGGAGAATGTAAAACTCACCTTTGTGGATTTTGGCGTATGTTTTCGAGTGGCTGACATTGCATTTGTGACGTCAGCTCAAATAATACTAGTTGATTATTAAAATATTAATTAACAGGACATATGTTGTCGACAAGATAGTTTTTTTTGAAATATTGAAATCTGTACTAATATTTATCACCACGGGCGTTCGCTCCTACAATATGACAGGATGAGTTAGTAGGATACAAATAATTCATGCGAATGTAATAAAAAAATCGTGCGGAAGATTTTAAAGATAAAGTCACGCTTGTTTATGTTGAGAAATGGCATTCGGCAGGATAAAAGATGTCACGTCTGAGAATGTGAAAGTGTTTTTATATGATTATGATGTAGTTAATATCTGAGAGATATAGTCATTTGTAATTATCTGGTTATTATCACCTTTTCTTACAAAAAATGTTTCCCGAATTTACTGAAACGATCGACATTCAAGCAAGCATTGCCCATTAACCCCCTTTAACACCACTTCCTCTCGTAATCTAATGACGCTATAACATTCTTTCCTTCATCCAATCTTTAGAGACCTTAAATGGATTCGTTGGTAGATCATCCAATTGTAGAGAGATATAGCGCTCGATTTTTTACAAGAAAAGTTAAATGCTAAATCCCTAATTAAAGATTCTTTAAAAAAGTCTAGAAAAGAGAGATAATAAAGTTACTATAAAGTCATTCCGTAAGCCAAACTCTAAGCTGAACGATAAGATTGTTTGTCGTTTCAAAAGATCCTTAAAGGTTGTGAGGTTGTGTTATAAAAATAGTCGGTACAACATGCAGGGGGCGATTGCATACGATGGCTGGATGACGCTATCCGCCAGATAATCAGTTTTTTCAACCAGTGCATAAATGGTTGAATATAATAAAATTGTATAAATATTGATGCAACAATGAATAAAGAGAAACATTACCTAATAATAGAAAGGTTTAATTCAAATTATACCAAACCATATGTAGCAAACACGCGCAATTTTAAAGCGATCGAGAATCCACCTGGGGCCGGTTGTGTCAAGCCCGTTTAGCTTAAAACGGTGGATAAGTTCAAAATAGAAAGCAAGTCTATGGTTTTATTCAAGAAGCGAACTAAATGTTTTTGACCTTAATACAAAGATACTGTTTACAACTACATATTTCAGAGAGTTGTAAGAGTGTTATTTAATTTTCTTATCTTATCCACCGTTTAAGCTAAACGGGCTTGATACAACCTGCCCTTGAAAGCTATGTAAAGGAAACGTCAACTTCAGAGTGGCTTCGTTTGAAAGTTGGCTGAATTTGTTGGGAAAATTACTTGTTCTTCTGAAAATAGTCACTTACTGAGTCGAGTGGGACGAAAACAATCACTTAACAATCTTTATTAAGGACTCACCTCATGAAAAATAAACAAATGATAACCATAATATTTGTTAATCCGTTTCTGACGGGGCAGGAACAAACTAATGCCTCGTAAGGCTTAGATCGCATTAAGCGACAGACAAAGTAATATCCTAACCTGCGTTTATTTACTGAACCCCTTGTCATAGTTTGAGGTTGAAGCGTGGATGAATGGACACATCATTTTTGCCCAATTCCATGTCTCGACGGCGCAGCGTGTATCGACGAGGTCCAGTAAGCCTTTAATGTGGCACGTAGTTGTCGTGGATGGAATTGTTGACACTCTATGGAACGGGTGGGATTAGTTGAACCAAATATATGCCAATGATATGTTTCCCGATTTAGACCGTAAATTTCGATCCAGACACCGATGAAGATTTTGACCCACAGCTGGGTTAGAGCTTTCTAGAAGAACCCTGTACAGTTTGGTTGGAAATTTAGATGAAATATGCCCTTGCAGACTTTAAAAGTTTTTGTATAAGAAAACGGGTGGGATAGACAACTTTATAAACCTTAGCATCAATTTCCTTTTTAGACCGACTTTCATAAAACATATCGCTCAGAAAAAAGGCACTCCTCGTTTATATCTGGTTTTGGTTTAATTGTGACTCAGGGGGGGGGGAAACCTAAGGAGTACCCTTTTATTCGACCGGGGGGCGATTATTTGAGGGATATGGGCGATTATTCGAGAGGTGAGCGATTATTCGAGGGATGGGCGATTACTCGAGCGTGTGTCCGTTTATTTGAAAGCGCATGAATATATAAGGTGTACATTCAATAGTAACCTGAAAAACATATACAATATATGCCCAGTTATACGCAGGCCTAGCAAAACCACTTTAAACCACTAAACACTAAGTAAATATGAGCTTCAGGGCGAAGAATAGGTGATATTACATATGCTTAATTCGTGAAAATGTTGCTCTTAAAAAACGCATAGTGGAAACTTCTTGTTAAAATTCTTGATTATTTTCAATTTGAAAATGGTTACGGCTAAGAGTTTTCAAACGGACTATCGAGATAAAACGTTTTCGCTGAAAAGCTGAGGCAATTTGGTCGTTCAAGTCAAACTAGATCCAGCACATGATTCGCTTTCAAAATTTATTCCAATCCAAAGCTTCACGGAGAGATTGCAATTCAGCTCCAGTAGCTTTCCTTCCACTTTTCCGTTGCCACTGTTCCTATATATTGACTCGAGTGTCGTAGGAGAGATTTTAGACACTACACTTGGTGGAAATATCAGCTTGTCCTTGATATTTCTCTAAAGTAAAGTAGCGATAAACTAAACACGATTCCAAGCAAGAATTGTTTATCGAAATCCTGTAGACATGCAGTGTAATTTCATCTCATTTCAGTTCATCTCACGCGCATTATCTCATTTGTGTCCAAAATTCGATGGAATGCGTGTTGACTAGTTTCAAGACAAGATGTATTTATAAATAAAGCAACCCCAGTGACAACCTGTGGGTATCGTTCAGGTTATATTTTTTAGTTGGGAGATTTAAAAGAAAAGTTATTAAAGGCTAAGATCTCAGAGCTTTTGAGTCTGGTGCTCTGAGAGTCGATGAGTTCAAGAGGAGATCCGAGTGTTGACGGGATTTGGCGGTCCAACACGACTGGTCGTATAGTTACATTCCTCGGTTCCCAGTAAGATATGGCGGATGCATGTTTTGCATGCGATCGGAAACTGTTGATGAAAAAATGAATTGACGTACTTTAAATATATCAGACCAAAAGCAGGAGGTTACTGTTAAAGTCGTTTCAAAATTTGAAATGTCATTTGGAGAGTTTTTAGACATTCTTCAATCTCTCAAAAGCATGAAGTGCATCATATACCACCATCTTTCGGCGGAATGAGATTTTAGGAATATTAGAGACTAAATACATCTAACCCATGCACCATGATCCGGTTAAGATCGGCCAACGTTTGGACATTGTTTTGCATATTGTTCGTGCTTCATATAAGTTAATTTTCTTGTCCAGCTTTTTCCAAACCATTAATATTAAAACTAATCTTGTTTTGCGTCTACGGATTAGGATACTTCAAAGAAGTCCAAAAGGAATCATTTATTTGATCTCCCTATAACGTGTCTAACTATGTTAGGCAAAGTAAATCTCGCTTTTCAGCTGAAAATTATATTTACCGTGTAATTATCGGCTTAAGCAACTTGAACCGTTATATTGACATTGTTTTCTCTGTAAATCTGACATGCCTCGCTTGTTTGTTAACTCTACAGGTCGCTTAAAGTACGCGTTTACAGATTACACGGTTAAATCTGGGATTAGTTGCTTTAAATTCTCACCAAAGCGTGAAACTTTTCAGTCCCGGGGACTGACTTTGCACGTGAAAAATCGCGATGCACCAAAATTGTGCAGCATTGTATGTATAACTTTCTGTCGGCTTTTATGATGTACACATTTTAACAAGCTAGCGCTGTGGTTAAGTGAGATCACTTTTAAATAAAAGAGTGTAATTAAACATTTCTACACATAACCCCCAATATTAGCGCGTATTTGTTATCTTAACACTTCGTGTAAATAACCTCGAACAAACACGGGTAGAAGACACGCGAGAATTCGCTCGAAAACCACGTCGAATGGCAGCAATTTTTTCGTTTGTCGTACCACGCTGGGGTCGCTTGTTCGTTCCTCGTTCGACGCCGGAATGTCGCGTTCGCATAACGGTTAATATGTCGAGAAGAATTTAATAAAATATCTTTTAAAATTTAACAACGCCGCTTGCTGTCGGGCTGCTTTGCTCTATTGTCCTGTCTGAGCGCCGTATCGCTTCATATCTGCGCTAGCTGATGGCTGGCTTTTGGAGCCAAGATAACAACACCGGCCCAATCTCGTCCACGCATTATAATTGCACGTCAAATTCCGCCCGCTTTGCGAGAAAGACCCAGATTCCGGGACGAAATTACACCAGGTTTTCGCAATAATCGTTCTAATCAAAGCAATCGCTTGTATTTACCAAGACCTGTGCGATTCTCGACGTTTTACAAAAGAACCCTGTAATAATCTATAATTTTTCAAATTATCTTGTAATAGCCAGATAAATTACCGAGCCGACTGCAAGGCTGTTATCACCGCTTGGCTGTAAGGTCACGAGACAGACGATCAATGCAGTTTACTGAAGCAAAACCCGTAACTAAGCTACGAAAGTCAATAATTACTTCCTTTTTTTCGTGTTTTTAAATGCTAAAGCTTCCTTAAGCTCCGTATTACTTGTGACCATCCTCCCTTTATCTGTCTTTTTCAAAAAATCGTGTGTGTGCGCGACCCTCTATTTCGGGTTCGCTGTTGCTGTTGCGTGATTATTTTTAGCTGCCGTGACGCGCCAAACTGCAGGACAATGGCAAGGAAAACGGCTTCTGTATATTGTGTTGAGGACAACGAAGTCTGCCAAGGGGCGTTTTGTTTTTTATAATAAAACTTTGAGCGGCAGACTCGTATATTATGCGTTTAGAGACGGCCTGTCGCCATCTGACCCACAGATACCCAGCCACAACGCGGGCCACAAAAAACGTGCGTATATTTATACGAAGAGCTAGTTTAAATTAGGATTTGGTCAACAGCATTGATGGTTTAACGAAGTTTCATGCTAATCTCATAGAATCTTATTTACCCTTGTTTGAACATACAACGCGACTTTGCAAACAACTGCGAGAATTTCGTCTACCTTCGATGGAAACTCGTTCACGGATAGGGACATTGCAATCCGCCTAGATCTCGTGTCCTTCCAGCAAAGATTAACCCAGTTTTGGGTCGTTCCTAGCACGGCTAATACGAAAATCCTTGCCTTATACAAGGCAAATCTACTTTGTTTAGGCGGCTTTCTGCTTGAAACCACTACGATTATAAACTAACAGCCTTAGAGCTGGATCCAATTCGCATGACTGTTGTGTCGCTATACTTAATTCATGCACATGTATATAATATTAACATTTCGGCAACAGACACAGCTCGCGATTTCCCCGTTTCAATTTCTTTTGGTAATTGTTTATGTGTATGTACAAATTGATATATTTGAGCCTTGTTGCTTTTTCTATGTGTGAGTTTTCTATAGCGGCAATTTTTAACACCCACCCATATTTAGTTCGCAAACTTATGAAATAACTTTTGGGTTTTCTTATGCAAATGCGGACAATTACTTTGCAAAAATCTACTTTACTTTAATCACGACCCGTATACAAAGGTCGGCTTTGCGAGTCGCTTGAATTTTGATAAAAAAAACAATGGCTCAAGCGTGCGAAATGTCGCTGTAAGAGTTTTAACTGATGCTTCGAAAAAGGACGCGAATATTTAATTTTCAGTTTACAGAATGAGCAACGGTTGTATGGTCTACGGGCATTAGACATGTTTTCTTTATTGGAAAAACAATTTCCTGCAATTTATAACTTCTAATTACGATATATAGGCTCTTTGTTGAGCCGTTTTATCACTGCCAATCCCAGAATGCATCGCGTCGGCATACATCAGTGCTGGCGCTAAGCGATCGTTTGCCATTCTGCCTGCAGACAGTTTGCCGTGAGGAGTAAACTTAATTGAAATAAGCCTATTTTATGACTCTTCCCTAGCTTGTTGTGTGTGTTTACCCAAGCGCGTGTTTATACAAACGACACTGTTTGCTTTCAATATTGTTGACGGCTTGGTATAGTCTGCAGATCAAGAGTGAAATAATTCGTACCAATTGGGAATATATATCAGCGACTCAAATTATAATCTCAACCCAAGGTGAGCAATATTAAAATGTATCATGATTTTTGATTTGCACTTGCAGACCCGTGTGTGCAGTGTGCTTGCGTAGTTTAGTATTTCGCACGTTGCCATCTAAACTTTTATGTAATATTGTAATAAATATCTTCAATCCCAGTTGCTGTTAGTTCTTGTAATGTGGTTCTCGGTGAGAACGCAGCATGCTTTATACAGTCTTTTGCCTCTTGCACAGCAGGTCCAACAGTCAAAAACTGAGAAGTGAAAAGCCTGCCTGCCGGGCGAAAGACGTCTCCAATTGCCTCCCATATAATTCTTTCACGATTGTATGTTACCTCTGTGAAGTTCGATTCTTCACGTTAATGGGCATTTCAATTTTCCCCGCGAATAATTGCAACGCCTGGATATCGTGAAGTTCACTTTGCCTGCTGATATGCTGACAGTTCAGCGAGCAAACGTCTTAGCTTTAAGTGGCTCAGTGGCTGTTGTAGATATGATCAATTCGAGATGGTGCTTATGCTAGGTATCTACACCAGGAAGAACAGTGATGTAGTTAGAATTGACAGATACAACATCAATTGTGCAGTTATTTAAGGTTTTCTATCTTAGGATTGTCGTGAGCCCCCTACCATTTGAGTATATATGTTGCGCAGTATAACTTCACTCAGGCCAATATCCTCACCATACGTTGTTTGCTAAGATTCGGCGTGCTTTTGAAAAGCTAGCGTCCGTTTGAATATTCAATTGTTCATTCCTTCAAGCCCCTTGCACCCGTCAAAGGCTATAGATCTCTTGGTTATAAAAAATATCAGCCGCGGAAGCTCTGTGGCTAAGATCCACAACGTTTCATACATCGACTGCATGTAGCACAATGCGATGTAGCCTATTTTAAGACAAGAATCACCGCGTCTAATATACACTCAGCCCTTCTTTCTACCTCTCGTGATAAAATAGATTACGTTTCAAAATTTCGTCCGAGCCCTTAAAATTGATTGACTTCTGAACATTAAAGCATTTTTAGACAAAACATCCTACAGTTTAATATCACTATCGATAAATTGATGTCTCGACGTCTAAGAAAACACCGCGAATCAATGCTTAAAAGTCTCGCTTTTAATGATGATCCTTTGTAAAAACAGAGCCTTTTCACCAGATAAACGGATAAGCCCGAAGTATTTCTGACCCATAATCCACACCCAAATTTTTTATAGGGAAACTGACAGTTTTAATCTTAATTCTGCAATTCATTCTTATCGTAATTTCGTGCGCTATATAATGCTGCATATTGAAACAAAAATGCATATGCGAATTATGTATAATCAAGGTGTGAAGTTAGCGCGCATTTAATATTCTCACAAAATTCAAAAACAAAATATTAGGACAATTATCCCTTAACTATCGCTGAAAAAACTTTGTTTACTCAAGGAAATTTTGTCGGTTCGTATACTGTTTTTTTTTTACGAAGAAGCTAAACCAGTAATTAGGATAATATCGTTGGATTTTTGAGAATATTTGAGAAAAAAAAATACTTGAAAAAACGAGGAAACCCGTGCCAATTAAGGCATAAATTTTTTGCTGCAGTAAACCTACTTGCTTGAGATTCGAAATTCAACTTCCTTGACAACTGGTTGGCACAAAAAACCGTAATTGTCAAACCAAGCATCTCAAAGTACATCTCGCACTCAAAAAGCCGTTAAATATTAACCTGTAAAGGAGAGTTCTTGCGATAATTGTGTAAACTTGTTCCCAGATGATTTGAAATGGCTGGAAATTTGACTATGGAACTAGTTGTCAAATGAAAATCGAATTTCTTGGTTGAAAAAACTTAATGTCTCTTGAAAGATATTTTATTTCGGTTTCAAATTTGTATAAGCGTATTTTCATACCTTCTGAGCGCTGATAGGTTAAAATATGAGCGCGGAAGATCACCTGGTCTGCTTCACAACAAAGCATCGTTTGTTCGTTCGTTCACAAGCTGAAAATAATCACATCAATGCTTGTATGCTCGCCATTGGCATTGTACAAGGTTTCCTTCATCAACACAATGCGTTGGCTTCGAGCAGATTTCGATTACCATATTTAGCCAGTCATTTATCGTTTTGCGATTAAAAGGCATCCCTCAGAGGTCGATCGTCCTTCGACCCAGCGTGAAAACACCGCACATAATCACGAACGATTCAAAGACAACGCAGTATGCCTCAATTACGGCTAATTGAAAGAACAATTCAAAGATACTTTCGTTTCCAAAACTTCCCAAAAAAGGTCAAATATTTTCACTCGCCAATATCTAAATATATAAATTCACGGGAAGCGCACGGGGAGGCATGATGGGAATGCGCACGTTCCTGGTGTGCGCAAATTATGTTGATATGGCAAGTTTTGCTATATCTATTAAGTGAAAAAACTATATGATTTGTTCTATAACTCTGGGAAGAACAGTTTAGAACTGATAGCGCTTTCAAGTAGAGAAAAAGTTAGTTTAGTTTGAGTTTAATGCTATCGTAACAATGAAACAGTAAGAGATGATCTTAACTGGATCTCTGGTGATCTAAAGTTAGTTTAGTTTAGGTTTCACCTTCAATCACTGCAACACTAAATAAATCAGTACGGACCTTTACTGGACCTCAGGGAAGACCAGTTTGGAACTGATAGAGCTATCAAGGTTCCAAAATGAAAGATTTTGCGAACAGGAAGTGATCTAGTAAAGCTTTTCTTTAGTTCAACCTTTATAGCAAGAGAGGTTTAAACTCTATAGAGCCACACCGAAGTATAAATTGATTTATTTTAGGTATTCACTGCGTGTAATCCCAGCTTAGTTTCACTTTGTTCGCTGGCTAGGATAAGTGTAATAATTTATCGCAACATGAGGTGTGGCTTTGCGTGCTTGACACTAACTAGTTCTCAGCGCGATAAAACGGAAAGAGAGCTATGCATTTTGCGCATTCCAATTTTACGAATCTCATTTTCCTCTTTGTAATATTTCTTCATCGATCATATTCGGTGACGAAGAAAGCCCGTCCGTCACTTTTATCCTCTTGAAACTCGTGTAACCAAATTCACAAGAAAACTTTCAACTTTTGCATTTCGTGCGCTCTCGCGAACCACAGGACCCGATCTCCAGCCTATCGCGTTTGTTTTTCTTAACATTGTTTGCAATTCGCTTGCCTATTTTGGCCATGCTTTGGCTCATTTGCTTTTCCATTGAATACGTTTAGGGACCACCGGAATCCGCAGTGTGCACAAAGCCAGCGTCCAGCGAACTTCGAAGCGAAGATCTCAATCCAATCAACGGAAAATGGAAGTGCAACGCCGAATACACGTGCGACGTAAGTCTTTTTCAACACTTTGTTTCAACGTTTATTTTACGAATAAATATTTGTTGTTTCCTCCTGCAACAAATCGGCTGGAAGTAAATATTTACATTGTAAATCGTCACGCAAGTGTGGAAAGCTATGACTGCATGCAAAGCTAGTATCTCAATAGAAGCTAAAGTTACATACAGTACATTTAGTATGACCTTACTTTGCAGTAATATTCCAAATTTCGCAGCTGCTTTTTACGATTCAACTGATTGGCGTAAGGTTTTTGCGGTTGAAACATTCCAACCTAAGCAGAAATAGTAGCAGTAAATGAAGCTCTCATCACTATATCTTTAGTATACTTTACATTATTATATGTCTTACCATGCCTTAGTATGTCAAACCCTCATACGTTACCATTGCATAATTTTCCATACCTTATATTATATCCTATTACCTTGCATTATCATGCACACCTTATTATGATTCATTATGCCCTATACCATGCCTTACCTATTCACACTTTTTCATACCGTGTCATGGCCTAGCTTACCCTACCGTATCATTGTACCTTCACATGCCTTACCATGTACCTCTTCATACCTTATCATTGTTTCTTCGCATGCCTTACCATGTAACTCTTCATATCTTACCATGTACCCCTTCATACCTTACCATGTACGTCTTCATACCTTATCATTGTACCTTCGCATGCCTTATCATGTACCTCTTCATACCTTACCATGTACCTCTTCATATCTTACCATGTACCTCTTCATACCTTACCATGTACCTCTTCATATCTTACCATGTACCTCTTCATATCTTACCATGTACCTCTTCATATCTTACCATGTACCTCTTCATACCTTACCATGTACCTCTTCATACCTTATCATGTACCTCTTCATACCTTACCATGTACCTCTTCATACCTTACCATGTACCTCTTCATACCTTATCATGTACCTTCACATGCCTTACCATGCATGTATCTCTTCATACCTTATCATGTACCTTCACATGTCTTACCATGTACCTCTTCATACCTTACCATGTACCTCTTTATACCTTATCATGTACCTTTACATGCTTTACCATGTTCCTTCACATGCCTTGCCATGCATGCATCTCTTCATACCTTACCATGTACCTCTTTATACATTATCATGTACCTTCACATGCCTTACCTACTTTATCATATCCCACCAGATCCTATCATACCCTGTCATACCATGACATACCATGCTTAACCGTAATGTGGCATAACTTTCCTTCAACTTACTGTAACAAAAGTCTTTTTGAATAGGGTTAATGCGTGTTGCTCTTACACATTCTTTCTCAAATGATATTGTGCACTTGTGTTTACATTTACCACTAACGCGAAAGTAATCGGTAACAAAAATTTCCGGTACTTCAGTAAACGACTTTAAGTCTGGTTTTTGAGATTTAAGTCGGACCTACCTGAGTATCAGTTGAAATTACCAAGGGCTTGCTCTCACTCTCATATCAAAAATGATTGCTTTTCATAGCTCCATCCTAGATTATGCATTTTCATATTGAATAATTGTGTGTAACCATCCTAGGTTGAAATGGGGTCATCCCTGAGATCAGTTTCCACCCTTCCGATGCCTGTCACTACCTTGATTGCTCTTAGCTGCAAACACTGTACAACTTTGAAATAACAATGTAATTTGCGAAGGTTTGCTATTTAGACCAATTGTAGCCACCGGAAATAGCGAATTTGGAACACCATTAAAGATGGCGATGAATCTAGTGTCCAGGAAGCTCCAGAATCACATTTGGTCCTGAAAACTAGATCGCCACGAATTCGGTTCCCCAAATTCGTCATTTCCGGTGGACTCAAATGGCTGCAATGAAAGCGCCATTTACTGGCCTTGCCCTTGAAAAATTGCAGCTCCGAAATGAGATGAGTGCATGCACGGCTTCTAATGTAATCCATTGCTATATCATAAATGTCAGCAGTTCAAGTACTCCAGTGTATCATGTTCCCCAAGGAATGTCGTTCTCTCAGTTGGACAGTTTAACCAAAACCCTGGAACTCGTACAAACAACCAGTGCACTCACAATGGGGTTGCCCTTAAGTAAACAAACTTGAAGCACGAGAAAGCTAGCGTGTTGCCAGTTGTGCTAATCCCGTCCATCCCGAGACGCGTTTCTGGCAATTGTATTTCAAGATTTGTATAAAAACGCCGTCAATATAAATCCTTGTATCCGATTTGGTGCCTCATTCACGCATTTGCGAGCGAAGAAGAAGTCTTAGGGTGTTTCATGCAGCCAAACAGACCTGATCCCAGTGAAACTCCTACAAATTTCACTTCCAAACCGTTTAATTCAACATGTAAGTACAATAGTTTCTCCAAGTTACTCCCAGAATTATCTTACACCGTTATTTTTTACGTAAGGTTCCAGTGTTTGGGAGTTAATCTATAAAAGCTACAGAGTTTATGTCATAACCAACTAGAAATAGTTTCAAGTGAAGTAATCTAAATTTTCTTCAGATATAGTTTGTCTGATCTTTGTAATAACTAGGCCCTGCTTCTATAGGAAATCCTCTCACAGTTAACTTGTAATTTAGAGCCGGCGTTCATGCAATCTTAAATTACGACGTTTGAACTTTCGAGTTATTAAATTTTCATGGGGGATCAACAAATTTTCAATCTAAAATGGGATCTGCTTCTTCGAAAAGTAACATTTCGAGCGAGGATCGTTTCTACTTTAGTTTGACTATTCTTAAGACAATCCGTTCCTTAAATTTTCAGCGGAATGCAATGAGTTTATGCGTTTTTAAATTATATACATAGTAACTTGATTATACTTTGTTAACTGTGCATATGTCATTGTGATTGTATGGTAACCATTTAATATTAGTTGCATTCGGGTTTTGAATTTCGTAACACATTGACCGGATAATTGTCCATGCAATAACTTGTGAGATGTCCATGCATGCAATATCATGCAATAAGTTCACTTTTATGATCCAATCTTCAACTCTAATGCTGAACTGTAATGATGCGTTGAATTTCCTAACTGGAAAAATAAATGGCTTCCAATCTGAGATGTTTTTTTCAGCGATTCAATTTCTATAAGACTATATGTATTTATGGTCAGTTGAATTGTATGTGCATGATTTGGCTATACACTTATACACTGAGTCGATCGGTAGAGCGCGCAAAAGTTTCTCGCCTTGAAATATAGATCAAATAAATGAATGACTCTGTTTACCATCTCATCCAAACGTAATTCCGGCAGTGGCTAATATCTATTTGTGTGTTTTATTATTTTCCGCTGTTAATTTTGTAGTTGTGGAATGTTTAGTGCTTTCAAAAACGCAGATTGTACGTTCAAAGTTTTGTTGAAGCGTTGCTAAATGACCGTTGCTCGCGCAGAAAACGCACACTGCAACGTGTTCACATGCACGAGAATGTACTATAATTACCACAACAACAGAAATTGTCATTTACACTCTTCCTGCATTAGTCACTGTTGGAGAATGTTCTAGACGCTTTCTGTGTAAGCCAACGTCTGGCAGTTTAAAAATATTTGCCAAGAACAGTGCGTCTCATTTCCGTTCCTTGTCACGACAAATATACACATTTAAACAACTAGATCAAACATCGGTGCGAATAAAAAACTCTCTGTGAATGAGAACGTTGTAACGGCCCGTTTGGGTAATTATATTTACACACACGACCATGTGAGTTTACTGTTTGCATCATATCGAAGATTAATTCTTAATTGGAAGGCATGGACCTCCTGTAATTTTTCAATTTACTGAAGACCGTGTTTTTAATGTTGAAAATAGAGTTAGACAAATACGTGGCGATGGTATATTTGAATTACTTATTAATGTTTTTTACTTTGTTCAGACATGCATAAACTATGGCAGCTATTGTAGATTACTACCGTCATTAGACAACCATATTTGAGATATTTTCGAGGTATAACTTAGGCTCAAACCACGACGGTTTATTGTAGATATATCTACACTGGACCACCACGTTTTAGATGTCTTTTTCGGGTAGTTAAGATACAATTCACCATAGCTTGTCATAGAATACTTCCTACACTGGACCCCCCGTTTAAGACATCTTTTTTAAGTAGTTAAGATACAAGCCACGACAGTTAATTGTAGAATACTACCTACATCATTTGATTTACTTAGTCCAAAATAATATATAATCTACCTATCTTTTCTTTATTAAACAAAACAAGGTATTGAAGGTTTGCTATTTGTTGTGACGAGGTGCTTTATCGACGTTTCAACAAAGAAACATATTCTCTGTTTCGTTCAAAGTTTTTTGGGCTATTGGAAATGATGTTCTGTAAAACCTATTTAAGATATAATTTGCAATTAATGGTTCCTCGTTAATTACGATAGTCTTAATCGCTTTTGCCCCGAGGTATTTTTGCCAACGCAAAAAGTCACACGCGGAAACAAACGAATTCTGTAGTTCCTTTATCTTCAAATTTCAATTTGTAACTCCCCATAATGAGACAGGCAATATTGTCAAAACTGAGTTAATCGCTAGATAAGGAATGCCAGAATCGAGGATGATTGATGAAAGATGTTTGGTGATCCCCTTGGAATATATCGAAATTCAAAGAGTATGCATGGGACCTCCCTTCACCTGAGACACGAATCTCTCCATGCAATATGTAATAATCCAGGACACACAAACTCGTATAGGGAGAGCGTCTTAATCAGTTTAAGAAATCTTCAATCTCAAAGGGAAACTCATTAACGAAAACATTAATCTTATGAAATCTTCCTTCGTACTTTTCTTCAAAAAGGTAACCCTCGATCGTGCCAAAAACACAAATTGAACACCCCACTCTGAGAGCCCAATGACGACACAAACCCTATATGGCTGTATAACTAACATTTTTACATCGTGTCTTTCCTTTTCGTGACTATGTTTGGCACTGGCAGAGTTCTGTTTAGTTATCTTGAATAATTCGATATTGTTATTATTAGGTGTTTGCCAGATCTAAAGCTTGTTTGC